TGCGTAAGATTTCAGGAGGGGAAGGAGGTGGATGGGAGGGTTCAGGAGAGGAAGAAGGCGGATGGGAGGGTTTAGGAGGAGAAGGAGGTGGATTGTAAGGTTCTGGAGGGGAAGGAGTTGGATGTGAGGGTTTGGGAAGGGAAAGGTGGTGGATGGGAGGTTTAAGGAGGGGAAGGAGGAGGGGGGGTTGGGTCAGGAGGGAAAGGAGGTGGATGGGAGGGTTCAGGAGGGGAAGGAGGTGGATGGGAGGGTTCAGGTGGGGAAGGAGGTGGAGTGGAAAAGAGGTTTCATGGGGAAGGCAGAGTGCAGGATCTCCATCTATTTTTGTTAATAAAATAAGAGATTGAAAATAGAGAACAATTTATATCAATAAACTACCCCAAGCTTAATAAATTCAATGTTCTGGAAATTGCATTAAAATGCATTTTCATTATTCTTTAAATTAAAAAATAGCAGTTTTTAAGTGAAAATGAAAATAGATTTTTGATTAGTGTTCAAAAACTTATATTAATTTAGTGCACCCTACTAACCTGTCGATATGGCTATGGTTGCACCCTACTTACCTGTCTATGGCTCCACCCTGTTTACCTGTCTATGGCTATACTTGCACCCTGTATACCTGTCTATGGCTATGGCTGTGATGGAAAGGGTGGATACGAATACAGAAACTGAGTTGATACATGAGAAGAACCTGCAGAGGAGGGTTGTTGGACCAAATCTCCACCAACTAGATACAGTGAAACCCATTAAACTGTGGAATAGGAAGACGATATGAAAGAGATATTATGTCCATTTCAGGCTGCTATAAAGCAAAAAGTTTTACAAGTAGTTTTTAACTTTTTAACTAAACGCATTATATATTAAATTATTGATGTTTCATTAATCAATCAGTTCCTTCTCCTAGGAGTTATTTAAATAGGGAACTAGATAAATTCAATCCCAGTTAACACATTTTGTTCCTTCTCTAAGGAGTTAAACATAAAAGGAACCAGATAAATACAATACCAGTTAACACATTCAGTTCCTTCTCCAAGGAGCTAAACTAAATAAGGAACCAGATAAATACAATACCAGTTAACACATTCAGTTCCTTCGCCAACGGATAGCGAATAGATAAACTAAATTAACTAGACTAGTGCTGCAGGCAAATTTATTGAAACGAATGAAACCTTATGAAAATGTCATTCGCGAACGGACAAAATGTCAAACAATTTTGTTCATTTTGAACCAATAATCCAAATTTCAAATAAAACGTGCATCAAATATCCCAAGGTAATTCTCTAAAACAAGTTAAATAAACTATTGTTAACAAACACTGAAAACAGTTTTTATTATTCCATTAAAAGAAGCCGCAACTTTGTACGGTCCCAGCAACCTAACCTACCTATGGTCCCAGCCAACCTAACCTACCTATGGTCCCAGCCAACCTAACCTGCCCATGGTCCCAGCACACCTAACCTACCCATGGTCCCAGCCCTAACCTACCTATGGTCCCAGCCAACCTAACCTGCCCATGGTCCCAGCACACCTAACCTACCCATGGTCCCAGCCAACCTAACCTACCCATGGTCCCAGCCAATCTAACCTACCCATGGTCCCAGCCAACCTAACCTGCCCATGGTCCCAGCCAACCTAACCTACCCATGGTCCCAGCCAACCTAACCTATCCATGGTCCCAGCCAATCTAACCTACCTATGGTCCCAGCCAACCTAACCTGCCCATGGTCCCAGCACACCTAACCTACCCATGGTCCCAGCCAACCTAACCTACCCATGGTCCCAGCCAATCTAACCTACCCATGGTCCCAGCCAACCTAACCTGCCGATGGTCCCAGCCAACCTGACCTGCCCAAGGGCCCTAGAAAAACCTAAAATGCCCATGGGACCCATCCAACCTAACCTGACCATGGTCCCAGCCAACATAACCTGACCATGGGCCCTAGACAAACTTACCTGTCAATGGGACCCAGCCAACCTAACCTGTCCTGAAGTTCAGAGCTTCGTATACAATCTGTGATATTGTTCAATTCAAATAAAACTAGCTGTATTTAAAAAAGAGTGTCTAAACAAGTATACAGTCCCTTTAAACCTGGAAAAAAATGTAACACAGTAACGTCCCAGTGGCATTAATTAGGTGCACTGCAACACAGCAATAAATCGGGAACACTCGAGTACATTCCACAGAATAAATCATGATGCAGAGAGTAGGATGGAAAGGAGTAAAGAAAGGAGGAAGAATGGTATGGGAGGGTTTAATAGAGAGAAGTGAAAGAGGGGAAGAAGGGGAATAGGAAGGGTTAGAGGGGAAAGGGAAGGGTTAGAGGGGAAAGGGAGTGTTCAGGAAGAAAAGGAGAATGAGGCGGATGGGAGGTTTAAGGAGGGGGAGGAGGTGGATGGGAGGGTTTAGGAGGGGAAGGAGGTTGATGGGAGGGTTCAGGAGGGGAAAGGAGGTGGATGGGAGTGTATAGGATGGGAAGGAGGTGGATAGGATTTTCCATTAAAAGCTCCTTGAATGCTTTTACAGTGTCGGGGTGACACTGTAAAATATTGGCACAGGCGACCTTCTCGACATAAAACTTGTTATCAAGCTAATAACATTCCCGTGGTTCTACTAAGTTCTACAATCAAAATTTGAGGCAAATCGGTCAAAGGGTTCGGTCAGACAACCAAACAAACAATCAGATAGTGATTACTACGTCTATTTATATACTTTGCTTGTAGTCTGTTCGTCTGTTTGTATCAAATAAACGTAAAAAAAAAAAACAATTTTGTGGGACCTCTTGTGAAGTTGTGACCCGAGGGAAGGTTTAAAGTTTCAAAAATTTGCTTCTAACAAAATTCGGTTTTTTAAAGATTTTGTAAATTCGCAAAATTTTAATTATAAAATCTACGATTTTTTGGGGTTTTCGTTTTACAATGTAAACAAAGAGAACATGTTCACAATTGGAATAGAAGATGGACGCGAAGCGCCCTAAAAGCCTAGTTAAATAGCTTTAGATCCCAACCCTACTCTTTATTAATTATGTCATTTCCTTCTCAATAAATTTCGTCAGGGGGTAGATAATGTATTGTACCTGTATTTGATCTCCCAGTGGGTCAAAGGCATTGTAACTGCACATTGCCATAGGTCAGATATTGATAGGTTTAGGATTAGTAGGTTCCTAAACAGATAGGATTAGTAGGTTCATAGACAGATAGGATTAGTAGGTTCATAGACATAGAGGATTAGTAGGTTCCTAAAAAGATAGGATTAGTAGGTTCCTAAACAGATACGATTAATAGGATCTTAAACAGAAAGGATTAGAAGGTTTCTAAACTTATAGAATTAGTAGGTTCCTAAACAGATAGGATTAAGTGATTCCTAAACAGATAGGATTAGTAGGTTCATAATTTCTAGAATTTATTATTTAAAAGTAGGTTTTGAACTAAGTTGAGAATTCTCTTAGGATCCAAAATAAGGTTGTATGTATATATATATTCATATATATACATAAATATATAAATTGATTTTTGCTGATTATGCCAACACCAGATCTAGGATTAGTTTCCCAAAGGTTTAGAGGGAGTGAATAAGTTGGAGTCGGACCGAAAGAAATCATCATAATTGGAATCATATCAGACGACGGAGATCCAAATCTTTTGGAAAACCCAAATTATCATCGGAAACTCCAAGATTTTCATGTTAGACCCTAAGATTTACTTTGGAGACACCAAGCTTTTTATTCCCAGAAATGTCTACCCAGCCTCCAAAAATTGATTTTAAATCTCTCTAATAGAGTGAAATTTAAATATATATGGACGACTTATTTAACTTCAAATATTCAAAGGCACAAAGTTATTTTTTTCATGTCTAAGTCAGTAGTCTTACTGAAGCTGAGAAAAGTAAATAGCATAAACTAAAACTAAAGTGATTATGCACAAACTATATATTTACACATTAAAAATAGCGAACGATACAGATTGTTTTAAAGTGATAGGTGGAGAGACAGAACTTTTCAGAGATTTCTACGCTTTGGTTGGTGGACATATTCTTCCATAAACAACTCCTTCAACCTCTTCATCAATACTCTCCCTATCAGGGTTTATCAACATGAAAGATCTGTTAGTTGCTACGTCGTCGGCCGTGAACGTTATTTAGTCTCCATCCCTGCCCAGCCCAGCTGCCCCACTCCGTTAACCCCTTCTCTAGAGTTAAACGGTTTTTAAGAGTTGGCTTGGATCTGATACTAGTTCTAAGCATGGTTTTATTCTAAAACTTTTTAACGGGAAACTAAACTCTGGCTTGGGTTTGGTTCCTGTTCTATACAAAACTATTTATGTACAGCACTATATATACAGTCTCACGGTAATGAACCCGTGCTGGTTTACATTACCTTTCCGTCCTCAGAGGTTTTCTGCAGATAACGCCTCCAACTACCAATATATTTCCTAGCAATCCAACTAAACAAAAAATTTAATAAAACCAATTCTGGACAAGAGAACTTTAAATTGCAGTCAGGCCCAATCAAAATGTTTTCAAATTTACTCAAATATATAATATAGAGAATTACTGGCATTTTTATGCTTTGATACTGCAAGTTTTCATGGAAAGGAAATTTAGAAACTGGAGAAAAAAATAATATGGAATACAATTTGTTAATAAACTTTTTTCTGTTCTTTCATTTCAGTGTTCAGAGTTTGAAGAAATAGATCAAAGAGTTGTAAATTAAATAAAATCTTACTCGAACTATAGTTGCTCATCAGATTCATGAACAGAAAAAACAAACATAATATATTTTATACTATAAAGAGTATTTTCTTAGAAATACCCAATGTTCTTAAAATTCACTTTTTTTTTGTATGTTTGTTATTTTAAAATGTCAGTGTTATTTCATGTTTTAAAAGTTTTGAAATGTTTTCAATATTGTTTAATTTTATTGAAACAGAGATCAAAGTATCTAGATAAATGCAAATTATTTAAATGAAAGGTTACAAATTACAATTAGATCTAAATATGATTAATATGTTGAAAAGCCTTATTGGCAACAGAACCAACTGTGTTGGTATCTATTTTATGAGTCTTTGTTAAACACTCAAATTTCCTAATCCCTATATCTTTAAAACCTGATGGTTTTAACCTTTTATATTTCAAACTTGGATTATTTAATCTAGGAGAATTCAAAGCTTGAAATAGCTAAGGTCTCCTACATTGGGTTTCAAAGATAAAAACATGGAAAAATTAGAGCTTGTGGCAAAGATTCTTTTTCTTTTTGTCTTTCTTTTCATCTTTATTTTTCATCTTTATTTTTCATCTTTATTTTTCATCTTTATTTTTCATCTTTATTTTTCCTCTTTATTTTTTCATCTTTATTTTCATCTTTATTTTTTCATCTTTATTTTCATCTATATTTTTCATCTTTAATTTTCATCTTTATTTTTCATCTTTATTTTTCATCTTTATTTTTCCTCTTTATTTTTTCATCTTTATTTTCATCTTTATTTTTTCATCTTTATTTTCATCTATATTTTTCATCTTTATTTTTTCATCTTTATTTTCATCTTTATTTTTAATCTTTATTTTTCATCTTTATTTTCATCTTTATTTTCATCTTTATTTTTTCATCTTTATTTTCATCTTTAATTATGTTACTCTGTGATTCCAACCCTTACTTAGATTCCTTGACATTTCTCTTCAAACCTTCATCTCTCTTTTCACAAAGTTGAACATTGACTGGTGTTCAACTTTAACAGCCTGGTTCAATTTAAAAAGTTCTTTCAATATTTGTTCATTTCAATTTTGTGCCTTTTGAACCAACTAAGTTCTAGTACAATGTTTCTAGTAAAGAATAGAGAAGTTCACGCACCTCGGACCCTTTAGTAAAAGTAAATTTAACCTAAAGCCTGACACAGTACAAACTGGGACTGGAAAGGTTGACGGCTGCCCGTGAGTTCAACATAGTAAAAACATATTTTTAGAATCACCTTCTCTTGGTTTGGATGTCTATTTTTGAATACTTAATAAAAAGCTTGATACAAGCCAAAGCATAAAAAGAAAGTCGTCATCATTGTATGTATATACACTCTTACAGGGTGTCCCACATCATATTAGACCGAGAACTGGTCTAAATTACGATTTTCGGGACTAATTAGAAAATTTCATTAGAATGAATCATTTTGAAAAATAACATAAGTCTTATACAAGAATTTTCTTGCAGAAAATGAAAAGTTTTTCGAGTATTAAGGGTTTATTTTGGTGTTAAAGATTGGAGATAATCTAATATGATATGGGACGCTCTGTATATTGTAGGAATAACTTTAAATTGTAAAAACTTAAAATTTTGAAGAAAAAAAAATATCCTGAATTTGTTGAATTAAAGACGAAAGTTTAAAAATATTAAGCAGTTTCCCATTTCATGTTCAATAGCTTCAGTTGTATTGTAGCATAATACAAGTGCAGCTCATTAAAAAATTAGACCTCTAAGTTCTAACTGCAATGGTTCGGGGGGGGGGGGGGGTTTTAATGGCCGAAAAGGCCGGAAAAATGTGAAGAAAAAAAATTTCGATAATCAGAAAAGTTTAGAAAAGGGACATTAAAGTAATGAAGTTAATTTAATGTTGTTTGCAAAGCAGATAGCCATACTAGTAAATTATTAAATTCGTGAGATGGGCCTCTTCACAATGCACAATTGCTGGGCCCTCCCCTTCCAGTATGTTTAGGGTTAATATGAAATGGTATATATCCAGGGTGATGCATAATACATTTACTCTGCTTTAGCTGCTAAAGCAAATCTATCCACAGATTAAATAGATTAAAGAATTGAAAGGTTAGAGTTGATAACATTTTCTTCATAAAGATCTCCAAGTGATCAGCCCCAAATTATTTGTGGGACCTCACATGATCCCAGAAATGGTTTTTGTTAGAAACTTAGAATTGAAAAATATTTGCCACAAAATCCACAAAGAAAAACGATAACAGAGCAACAATCTAAAGCTAAAGATGTGCGCGAAGCGCTATGAAAGCCTAGTTTAATTAAAATGTATTTGAACCACATAAACTAAAATTAGCCACTTATCTTGGGAACAGATTCAAGTTTAAGAGTGGTTTAACTTAGTGTGTTCGTAGCTCAACTACTTCTTAAGCTATTAATTAAATTTTTCCCTGGTTAGAAGTATGTATTATGGGGAGAGTTATCAGTTTCTTTATATCTATTTATTTATTTTTTGTATACTGTATATTATTCCAATCAGTTTCTTTATCTATTTATTTATTTATTGTATACTGTATATTATTCCAATCAGTTTCTTTATCTATTTATTTTTTTATTGTATACTGTATATTATTCCAATCAGTTTCTCTATCTATATTTATTTATTTATTGTATACTGTATATTATTCCAATCAGTTTCTTTATCTATTTATTTATTTATTGTATATCTGTATATTATTCCAATCAGTTTTCTTTGAGTTTTCATCCAATACCTTCGTTCTTTGATTAAAAAAGTTTTCAACATAATCCCAAAGTTGTTCCTAATTCTTTACTTCTTTTTTTCCAATAAGATGTTTTTAGAAAGTGGTGTGATGTAAGCACATAGATTCAAGCAGTTATGAAAATTATACATAAATTTTCATAACTGGGTCCACTTTGGATTATCGCAATGTTTTTGCCTTTGGTTTTGCTTTACTAACTCAATATATACACGTTTTAAGCCCTAAACATACACATCTCAGAAATATAAAAAGCTTTTTTCTATCTTTAGTTTAAAAGAAGTAATTGACAAAATATTGATCGATTTTCACTTGAGAGCTTGCAGATGTTGTTTTACTGTGTCTGGTGGGTTAATTATATAAAACAAATAATGCGTGTACGTAAACTGTATTTCCACCACCCAAAAGAAAACTTTCTCTGAAAGATTTCTGAATAAAAAGAGATAATCTCGTACGTGTAAGTAGTTCAGAGCCCTAAACTTAATACAGGGTATCGTCATAAATACCTGGAATATAAAACCAGGTTTCTAGACATATTTGTGGAAAAGAACAGTTTTGTAGATCCCAATTTTTTTTTTCTTCAGAATTATAATTTATTTTTGGTTTTGTTTTATTCTTTTTATATTTTCTAGTTTCTGAAATCAAACTTTACACAAATGTTGGACCTCAAATAGACTTGGAAGTTACGTTCAAAGCAAAGATAAGAGAGTATATATATATATTAAAGGCTAGAATATTCAATATTTTACACAGCTAGGGTTTCCAATCGAAATTTTGGCGTTGGTTCATTTTATAGAAAGACATTTCATAGATAAAGACATTTCATATATAGGGCCTTTAATAGTAAAGATCTACATTTCATAGATAGTACATTTTATAGATAAAGACATCATATCATATGCACGGATAAGATATTCAATAGACAGAGGATATTTTTTACATATGATATTTCTTTTCTTTTCTTTTCATCTTTATATTTTCCCTTGTATATGAACAATCATCTCTGTCTATGAAATGTCTTACTCTTATCACGCAGGCCATGTCTTTCTTCTACCGTGTCAGAGAAACAATTGAGAAGTTGCAGTTTTTCTATTTTTTTTTACGGATTTTTAACAATTTACTCAAGCATTTTTATTCAAAAAAGCTTTTTGAAACTTGTATTCACAGATGAAAAAGTTGAATTTTAAGTTCTATCTATGAAATGTCATCATTATGAAATGTTTTTCTATGAAATGTCTTTCACATGAAATGTCCCAACGGCCTTAAATTCTATATTCACGCTTAATTTCGTGCAAAATATCTTTTTTCTAATGAATTCGCAAAACTGGTTTCGTATTGATGCGAAATGGATGCGAAATGGATGCGAAATTTCGTTAAAAAAGTAATTTTGTGAAAAACCATGAAACCGTTGCGCAAGAGAATCTACTGTTTCCTGGAAACCCTATTCCAAAGCAAGTCCATTATGTACAACTGGAGTACAAGAACAATAAACAGACTTCTGTACACAGGGATATTTAAGGATCCATTGAATTCGAAATATAAAACCTTAAAAAAAGACTAAATTGTTAAATGTTGTATAGAGTATTTCTTTAAAAAATGTAAAAAAATGTTAATGTTTAATTTGACATTTTGAATAATCTCGGTAAGACCTCCAATTACCCGACATAAAGTAGTCGGGTAATTGGGAGTATCCTAAAAGATTGGCATACTTTACTACAAAAGATACTATTGCAATGCTATTGCATATTTTATTGTAAATGATTAATTCTAAAACATAAAACAAATTGTAAATTAAAGTGATCCCTGGAAGATGATGGTATAAGCATGGGTGTAAATGTAGAATTCCACAACCCCTTCTATATAAAGTCATCAGAGACAACCTTCCTGGTTCAGTTCCGGGTCTACTTGAATATTGTTGAACTTTAGAGTTTAAAGTTCACTCAAAACCATTTGCAGGAATATAACATGTCGTGCCGGTACGACAATAGATTTATAGCCCAGTCCACGATGTCTAATTAGCGGTATGTATTTAATCGGATATTTATCAGTTGTTATTATCTTTATTGCCAGCCAGTCATCTAATATTATGAACACGTAGAGTTACTCTGCAAAAAGTTTGCAGTATTGGAGTTCGTACTTTCAAAACTAAGGTTTAGAAAATGCACCATTCCAACACATACTAGGATTATAGGAAAAAGAAAAAAGGGTGAAAAATATATGGTCTAAAACAATTCTGATTAAAACTGTTGTAAAATTTCAATCATATCATCTCTAAAATAAGGTTTAACCGTTTAGTAAAATTCAATTAATTTAAAAAAAAATAATTTTAACAGGATGCCTTTTTTTAAAATTTTCTAGATTTTTCCACAGAATCTATGGATTTTGCTAAATTTCTGATAAGATCAATTTTGTTCCAGGAATTTTCAAAGATTTTTCTCAATTCTTCGTTTGAGAAAAATTGGCATAAATTGAAAAACTTTTGCAGTTTGTCACTCCCAGTCCCAGTTTAACAGTTTTTATAATAAGAAAAACTTGGTTGATCAAAAATATGAAAATGCGGAAAAAACCTTCTTTACAACCATAGAGAATAGAATATATATTAGAGGGGAATTTAAAGAATTACTCGGTATGAATTTTTTCAGTCCCTTTCAGCCTGAAAGGGAGTTTAAAGTGTACAAATCATGTAAATGTTCACAAGTTATGTGCAGTAGAGTACATTAATACAGTATGTTCCCTAGACAAATCATTTCAATTTCGAATTTTTTAAACTGTTAAATAAACTTTATAATGAATTAGGTGAATGAAAACATCATTTGATTTATACTTATAACGAAAAATCATCGTTTGCAAAGTGGAAGGCATAGAGTCTATGTGAAATGATCATTGGTCAATTATGAAACCAGCCTATTTCAAAATTTTGTTTTCTTTTAATATTAATTTTAGATTTTCTATAAAAAGATATTCCAGGGCCCAAAAGGTTATATAGCATAAATATGTGAAATACACCTGCAGTATGGAAACAGTACAACAAAATGGCCGTTTTACACTTTTTTCTAGTAAATTCCTCTCTAATATATATTCTATTCTCTATGTTTACAACATTTGCCTCCCCCCTCTCACAACTTATCAAAGGTATCTATGTTCCTTCTTAGAATTTAAAATATGATTTATTAAACTGTACAATTTTTCCTAACAATATTTTCACGGTTTTATTTTTATTCAAATTGATTTGCAGACGTTTTAACCATAATTGACACTGGTAAGTATAATTTGTTTGTTTATCGTGCATAACTTAAAACATATTCGTAATGTTTAGATCTTCTAATAGAATTTAAATCATATATGTCTAATGTTTCTTTTAACAAGATTTAATACATTTCTAATGTTTCTTTTATGAAATCTATTTTTAATATTTCCTAGGCATGATTGAAAACATATTTTTAATGTTTGTTTCAACATGTTTACTTTGACATAAATTTGAATCTGATTTATGTTTTCTTTTTATTTGAACTTAACCCTTATTTTTCACTTACTTGATCCGATGATAAGATAAAGCAAGGAGATGATGTTTAACGAAAGATCCGAGGTCCTAAGATAGAAAATTTTCAAATATTCTCATTTTTGAAAATATGCAAATTTTCAATTTTTCAACACATTGAATATCAATTTGTGTCTGTCATCGCAGAGAAAGGAGCTGGAATTTAAAGATATAAGAACAGAGTCCGAATTTGATGAATTTAGGCCGCGTCTCAAATCTGCCAAAAACCGGTTTTCATTGAGCGCCGGCATAATTCTTGAAACATTGAATACAATTTCAAGTGAACTAACCATATTTGAGCCGCGGCTCAAATTTAAGCCGTGACTCTGATTCTTTAAATTCGGCCTCAATTTTATTTCAAGAGAGATAAGATAAGATCGAAAAGATATATTTTATTGCTTTTATCGGTTGTGTTAAATATAACAAAATAAAGATGTTTTCAATGCATTAAAACAACGGAGGGATTATATGAATATTTTATTCCGTAAACTGAATAAACAGCTAAAATTTACATTTCAGTGGAAACTCATGGTTACACACTGTGTTTGCTTCAAATTGGCTGTTTTTTTTTCGAAGAAAAACTTCATTAAGATAAAAGAGCACCTCGGAATTGTGGCATTATATCTTTTAAAGTCTAAACGTATTCTTTGCAAATTGCTATACTGTTGCACAATATTTGGTGCGCTATTTAAATTAAACAAAATTTATATGGTGTTAGTAGGGCAAAAAGTAAAGCTAATTCAGATATTTTCTTGTTTAAAGTAAAGTTTATTGTTTTACGAGATATTGTATGTCAATTTTGACTGCTATTTGGTGAATTATTGCAATACAATGGCATCCATAAAAACAGTATTGCAGAAAATAGTAGGTACTTAAAATTTCTAATAAAAATTATTTCTAGAACTAAGAAATTTTTTAATTTTTTATTTTGTGCATTTTCATATTAAAGATACAAAGCAAGAAAAGCATAAAAAAAGAAGAAGAAAAAGAATAGGAAGATGGCATTAAAGCAGTCTTATGTTTATTTGAATATTGTTTACCAATGAATAAAGAGGGTCAACTCCGAACATTAAATATTCAGGTTTAATCTCAATTTCTCGATTTCCTGAATTTCTTAATTTTTCAAATCGATTTCTTTGACCGATAAAACGTAAATCGATTTCTATGACCGATAAAACGTAAATCGATTTCTATGACCGGTAAAACGTAAATCGATTTCTATGACCGGTAAAACGTAAAAAAAACATATTGACAAGTAATTCAACATTCCAGTAAATATTGATTTGATAAATGCGATAACAATACAAAAAAAACGTCTAGTTATGCAAATTTGAGGCAAAGTTAGGTAATATTTGAATTAATTGTTTTTGAAGATATATCGATAAAGCCAAGAAGCGCTCTGAATGACTATATTAAGCTAAGTAAAGGTTAAACTGTGCCTGGTACTATCTGGACTGTATTCATTCTTGAACTGCTTGAACTCATTCATCAATTCATCATCAGTTTCTACCATTACTCTGAAAATAAATAGAACTTTTGCCACACATTTCTATTTTATAATTCCTAATCGATTATCTAAACGTGCAAAGGGTACCATTGTGAATTGGCATGAATAACCCGCTTACAATAAAAGTCCCTTAAAGCCCATCCCTATATCCTGGTAAATATAGAACTAAAGTGAACTAGTGAACCCCATACCTATATCCTGGTAAATATAGAACTAAAGAAAACTAGTGAACCCCATACCTATATCCTGGTAAATATAGAACTAAAGAAAACTAGTGAACCCCATACCTATATCCTGGTATCCATGGAACTAAAGAATACTAAAGAACTCTATCCCTATATCCTGGTATATATAGAACTAAAGAATACTAAAGAACTCTATCCCTATATCCTGGTAAACATAATCCTAAAGAATACTAACGAACCCAATCCCTATATCAATAGAACTAAAGAATACTAGTGAACCCTAGCCATATATCCTGGTATATATAAAACTAAAGAATACTAAAGAACTCTGTATCCTGGTGTACATACTACTGAAGTTTTATACCGGAGAAATCTCCGATCTTCTCTTCTCTGACAGAGTGCAGAATGCAAGTCTGCATTTGCGCAACCACCATTCTCTTCTCTCGACAACTCAAATTTAAAGGAGTTTTGTCGCGGTCACCACTATGTAATACAATCAGATAAAACCTTAATTTTTGGATTATAAAACTCTAACTATTTTTGTCAGAAAATCAAGTTTTAATCTGTGATAAATGTGCCATATTTTTGAATTGTGATTTAATTTACCATAGAAAATTGAAACTGGAGTGCCTTCTTCAAACTAAAATAAAATGCTCGTAAGAGTGATATCTTATAAGAGTTTTATTAAAACTCCTTTATGGAAGAGGTATTGAGGAGAACATAAATGTTTGAATATATAATTAATTTGTTTTCTAGCACTATTGCGTGAAATTAGAACTAGAGGAGCAGCGGAGTTATACAAACATGTAACTATGTTAATTGAATTTTAGCTTTGCCTCCTGGTTCGTTTGCAGTGTAATATCGATCTAACCACTGCAAACTAACCAGAAGGTCAAATTATGCATCGTTAATGGTACGATTTTGTGACCTCGTCGCTCCTCTAGTTTTTATTTTTACGTAAAAATAGGAGAAAACAAATTTATTCAGTTTAATATTTAAAATTCAAAACATTTGTGTTCTTGTCAATAGTTTATTGTAAAAGGAGTTATGCATGGCAAAATTGATAAGATTTTTTTCAAAATCATTTCACACATTTTTTATCTCTTACTTTTGTTTTCCCAATTTCGACATTCTTTAAGTAATAGTTTGATGTTATTAAAAAAAAAAAGGTTAATAGTTCTTTTAACATTGTTGCTGAATAAATGAACTTTCACAAATATTATTAAACTTGCATAAACATACAAAATAACTGATAAGTGCCCCATGAAGATCTGGAAAAGATTTCTGGAAGATTTTATTAAATTGCCCAACTTGTCCCTGCATAGAGTCTGGAACAGTTATACAATCCTCTGATACCAGTAAGAAGATTGAGATCAATGGAACTTTCAACTGTAAGACCAGAAATGTAGTTTACCATATAACATGTGAGCAGTGAAAACTACAATATATAGGACAGACAACAAGATCTTTAGATGAAAGAGTGAGAGAACATATTGGTTACATTAGAAATCTCCATACAAACCAGCCTACAGGAGAACATTTTAACCTTCCATGAACTGTACCATCTAAAAGTTAGCGTTCTAGAGAAGGGAGGGAACCTTTGGAGATGCTTTTACTTGAAGTTCGGGAATCTAAATACATCAGAGATTTTATGACTGAACTCAGAGGAATGAACAGAAAAAATAGTTTTTATTCAATTGTAAACTCTAATTCAGTATTTTTATGAATAAAAGAGTTTTGTTTATGTCCAATTCTTTAAAAGGTTTAAATATCCCCTCTTAAACAAGCCGCCCCCCCCCCCCCCGATTAACGTTTATAAAGAGATTTAAAAAAATGTATATTAAAATGTATATTAAAATGTATATTAAAATGTATATTAAAATTACAGCAAAAATCCGAGGTCCATTATTATTATAACACTTTTCATATTAAAGATTTATGCATAAAATAATAAAAGTGTTAATTTAGAAAAGCACTACAAAAACAGTTTGCACTACTGTGAAACAAAATAAATAATATACACAATTTGTACTTACCTAATAAAGTTGTCGGCATAGGGATTCTGTTTTTACTAGATATAATTATACCCTAAACTTAATGTTTAAAAAGGTTGTTTTGTAGGGGTTGTTGGCTCAATTTCTTTGTTGTAATATAATAACGAAGACTTTATATGTTCAGACCATTTGATTTTATAGTTTAATAAATTGAAATCAATTTTCAAGATGCTAAAATAAAACCACATTTTGAAAATACAAAGACTTAAAGTAAATAAATTTACTGGTTTAACTAGAATAAAACTGTTATTATCACTTTACTGGAGTAAATTATATTTTTACTGAAACCCCGTTCATAAGATTTTTTTTTAATTGCTTGCTTTTTTAGTAATGGCATAAGTAAGTTGGAATAAATTCGGACCTTGCTTTCTAGATTTGAGAGTTATATATGATATAATAAAAGAAGACATTTGTGTATATATATATATATATATGTTGCGTATAGCCGGCCAAACGGCTGGACCGATTGGGCTAAAAAATTTTGTGAATACTCATGTGTGGCCGGGGACTGTTACGGGCTTTAAAAAATTGGATTTTTTTTTAATTTTTCAAAATATTTTTTTCAAATTTTTTTTTTCCAAGGGCAACGCTGGGCCCTTCAGCTAGTATGATAAAAAAAATGTCGATTAAATTTAACTGCTTGTAAGAAAAAGCTTCTTGCTATTTTAAAAATATATAATATTTACCATTATTCAAGTTTATGCTCAAGACCAGATGGTGTTGCTAAACACATTGTTTAAATTGAAAACAACAAAATGAGAAAAAGTTTTTAGATTTATTATTCAGTTTATGTGAACTCCATAATCCATATTATAAAGATTGGATGAACGCTTTGCAAAATTTATTATTTTAAAAACACAAAACAAGAAGAAATTTACTGTTTTATTTAGGCAGACACTTCGAGTGTGCGAGGTGGGGAAGACTTCACTGCCGCGCTTAATTAAAAGAATGATTAAGGGGATATGCCATTTGTAGATCGAGATTGAATCCTAGCCGCAGCACTCGGCCCAGAAAGTGTCATAACTTAACCTAACCATAAATAAAAGAAAGTGTCTATAACTTAACCTAACCCGTGGCTTCAGCGCTCGGGCCCCTAGCCTGTCCTAGCCGCAGCAATCGGCCCAGAAAGTGTCTTAACCTTACTTAACCTAAATAAATACTAATTTAATTGAAAATTGTTAAAAAAGTTGTTATGTACAAAAGTAAAATCTGCAGTGAAGTCTTTCCTGCACCTCGCACACTCGAAGGTTGGAGTTCAGCGTCTGCCTTTTATTTATGAATTTACATTTAAATGAAGAAAATAATACGGCACAACCACTAGATGTGCAACTTACATGACTTGATGCCCATGGGTATGATTTATGGCTGGATTTATGTTCAAAGTTGAAAAAAATATGCAAAAAAATTTCGACTTTCTTTTTTTTAATGAACCAATTTACGATGATATATGGTGACTTGAAAAGCAACAGTTAAAAGCTAAAATTGTTACCTAAAAGCTTAGTACAATATATATGATAGGCTTGTAGGGCGCTTCGCGCTCATATTATTTTTTAAACTTTTAATAGGCTTTATCTGTGAGCATCTTCTCTTTGTACGGTATAAAAAAATTATTTTAAATTTGCGGATTTAATAATATTTTTTCGCACATTTAACATATTTTTATGGTGCCTTTTAAAAGCAAAAAAAAACCATCAATTTATAAAACCACTTTCTTTTCATCTTGAAAACCACTAACCCATCCAACCTTATGATCGATGAGATTTTTCTTAATCATTTCTTAGAGCAGATGCTCTCTAAAGTCTATGTCGACGTATGTACATATATATATATAATACTACAAAAAAGTACATGTAAGGTAAAATCAAAGACCGAGAGGTGTGGTAACCCTGTCTTGAAAAATATGAAACTTTTTATAGCAGTCTGGATCTATGTGTCCCCCCCCCTGTGCCTTCCCGACTCCTGTTTGAATGAATTGTTTTGCTATTATTACTACAAAGCTTTCAAAGTTGTTAAAAAGAACTTTTTAGAAAGTTTTACAATTCTTATTAAATTCACGGATCATGTTATTGTTAGGTTTATATAAATAGTTACTGCGCAGAAAATTAATGAACATTAAGATTTGCAATTTGACCAATTTTCATAGCAAAATTATATTGTAAATGCATATTGCAATTATATGGAAAAGAACCGCATAATAATGTGATAAAAAGTACTTAAAAATAATACGGGAAAATTTTTTAACACAGTTGTCCATTAAAGTCAATGTGAAAAAACTTAGATGTAAAAATGCAATGGTTCAAAAATATGGAAATACATGTGAAAAATGCTTTAATCAGGAACCAATTAGAATTTAGTTTTTTCAGACAAAAAAATATTTTTTTACTTATTTTATATTTAAAAATCATGATTTTCCCTTCTCTGCTTTTTGGCAATTAATTTCCCCTAATTCAACCCCTTTAAATCTTTAGCTTGCTTTTTGTCTATCTATCTATCTATCTATCTATCTATCTATCTATCTATCTATCTATCTATCTATCTATCTATATATCTAAATCTATCTATCTATCTATCTATCTATCTATCTATCTATCTATCTATCAATCTATCTATCTATCTATCTATCTATCTATCTATCTATCTATCTATCCATCCATCTAGCTCTTCTACCCGTGTTTACCCAAACCAAGTTGAAACCTGCATTTCCCCCCGAAATTAGAAATATACAAGAATACTATTTTACTTCCAGTTAAACAGAAAACTTGAGACCAATAGTTTATCCAGACATTTTTTTTTGAGAACAAAATTAATCATTTTGTGGATTTGATAAGATAAAGATCAGTCCAGTTTTGTAGTTTATTGGGGATTTTACTTATTCTTTGAAGGTGGTTAAAATTTTGAAATGTAATTTTTTTATTTAGACAAACATAAAGTTTTGAACGCTCAATTTCAATTATTGCAGGAGATACAATTTGAAATGTTGAATAATCTTGCAAAATATTATTTGATGAATCTCTATAGTTATGTACCATGAACCATAGGATAAAAAAAACAAAGACATTTGTTTAAAAATAATAATGAAGGATGCATGTATTGCTAAAGGATCCTCCATTTAAACGTTTCATGTCCCCCCATTTACTAGAGTATCCTTCAATCAGAGAAGCAATGATAAAAAATATTTTGGATAGGGATTATTTCTGTCATTTTTTCTTCGTTTTCTCTGTTAAATGATGAATCCACAAGTCACATTTAGAGAAACCGCAATTGTTAAAAAACAAGAATATCTCTATTATTTTTGTTCAAATAAAGTTTTATATATGCAATGCTACCGTTGTGAATCAGGCATATCAAGTCAATGGCATCGGAAAAAAAGATTATTCAAAAATTGAGTTATTTGAAGGACATGGCTATCAGGACGCTTCGCGCCTATTTTCTATTTCAACTTCTAAATGTTGCTAAATCTATCAGCATTTTCTCTTCAACTTACATTTTTGCGGATTTACAATTTTTTTCGTGGATTTTCTGAAAATCAAAAATGTTTTGATTCAATACCTTGGAATTTAAGAGAATCCATAAACCTCCCCTATCGGTTCAGTCGGTTTGACGTTTATTTACGTAAAGTAAAATTAACGTAAGATTTATATTTTATATATTTTTATAATAACTTCTCTTGTTGAAGAGCTTTTATGTCTTGAATTTGTAATATGCTGTTCTTACACTTTTTGCGTACAATCAGAACCAGAGGAGCAACGGAATCACAAACATTTAATATTAATGTCAATTGAATTTGACCATCGCCTCTTGGTTAGTTTACAGAATATCGGTTACAAACAAACAAACAAACTAAAATATAAATAAAGATAAATGTTTTTGTTGGTTTTTTCTTTGATAATCTTATTTTTAATAAAGACTATGGTCAGAATTATCATTTTTGAATTTTAACAAGGATAAATGTTATTCTTTTGTGAAATGCTGGTTTCAACTTCAAACAGAATTATGAAAACCTTTCATTTCGAACAAAATTTCATTTAATGAAATATAAATAAAATATTTTCGTAATGTATTCTTTAGTAGATATAAAAGGGTACATTTGATAAATTGCTTGAAACGCTGATTCATTAAAGAAAATAAAGCATAAAAGAAATACTGGAAATTTAGCTAATTGAGTAAAAATAAGACAAAGATGAATAGAAAATCCGATTATCAAGAAAAAAAGCTTTATTTTGATGGTACTTGATTATCTTACATATTATTTACAAATAGAGAAAAGATTTTTGATTTCGAAAATACTTTCGTAATAAATTTCGAAATTTTTTTTCCTTTTTAAAAGAAAAATGGGTCGGGATATTCCTGTGAAAACAGACAAAGCTTACCGCCAGCTTAAAACTACGGTAGACAAACAAAACCGCAAGAGAGCAAAGATATCTCCCAAGTAAAAATTCTAAACACATAATTCTATTTTTTTTTCATATTGTTGATCAAGACTGAAAAGTAATTTTAAAATTAAATTTTATTTTTTAAGTTTAGCTTAAATTTAAATTTGTTAAGTTAAACTTAAAAATAACAATTATTCAATTTGGCTTACAAACTTTGTTTTACTCATGATTTTTCTTTGGTTCACTGGTTTTTAACTTTGTGGATTGAGCAATATCGTCGAAAAAATTGGTTTTAAAAGCCAATAAAATTATCAAAACGCAATCATTTTATTTTTAAGTTTTGTTTAAATTGTTGAAAAGTTCACATTGTATACTTTAGAGATCAAGGAACATATGTGGATGGTCATAGAAACATTTCAGTTGCCATCGACTCTAAAGATTTGACCAAATCTCTGAAAACAACATCTAGTGAGGTAGATTTTTAAAATCTTGCTAAATCTTGACATTATATATATATATATCTACCTATATAGATTGCTTTTGCTGTATAACACCAGTTTAACTAAGTTTGTTAAAACATGTGAAAATGTCATTAGAAATATATATATTTGAATACACATCAATCTTGTCACCTTCATATAATTTTATACATACATATATAAAAAAAACTCCCAAGGGACAATAAATGGCAAATAAATTCTTTTTTAAATTTAATTAGCATTTAAAAATATACATTTTGCGAATAAATTTTATTTTAATTTTGGGTTTGGAGAGTATATAATTTGGAGGAAAGTTAAATTCATGAGGTGTTGGAAAATAAAAAAAATCCTTTGAGAAAGTTATTTACACAGCAAGTGCATTGTGCAGTTTTAACAGATTCATTTCACTTCCTCTCATAGCTTATAAGCTACTTTGTGCTTTAAAACAACATCAAATACACATAAGATTGGTTCAATGCCGTTTTCCTATTCCACAGTTTGATGTGTACCATTGTAAAATATAGATACAGCAGTAGTGATTTCTAAAAGCTTTTAAAGAGCATGAAAACACATAAGACAGCTTCTCTTTATTTGCTTGTAACCCTGTAGCTTTAACAAAGCTTGTTAGAAATAAGAACTTAAAAAGAAAAGTCGTCTTCATTGTATTGATATAAACGCCAACCCCTGTATATTTCCAGTTGCTTCAGTTGGAAGATGAAGGGGATGTTAACAGTATTCTTTACAGTCGTCAGGTCAGTTTTTAATAGGGACACATTTAGGGAGCAAGGGGATCATTGCCCCCCCCCTTTTTCATTTAAATATTAAGATCAGGGAGAAAATCTACAAATGACTCATAAAGACACATACAAATTTTATTCAATTATTTTGGTTTAACTTGTTGACCTTTTGGTGACACATACATCTGAATTGAACCAACCATCATGGTTCAGCAATCTCCACATTCATTGGATAGACAAACAGACAATATACAATAACAAAAATTATCTTTTATAGTATTCAATCCATATTTATTTTGGATGTAAAAAGAATTTTTAAACTTTTCTCCCGATATGTTTTCGGTGAAGAATTATTACAAACGTTTAACCCATTAAGCTTGTTTTTACTGCTTAAGTTAATAAAGATATGACACAAGTTAACAATTTCACGTCTTTAACTTTAAATAACCAGTTACGTTTCATTCAACAGAGCTTTCCAAATATTAATGAAATATATACCTACACATTTCCAAGAGTGAAGATTGGTTATTTGGGCTTCAAACAGACCAGTTATTCTAGGATTAACTTTTTTTAAGTAAAATGTAAAATTGTTGTAAAACGTTATTGTTTTATATTTTCCCACCCTCTAATTGTATCTGCAGAAATAAAATTTACATTTTATTTTTGTATTTGTAAAAACAAAATTTGAACAATTGTGCTTTTATTATTCAATTAGAGCTTTCACCCCTCGAAAGGGGGAATCATAAACACTAACAGTTGTTTCTTTAATTAAGGCTGCAACAATATTTATCCAAAATGTTTATTTTTTAATTATTCACCAAAAAACTTATACTTATACTTCAACTGAAATTGTCTAATCCCTATATCTTTGCAATTGCATCCTGATGGTTTAAACCTTGAATATTACAAACTTATTCTAGACTCAACACACAACATTAGATAATATAGCTTAGTGTATAAACTTGAATATTACAAACTTATACTATTTGATCTAACAGAATTTATAGTTTGAAATATCGAATGTTTACAACATCAAGTTACAAAGATTTAGGGATTAGAAAAATAGAGTTTGTGGCAAAAACTCAACTCCTTGAAAGCAATATTTAAAAAAACGGTTTTTGAAAAAATAAAAATTTTTGTAATTTTACAAATTAAAGATTTTGGAGTACTTGGTCGAATTTTCGAATCCCTCTAAAAAAAAGATTGATGAAAATAAAAAATTATGAAACCGATCTAATAAATATAAACTCATTATAATGAATTGTTTTTTAATGAATGCTGATTTCTTTCAGATAGATTTACAGATATTATTTATTTCAGGAGAAAATGTATAAAAAGTAGAGATTAAATGATGGAGGGGGGGGGGGGGTATCTGTTGGGGAAAGCTTTTTACAAACGATTTCAAAGATTTCAAAATGTTCAAAAATTGTTTTGTGATTTTTGAAACAATGAGTATTACAAGAATCTTCTTAGTTTGGGGTTGAATTTGAATCCATAACAATTTCAAAAACGATATTGCATAAATAGAAAATAAAGTATTGAATTTTTGTTAAACCTTTTGTCTAACTTTGTATGTATTTTTTTTTAAGGCTCTTCACTTTGGAGCAAAGAAACAGTTTCAGAAATCTAAGAAATACTTTTCTCTTGGTAAAGCATTTTTTTAATTATGACTTTATATTCAAAAACACTTTGGCACATTTATCTAGAAAGAAGGAGAATTGGTTAAATTTTTGCAGCATGTCCGATACGACTTTGTGACCTTTAATTTTCTCCAGTTTTGATTTTACATACGAGTAACAATTCAAAATAATTTTTATTCTCAATTTCTTCCCATTTAAAAAAGAAAAATTCTTAAGAGACATGAATTGCGTAAATGGGTTGTCAAAGCAAACTTTCAAAAATTTTACAAGTTATTGAGGATAAACCACCCTGGGCATACTAATTTCCGAAATGCATTAGTGAAAAATCAGCACAAATTAACTTAAAACTGAAATTCATCAGTACTTTATAAAATCTGGTTTTTTTGTTGAGAATCAATTTTTATTGAATCCTGCAAATTTTAATCCTTCAAGATTTTAAATGGTTTGAAAACCAGAAAATATTTATACATATATTTATCTATATTTAGCTCATCTCATGAACCCTGATGATACAGAAATTCTTTCCAGGTAACTCTTATACCTAATCTAACATGATATTTTTACTGAAATAAATTTAGGGTTTTGTATTAAATTGGACATTTAAAAATTAAATGGTCAGATATATTTAAAAAACTTACATACTACTAAATTTCTTGATTATTTTATTGATTCATTGATTAAATCTATTCACAGCTTCTCGAAGTATTCCTGCTTGGTAAATTAATTAATAAATGATGTCTATTTACAGCTATACGGAATCACTACGTAATTAATTGATTGATTGATTACATGAATTTAAAGCTACGTTACACCACTGCGTGGTTAATTGATTGATTGGTTGATTTCATGAATTATTTTTTTTTCGCAGAATTCCAGCTTCATTAATTGATTGATTGTTTACACGTACAGCAACACAGCATTCGCTTGATTTATTGATTGATTGATTGATGGATTAAATTTTTTTCAAGCTACGCAGCATCCCTGCTATCATGTGGTGAACACGATCAAGCAATGGAGTATGCAGAACTTGTTTTAAGGTAACCACCTTTTAATAAACATGTATGACTGATTAGTGATAAAAATAACACATCATCTTCTTATAACATCATGTTAGTCCATTTTAGTGTGAAAAAATAATATCAAATTGAGATTAACCTCCATGTTGCTAAAATTGGATCAATTTTATTTGCGTGAAACTATAATATTCAATTAAGCATCTAAACCTTATTTAGAATCTCCACTAAACTAGTTCGTAATAAGTGTGAAACCAAGATATTAATTTTCTATGAATCAATTTCAGCGCAAAACCGTAATATTTATACTGACCATAAAATCATTAAGTTTTAATCAATCTAGATTTTGCCATTTACAAAGGTTTTTTAACATTCACAAAGTACATAATTTAATTACTTAGCATTTAAAAAAATTTCTAAATTTATGGAGTGAGAGCCGGCCATACAAATTTGAAATAGGAAGCTGACTGTTAGTCTCAAATTATAATTTTATAAAGTCAAAATGTGCTTAGAAACAAAAACATTGTGAATTTTACACAGACCTATTTTACGAAATAAGATTTCAAGCTGCTTGTACAACAATTTACTTTATACCACCATCAAATACAAAGATTGCTTTCATGTCCTCTTTCTAATCAACAGATTTATGGGTCCCATGTTGGAAATATATTATGCAAAAATACACAATATAATAACATTTATTAACTGTTTTTTTTTTCAGGTTGGATCCTTATTCTGTCAAGGAAAGCTAAATCGAACTCAACATTTTTTGTATATACCAAGGGAATAAAATACAGGGTATTAAATATCATTAGCAAAGTCAATAGAATTCTTAATAATATTGGTCATAAGTTATCCTAATTTCTATTGCTCTATGCACTATACAGACATTGGTAAAGTCTTGCAAAGTAAAAAATTATGTTTATTGAATAATTTAAAAAAACTGATGCTAATAATGAAAAGAATTTCCTTGTCACCCCTGAAAAGTTTGCAAGTATAATTTTTCTAATATTTAATTGAAGATATTGAACCACATTTTTGCGTTCAAAAAATATGAAAAAGAAGAAAAGTCCTTTGATCAAGACCAGCATTCAGATACAGAAAATATATCTATATTTAGTTTGAAAATAAAGTTTTAGAATTAAATTCTGCCCTACATCCTGTCTCCTATTGACGAGCATAATTGTGTTTCCTTCTATCCAAAGAAAAACCCAATTGGGGAATTTTGCTTCACTGGTCAACATCAAATAGATTGCTAAGTACAATAGATGGCAACCCAGTATATGTACACTCTCAGTACAGCTGTATTCTTACATCACAAGTATCAACTTAGTTTTTGTGTCCGACAAAATTATTAATAATTGTGATAATTTTAGAATAAAGAGCTTATCTTACATTGAAAAAGGTGCAATTTTATGTGTTCTTTATTTTCTGTTTTTACACTTTTTTATTTAATCTTAAAAAACATGCCAAAAAATGTGAGAAAATTTCATATACTTTGTTATATTTGACACTTGTGACGTCGTGTATAATTGATCCATTTCTCTGTTGCCACCTATTGTACTTGATAATCTATTTGGTCAACAAAAAACAACTACACATATAAAATAAAAACTAGATTCTGAAGAACAAGGGGTCGAAACTTTCTATGAAATAACACTAATCTGAACTGGAATATAGATATCCATATTGAAACTTATAATATGAAGTGATTAAGTAAATTTAATCTGAACTAGATAATAGATATCCATATTTGAAACTTATAATATGAAGAGATTAGGTAAATTTAATCTGAACTAGATAATAGATATCCATATTGGAAGGGATTAACTAAATTTAATCTGAACTAGATAATAGATATCCATATTGGAAACTTATAATATGAAGAGATTAACTAAATTTAATCTGAACTAGATAATAGATATCCATATTGGAAACTTATAATATGAAGAGATTAACTAAATTTAATCTGAACTAGATAATAGATATTTAAATAGCCAGTTACGTTTCAACAGAAATATAGCTTTCCAAATATTAATGAAATAAATTTATATACCTAACTAGATAATAGATAATGGAAACTTATATATGAAGGGATAAACTTAATCTAATCTGAACTATATAAAAGATATCCATATTGGAAACTTCTAATATGAAAGGATTAATTAAATTTAATTTATCCAAAAACAGCTGAATTATATTCTTCATAATCTCAAAGGCTGGAGTTTTAAGAGGATAAAGCTTGTGTTGGTACACTTAACAATAAAAAAAATTGTGTTAGCTTGATCCGGATTAACTTAAATTTTTATCAATGAGAATTTCAAAAGCATCAAAACTTAAAATCGTAGCTATATATAAACTTTGCTTGTCTGGGTGTTTATTTGTGTAGCTGTCTGATTGTATTAAAAAAGGAAATATGGCTGCAAACTGATCGGGTAAAAGGTTTAAGAGCAATCAAATTTTGAAAATGCGCCAATGTATACAAAGAAAATCCGCGACTGACGTTTTACAAAAAAAATGGCAGCTTGGAGAGGAACGGTTAACGGTTAAAAATTTTACTATGAAAGAGCGCGAATTGCTCTGGAAGCCAAGGATTTAGATTTATGCGTCCAGGCATTGTCAGTGAAGGCTGAATCTCTTTACCATACCTGCTGTTTCGAGAGAGCACTTGTTATCTTCTTGAGGTATAAGAAAAAATTTCAATCCAATCGTAAGCATTTTTTTGTGATCAACCTGTGTTCGGTGTTTAGAATGCTCTGATAGAATCGAGCTTAGTTTAATATGCTACAGTTAAACCCCAAATGAGCCATACATCGAAAAAAATTGTCGCCTAGACAATTTTTCAATGGGTTTTATATTATTTTACGTAAATCTCAGTATTTGCGAAAATGAATAAATAGCACTGAATATGCCGAACAGTTTTAAAGAGCTCCATGAAATCAATTAATTATGAAACTAAATACCTGCATTCCATTATTAGAAAATGAAGAATACGACATTTGATGAATTCTTTCGATGTATTGCTTATTTAGTGTTTAACTGTAGGTTCGCTTAGTTTCCCTATTGGCGAGTATACCACCTCCTCTGTTTGTATTGTTGGCGAGTATTCCATCTCCTCTGTTTGTATTGTTTGCTGTTGTAAAACCAAAAAATTAGGATATTCTTGGTCCAACAATACTTTTTTAACATTCCTTGGAGGACTTTATTTTCTGAACTCTAAGTGAAGATAACATATTCTGAAGCAAAAATCAATGAGAATTTTGCCAATTACTTCTTAATACCACAAAGCTAACAAACAAGTGCTTTAGAGTGCTTAAATGTACATTTAAAGGGCTACGGAAAATCCTTAGTAAATTAGAACGGTAAAATCAAAGCCCAAGGCGTTGCGACACTATAAAGGCGACCATGTCTCAAAAATTTATGAGACTTTAATAAGCAGGCTGAATCTATGTGTATCCAGGTTAATTTTTTTGACCTGCTCATGTCGTACCTCAGTCATTTTGAATTATTTACAACTAATTTATTGGAAAGTTAATCGAATTTTACTTTACCAAGGGTTCCCAAGACCAATTTTGCCTACAAGTATCTAGAGGGCAGCGAGGGATGTTTGGCGGGCAAAATTGGTCGAGGGTACCCATGTTTATTTTCCCATAAAAGTATAGTTGTACACAATTTTATCGCCTTTTGAGAGGAAAATGCGCAAATTTGTTCAGGAAAACTTCTCAGAGCGGGTCGTTATATTACTTAATTGCCCAAGGGACGTGAAGTAACTTGACGTCCCTCTGATGGGGGAATCATAGGTCGGTTATATTAGTAAAAAGGCAATAAAAGATTTAATATTCCCAGGAACCGGAACTTCTAGAAAAATCGGCCTTTTGGTGTGGAATACCTTTATTTAGCCATTTGTAATTTCTAGCTGGGTGGGATAGGGCCGGAGGCGAAAATGAAGCCTGTCCATGCCTGGTGATTCATTTCTTTACTGTTGTAATTCCTGAAAATAAAGGAATTGAGTCTTTGTCACAAACTCTGATTTTCTAATCCTAATATCTTTTAAACCTGATGGTGAAAGCTTTTGATATTTCAAACTTAGATTATTTAATCTAACATAATTCATAGTTTGAAATATCAAAGGTCTCAGGCATTGGGTAGCAAAGATATAGCGGGTAGAAAATCAGAGTTTGTGGAAAAGGCTCAAATCCTTTAAAGATTTTGACAAAAAACATTTCTCATTTTCATTTTCTTTCTTGTTGAAAATTATACAAGAAATATTAAACAACGATGAGAAAAGTTTTTATAAAATTGCTGACTTTTGTTTATTTTCTTCTATTTTATGGTTATAGGCCAACTTTCGTATTCCAAAATCATCTAAAATTTCTACCCTAAACATTGGTGACTTAACAAAATATTTAAAATATATTTTCTCTCTAGGGTTTTGAGGCTCTCACCTGAACATGAAAATGCCAAGGAAAGTACATGAAACTACTAACATAACTTTTCAAACTTTAAACAAAAGTTGTAAAAGCGAAAATTTCTCACAGTTTCATTCTAAATAAATATTATTGACATTTTCACAGAAACGTTTTAAAACAGTTTTCCAGTAAGTTATCGTTAGACTTTAATTTATCATTAGTTTTTTTTTTTTTTTTCTAATTCTCCCTGGCCATGAACAATAAAAGTTTAAACCAGAATTATGTTCTATTTTCAGATATTAAAGGAACGAAGTCTTTGCCACAAACTCTGTTTTTTAATCCCTTTATCCAACCGGCGCGGATGACGAGGAGATTTAATATTTTAAACTTATATTATTTGATCTAACAGAATTAATTATTTTAAATATCAAAGAATCAAAGATCTACGACTTTGGGTAGCAAAGTTAAGGGATTAGAAAATCAGAGTTTGTGGCAAAGACTCAATTCCTTTATCTGCCTACGAGTTCATATTGTTTTTTTTTCTGGCGTGATTGGGATGCTATTTATGATTGGTACCAAGTAGTTTTGTCTTTTGACAAGCATACTTTTCTTCACAAAAAAAAAATTGTTTAGAAAACCAACTTCTTTTTTGTACAAAAAGATTTCCCATGCCTTTTTTATTGATTTTCATTCCTTTTAAATACGGAAATTTTTTAGGGGAAGATATTTATTAATTGGTCGTTAATAGCCTTCTATTTAGTAATTTAACATTTCAACCAAAGGAATTGAGTTTTTGCCGCAAACCCAAATTTTTTAATTGCCATATCTATGCAACTAAATGTTGAAACCTTTGAAATTTTAAACTTACACTATTTGATCTAACAAAATGTATAGTTTAAATATCAAAGGTCTACGACATCGGGTTGCAGAGATAAAGGAAATAGAAAATTAGCGTTTGTGACATAAACTCAATTCCTTTTACACCAAATCTAAAATTTGTTGTTTTGACGTTTATAACCTTTTGGACATAAACGATCCAAAAAAAAACAGCCTAGAAAAATATATTAATAATTGTACTTCTTATCTAGTTAGGGACTGCTAAATGCCGGAAAACAATTTTGGATTGTATTGGAGGTAAACACAAAACGTCTTGGATTGTATAGGAGGTAAACACAAAACATCTTGGATTGTATAGGATGTAAACACAAAACATCTTGGATTGTATAGGAGGTAAACACAAAAAATTTTGGATTATATTGGAGGTAAACACAAAACATTTTGGATTGTATTGGAGGTAAACACAAAACATCTTGGATTGTATAGGAGGTAAACACAAAACATCTCGGATTGTATAGGAGGTAAGCACAAAACATCTTGGATTGAATAGGAGGTAAACACAAAACATTTTGGATTGTATTGGAGGTAAACACAAAACATTTTGGATTGTATTGGAGGTAAGCACAAAACATCTTGGATTGTATAGGAGGTAAACACAAAACATCTTGGATTGTATAGGAGGTAAACACAAAACATTTCTTTTATTGTATTCTCTAGTCAGCGAAATTTTTTTACATGCTAAAGTTTTTTACATGTGATTTTAAACTTAAAATGAATAATTTTAAAATTCTTTTGCAGCAAAAACAAACGTTTTTGTCCCATCTGTGGAATTTGAGCATGAAACTAAACTGAGGACAAAATTATGAAAACAAAAAACAAAGCATTTTTATGTTAAAAAATGGTATATGTAGCATAATGGGGATTATAAACTTTGTAAAGTATTTACATAAATACTTAATTCTGCAGTGTAAACTTTGAAATACAGGACTACCTTGCTTAATTATGCTTAATTATAAAAATGTTAAAAAAACATATTAGAATTGTGTACGTCATCCTAATTCTCATTTTTTCTTTCTAAGTCATGCATTTATGAAAATTAAAATTAAAATTAAAATTAATAATATGTTTTTTTCATTTGCAGATTTAACTATAATAATTTTATATTTTTCAAAAACTGCTTTCAAAAGAATCCGCAATATAATAGAAATTAGACAGAAAAAAAAGTTCAAACATTTTTAAAAATATCTATTTGTTTTGTCAATAATACTTACAAACTGGAGCAATAAAGGGTAAAAAGTTGTACCGTGGTATCAATTTTGTATTTTTTCTGCTCACAGTTTAATTATACAAAGCAAAATTTTTTGGCTGGTGACCCAAAAATAAATCTTACTGTTTAAATGTTAATTGCTCTGTGATTAAATGAATAAATAAAAATAATCCATCCATGTTAAAATAATAAAAAATAAAGATAATTTTTAGGAGAAAACCTGTTCTCATTCAAGGGTCTACAGGAGGCCATAAATAATTGTAAAATGAAACCTGTTAGAAACAGTAAGATCTAATTTGTAAAAATCTAATTTCTTTTATTGTCAGCTCCTGCTTATACATTGTATACGTTATAAGAAGTGACTCTACATTTAAAAAGAAAATAGTGGCATATCTGATTCACAACGATATCATGTATTTGTTATGGTGTCCCAGTAAGGTGACTTACCAGATTTAAACAATATTAAGCTAGCTAGAAAAACGATGTTTCATCCATATTAAGTTTTAATTTTTACCATTGTAAACTTGTGTAGTTGTGATTTTGAATTAGGCATTCCCCTCTTTAAATGAAAGGTCGCTTGAATTAATAATTACTGTTAAAACAAATATTTTATTAATTAGAAAAACGACTTTTAGACTCAAATTATGAGTTTACATATTCCAATGAACATTAGATACACCAACTTTAGAGGTCTTTATATTCCACAGTTTTCTGGTTCTCACTGTATTATCAGAAGATAAAAGATATTTTGAAAAACTTTTGCTACCGAATTTTCAGAAGATGAGAAGAAGTTTAGAAAGAAGAAAGAAGATCAAGGTAAAAAATCCAAACTTTGATAAATTCGGAAAATATTTCCTGGGTAAAAGGATTTAGTTCTAATTAAAAGTAAATATTGTTCTAACTATAGTTTCTACAGTATTTGAAAAGGAAAATAGGCTATAGACAAATATTTCCGACAGGAAACATTCACAATTTGGCAAATAAATCGATTATCCTGTAATTAAAAAATTATAAATGAGTTTCATTTTTTCAAAAGTTTCAATTTTTAACCTCTTTCATCCTAAAAAAGGTCTGCTCAGTTAGTGATTTAGAAGGTGGAACGGATCGAATCAAAAATTAATACATTTAGTCAAAACCCAAGTTTGATGTGTTCGATATAAATATTTGTGAAAATCAGAAATTTTTATTGATAATTGAACCTCCCAGATTAAATCTTGTAAATATTTGTCCCTGATTTTTAAAAGTTCAGATTCCAATATTTCACGAGGCGGAAGGGTTAGGAAATCTGACCGGCTCAGGTGGGTAGATTATTTAACCAAAATAATTTACATCCATCATTAATATGAAGTAGGCCTCAGGTGGGTAGAATATTTAACCAAAATAATTTACATCCATCATTAATATGAAGTAGGCCTCAGGTGGGTAGAATATTTAACCAAAATAATTTACATCCATCATTAATATGAAGTAGGCCTCAGGTGGGTAGAATATTTAACCAAAATAATTTACATCCATCATTAAGATGAAGTAGGCCTCATAAAATTGTGGAACAGGAAGACGACGTGTCAGCAATATTAAGTAAAGATGTTGTTAAATAAAGTAAATGCCAAGCTATTGGAAAATATTTTTTTTAAACGAAATGGTCTGTTAACACTGCACGTTTGCTGTGTTTCATGTGTATTTTACTATTTCAAATCATAACTTAAGAAGTTGAGTATGTATCATCCTTATTCACAGTTGTATGGGTTTCCAAATACGTAAGATTAAAAAATGTTAGATGTTAAAATCCAAGTACATGGTGGAAGGAAGGCAAATATGTACTATAATATTAAAATTGAATATTCCTTTTGTTAAACTAAAAATATTTTGCCCCCCCCCCTCTCATATTTCTTTATTAGTTCAAATACGGAGGTTGTGCCCCCCTCATATTTCTTTATTATTATAAATACGGAGGTTGTGCCCCCCCTCATATTTTTTATTAGTTGTTTAAGGAGGGGTATTTAAACCTTTTAAAGAATTGGACATAAACAATACTCTTTTTTTAAATAATCTGTTTTCCAAATTATAAACATACATATATCATAATTCATGCTTGATTAGTCAAGGCTTTTAAGGATACTGTTGTGAATAAGGCATTGCCATCCTTGCATGGAGGGTCACTTGAAATTACACTTATATAAAGTTCCTTTAATACTGTTCTCCTACAGTGATAATGGATCATGTTGCAGAAATTTAGTTTTTTAATTAAATTATTATATGGAGCTCTATAAAACTGTTCCGCATATTCATGGCTATTTATTTATTATCGCAAATACTGAGATTTACCTAAAATAGTATAAAACCCATTAAAAAATTGTCAAGACGACATTTTATAAATTCTTTCAATGTATTTAATATAATAGCCAGGGGTTATCCAGTCAAGAAAAATTCAGATTGATGATGAAAACTTATTAAAAAGATTAAAGACGAACTCCCAGTCGTCTATCACGTTTCAAGAGACAATCTTTATTCATAAAATTAGTCCAAAAATACTGTGGAATAGAAACATTTAAACATGAGTATTTAAAGTTGTGTCAATTGGAAAACATCTCACACCTCACCAGTTGTTTACAGATAACTTTTTTAAAGGGACTGTAAAGGAAAACTGAAAGGGATAGGCTGAAAGCTAATCACTTTAGCTCTTGATCGCGACCCATGAAAGTTTTATCTGATGTTCCTGTCTCGAGAAATTGATATGAAACTGTGTTAACATTTTAGAGACAAGGCCCTGAAAGTAATAGCTGAAGGATTGGAGTTCTTGGATTCTCGAAGACAATTTTGGAATCAAGTTGAGAATTGAAACATCAACAAATAAATGAAGATTTATCCAAAACCGATTCAACTGTAGTGATAAATAAACTTTTCCCGTGTGAGAAAAATTTACATAAAAATAAAAACGTTTCTAAAATTTATAATTGTGCTTTAGATTTTTCTATGTTCATGGAGATCAATTGTGACCCTCCTTGCAAAGATAACAATGCCCGATTTACAACAATACCCTTAAAAGTTAAAAGCGTTGCCTGCATGCAGTCATTCACATATGATCTAGTTATACATGTTTTATTTATTTAAACTGTTATTTTTATTTGTGGTTATTCTGTAAAGTGATTTGGGAATTTCCTGCACAGAAAACAACGGAGAAATTCCCTGAAAAAAAACTGTTCAAGTCGGAAAACGACGTTATTCTCCTGTTTTTGATCAGATTGTTTCAATGGTACCATTGCCTGGAGGGTCGCTTAATTTATACGCTCACAGTTCCTTTTGTATAACAGAAAGAAATTTTAGATTTCTTTTTTATACTGCAAATTTTCAGTTCAGTTATTATAGTAACAAATATCATCAAATTGTCAACGTTAGAGAGTCGTGAAGTACAGGGTGTCCCACATCAAATTAGACCGCGTCAATGGGTCTAAATTACGATTTGGGGGACAAATCAGAAAATTTAAGAAGAATAAATCATTTTGAAAAATTTGATAAGGCTAATAGAATTTTCTTTTTGCAGAAAGTGCTAGATTTTTCTAGTATTATGTGCGTATTTTGGCGTTAAAGATTGGAGATAATCTAATATGATATGGGACGCTCTGTATCTAATCATTTTAAATTCTAACCATAGATTAATTCAGTTAACAGATATATAGGACACTAGATGTCGTCTTTTCAAGATTTCTCTGTGTGTCGTTCACAATAACCTCCTGAGGCAGAAGCCCAATTAGGAGTTACGAATTTAAATTTCAAAAAATACCGCTGCAATTTCAGGATTTGAAGTAAACAGCTTCTTTTAATTGTTGAAGGGTTGGCTCCATGCTCAATAATATATCAAATTCGTATAATATCCATGCTTGTGGACTGTGGAGTATACAGCAGATTTTCGTAGATCGAAAAATACACCCTCATTCATAGGAATAGTATACATTGTATTACTAATCCTCATTATTTATCTTAATTATTTACCACCATATAAAGAGGTATTGCATGGAAGCAATCTTTTCAAGGTGGCGTATTATTTGGATCTTGCGGATCGAGAGTGGATAGAGGGGTCAAACTTGTAAGCCAGGGGCCGTCTTTACCCCCTTTAAAATACATTTAAGAAGTGAGAACTAAATGCGTGTTTAACTATCACAATCTGCAGTAATTTGTGTACGCGCCTGAATGTATTTTATAGGGTTTAACTGTATTTAAATAAATTAAAACTAATTAAAATTTTGTTTAGTATTGATGCTGAATATTTGACTGGTTTACAAAGTATATTAGAAACCCCATCCTTAGCAGACGAGGAGAATATAGGAAGGTATATTTTGAATATTTAAATATAGAAAGGTACAGTGAAACCCTTAATAACGAATACATCGAAAGAATTCATCAAATGTCGTATTCTTCACTTTCTGATAATGGAATGTTGCAGATATTTAGTTTTTTTATTAAATGATTATATGGAACTCTTTAAAACTGTTCCCGCATATTCATGTCTAATGATTTATTTTCGCAAACACTGAAATTTACGTACTATAATATAAAACTCATTGAAAAATTGTCAAGACGACATTTGAAAATTCCTCCGATGTATTCGTTATTAAGGGTTTCACTGGATGTATTCTAGATATTCAGATAAAGAAAAGTATACTTTAGATATACAAATANAAACTTGTAAGCCAGGGGCCGTCTTTACCCCCTTTAAAATACATTTAAGAAGTGAGAACTAAATGCGTGTTTAACTATCACAATCTGCAGTAATTAATAACAATCATGAATAATGAAATAAGTTATTAAAAGACGACATCTCCTTTGATGGAATTACATCAGAAAACTGTAGTGTACACTCAAGCTGTGACGTCACATATATAGAAATCAGCTGTTCAATATCTAGTACACGTAAACATACCAACTATTGAAACAAAAGTTTGGAAATTTGGATTATATGCCTCTTTTTCAGATCTTCACATCCTGAATGTACTTTGGGGTAAGATGAGTGGTTTTCAGGCCAGCAGCGGTGGAGGATATTCTATTTCCGACAGCGGAGGATATTCTGTTACCGGCGGCGTAGGTGGGAAGAAGGACCCTGAATTCGGCTGTAGGATATGCCCAGGGAAACGGTTTAATTCCAGCACCGCATTCATGTCTCATCTGACCTCTACCCACAGAGCTATAGAGGTTATTTGATTAAGACAAACCTATTTATGTTTTTTTTTATTTGATATTGTCCTAGAATACGAATTTTGGAACCCACCGGGCCACCTGGCTCCTCCTATAAATTTTGTACATGTCGAACATTAGTTTAAAGTTATGTTGTATTAGTTTAGGGTTAGGTTAGGTTATAGACAGTTTCTGGGCCGAGCGCTGCGGCTTGGACAGGCTAGGGGGCCAAGCGCTATGACTAAAAAAGGGTAAGGGCCCGAGCGCTTTGGCTAGTGCACTCTAGTCGGCCAGGTAATGTGGCCACATGGTCAATTANTCCAACAAATCGTATATTAGGAAATTATCAATGTCATCACTATACGATAATTCTATCTAGGCTGAATTTAAACAAATTTTGTAGAAAGAAAATGGGATAAATTTTTTAAGTTTATGAACTCATTAGTAGATTTCAGTCTTTGATCGATTTAAAACACACTTTCAAAAGAAACTTTTGGATATTTTAATTGGAATAAATATTTGAATATCACGGCGATGAGATTGTGACGCCAGAAGAAATACATACATTAAAACTGAATTTAATCCGTAAATATTTATCACGATTGATAACCAAAGATACAAAATCATGCCTCAAACCTACTGAGATCATCTTGAAAGCGCTTTCTTTCAGCCCTTTGAATAACTTTGAAAACCAGTTTTGGATAATTACGTATCAATAAATTAATCAATCCCATCTAATTTACTAATAACTACAGATTTTCGGGCACATTGTAGTATTTTGCTAAGTGTAATTTTTGCTCAGGGTGGATCGTATACCTGCACATACGGTGAGAATAAGATCTGCAGTACCTGTCCTGCCGTTGGAATCTCTCACACGGATTATATCAGCCATGTGACCAGGCATCATGTTCAGGTTAGAATCATCATCTTTAATGAAGGACTTAAAGGGAGGGTTCGCGAAAATTGAAAAGGGGTAAAGGCTTTCGGCGAAAAATAATCGTGTTTGATCGCTTCTAATCTTACTTCTATATGTTGCGTCTATAAGGAGAAAATTGTTAAAAACGATTTATAGCGAAGAACGCAGCACAAAGATTGTAATGCTCGTATCACAATGGTACCATTAAAAGCTTTATGTGATCAATTATGAACTATAATGTTTATAATTTTAAAAACTGATATTGTGACTTGCATTTCTACTACGGGAAATCATTAGAATTGTACACTTTTAAACCTTGAAAAGAATAACATCTTCCGCATTATTGATCAAATAAAGGTTTCCAGGGTGCCGTTGTATATTGGGCGTTGCCATCTTTGCATGTGGTTCAAAGGTACCGTTGAGAATCGTCGATTGCAATGGAAGGTCACTTTAAATAACACTTCCTGTCACTTCAATGTGGCCTTCCATCTATAAAGTTGGATGCAAAATGGGTATTTATAATTTCCCCGCTTGAAACATTTCCACCAAAAGGCCAAACCCAGCTCTTAAAACTTTAATGCATCGTAATAAGAAGGTCTCTTATCTAGGATAAAACTGCGTCGAGTACAAGTTTAGATCGTCTCTCCTGTCCTAGTTCTGAACCCTGGACTGTACAGTCATCAAGGGTCAACCTACCAGCTGTACTTAATGACCCGGGAAAAGGTTTGTTAATTTAGACCCGCTCAGGAACTGGTTAATTATTTATAAACAACAGTCTGTTACAATGATCTCACAAGTTGGGCCAACCTACCTGCCCAGAAAAATGCCATTGTTTTATTAAAAAGAATTCCTAGATATAATACGTCATTGTAAAATGCACATGTGCCCAAATCCTATCCCACCTACCTACCATATACTCACATTGACTTACGCAAATCCTATCCCACCTACCTACCATATACTCACATTGACTTACGCAAATGTACAGCTAGTGGTTTCTCTAAACGAGTTTTATTCTAATTTCATTCATGGTTTTCATTTTGTCTAAACATTTTAAAATCTTTTACAAGATTACTCACAGTGTGCTTAGCATGACAATATAAATATGATATTGAATAGGGATAAAGGGCTTAAGTTACTATTTCATGATTATTTTGCCCGCTTTTAACTAGAATTTTATTTTCAATATAATTTTTCCTTGTTTTGTCATATTTAATGAGACATACTAAAATCAATGGGACATCTAACCTAATCCACACAATATATTCTCGTCATTTAAAAATCAGCCGTAATAAGTAATTCTATGATAAAAAATGTAAAAATTACTTTTTAAGATTTATTTTCCACTTGTTTAGGAAAACAGAAGGATTTTTTCACCCGAAGCTGGGGAGTAGATTTCGTTGATAGCGCCCTCCTCCCCTCCTCTCCTTTTATCTGTGAACTCCCTCCTCACAGTTTCGACAAGTATCTCAGAAAAGTTCGGAAATACTACAGTCGACACTCTAAACCTGGGATAGTCCAGCAGGTACATTTAATTTGAAAAGATTATAATATTATCTTATTTTCAAAAATTCTAGATTTGGCCATTTCTTAGCAAGTTTTTCCTTCTTTTTCAAGCCTAACAAATCTTTTGTTTTTGCCGAGTGTTTTCTTCATAAAATAAACAAATTTAACACAATAAATTTGTATTTTATGAGGAAAGGTGTTGATGCTTTTCCATTAATGTGAAAATATGCGTTTTTTTCAGCCATTTTCAGCAAGCCCCTCTCCCAACAGTTCTAGAGAAGCGACACCTTCTCCAGGTGGACGCCTCCCACCTTCTCCTGGAACACGTTCAACGTCTCCATGGCAATCTCCCGGAAGACCTCCTCCTTCAGGAGCTACACCTTCTCCACCAAAGTATGACTTTAGACCATAAACATGTGGAATTATCATAGAAATATATTTCACTGATAACACAATCATCGATGGGTTAAACACACATTATTAAAAAGGGCATTTTATGAAAATCTGGAAGGATTTGGAATTAGAGGGGGATCGTACAGTAGTGTACTTCTTACTTCTGACAGAAATGTGAAATGCTGTTCAATGTAGATTCAACACATTTCATTGAAATGCCATTTCATAGAAAACATGTCAAACAGAACAGAACATCATTCGCATAAAATTGCTATCTTAAATTTTTCCTTTAAAAAAATGTAACTCCTTGTAAATGCCAAATTGTGGCAATCAAATTTAAAATGAACCAAACGAACACATTTTTTACTGTCGACTTATAAGATGCAACAATTTATTAAACATTAATACAAGACTAAATGAAGAAATATCTATGAAAAAAGATAATTAAGAATTATAATAAGTAATTGTAATTGCAGACCTGTCCCACAGAAGCTGGATGTACCCAGTGTATTTTTAGACCAAAATTTTGATCTTTCCAATCCTGCAACCTTCAACACTGTGTTTCCTTTCCTGCAGGTAGGAAACAAACAAACAGAAACCGGTTCTTACGGTGGGACCCACAAAAATGTGGTGTGAATATTAATTATTGTTCTAGGATTCTTTGCATGAGAATTCAAGATCCAATCCTTTCCAATTGGATGCAGGAGAGGCCAGACTTGTTGAGAGATCAGGTAGGGTCAGATTCACTTACCCTCCCTCCCCCTTACTAGCTTGTGGGGGGGGGGGTATGCCAGGAAATTAGGCAATATGATTCGAAATAAGATTCTAATACTCTATCTAATACTTCTTTCCCATACAAAAGGATATGTTGCACGAAGTTCAAATTTAAGCATTGTTTTTCTTCTTCAATATTATCGAAGCATTTGGTCTTTTTTAAAACTTTTAACTAGACTTTGTTGAATGTTCCTGATTTTCTAATTTTAATATATCCTGTGTTTAAGGTAAACTGGTTCAAGAGAAGCTTTCTCATCACCTTGACCAGGTGGAGGTCTGTATAGCTCACCAGGTGGCAGCTAAATCCCACCATTTTTTCCAGGTAGCCTTTAGTTTAGATAGATTAATTCTAGCTTTAGATTGGCAGGTTAGGTCTGGATTCAAATTGACAGTTCGGGTCTGGATCCAAATTGGCAGGACGGGTCTAGATCCAAATTGGTAGGTTAGGTCTGGATCCAAATTGGCAGGTTAGGTCAGGATTCAAATTGGTAGGTCGGGTCTGGATCCAAATTGGTAGGTTAGGTCTGGATCCAAATTGGCAGGTTAGGTCAGGATTCAAATTGGTAGGTTAGGTCTGGATCAAAATTGGCAGGTTAGGTCTGGATCCAAATTGGTAGGTCAGGTCTGGATCAAAATTGGCATGTCAGGTCTGGATCAAAATTGGCAGGTCGGGTCTGGATCCAAATTTGCAGGTTAGGTCCGGATCCAAATTGGTAGGTCGGGTCTGGATCCAAATTTGCAGGTTAGGTCTGGATCCAAATTGGTAGGTCAGGTCTGGATCCAAATTGGCAGGTTAGGTCTGGATCCAAATTGGTAGGTTAGGTCTAGATCCAAATTGTCAGGTTAGGTCTGGATCCAAATTAGCAGGTCAGATCTGGAACAAAATTGGCAGGTCAGGTCTGGATCAAAATTGGCAGGTCGGGTCTGGATCCAAATTTGCAGGTTAGGTCCGGGTCCAAATTGGTAGGTCGGGTCTGGATCCAAATTGGTAGGTCGGGTCTGGATCCAAATTGGTAGGTCAGGTCTGGATTCAAATTGGCAGGTTAGGTCTGGATCCAAATTGGAAAATCAGGCCTGGATCCAAATTGGTAGGTTATGTCTGGATCCAAATTGGCAGGTTAGGTCTGGATCCAAATTGGTAGGTCGGGTCTGGATCCAAATTGGTAGGTTAGGTCTGGATCCAAATTGGTAGGTCGGGTCTGGATCCAAATTGGTAGGTTAGGTCTGGATCCAAATTTGCAGGTTAGGTCTGGATCCAAATTGGCAGACTTGATAAAATCTAATATTTTAAAATGTAATAATAACTATATTTTAAAATAATTTGACTGTAGAAAAGAAATGTTTGTGTTCCAAGAACAATAAAGAAGTTTAATTTGGGGTTATTTTTAAATAAAATAAATGTATTGAACTTTTTTGATGCTTTACAAATAAAATATAATTAAATTTATAAGACAGATTTACCCTTTTGACGGTAGATTTTCCTCTAAATTGGGTTTTATTCCTCGAAACCAAACTGGTGTTTCAAAGTTTTTAAATCAAAGGAAGGAGTTGCCCTGATCAAAGCTTTTGATAGAAATCGTCGTTTTTCTTTATTAAAATAAATTTGTTCATATCATGCCTCGTCTCTGCTCTGTAAAATCAAGTTACCGCTATAGGTTGGAAGGGCATCGTTTTAAATAGAATTATTTCTGTTAAAGGTGAGCACACTAGAAATAATTTAAACAGTACTCCTAAACAATCTCATTTTAGGTGATGACCTACCATGATGCCCTCATGTCCCAGGAAATTTTCTAATCCATCTATTATTTACTTTACAAAATTCCTAGAAATGTGTTTACAGATCGTTTCACGCCATTTTGTTACTGATCTTTGCACAAGTTTTTCGGACATTTTGTAATAACAAGGACATGAAATTTCTAGAAATTCATATTTTTATTAGTTGATCGAAATGAAGCTAAATATTTGAATTCTAACCAGCCATAAACCTTCCCTGGGTAATTTGAGTATCTACAAAAATTAGGCTCGGTCTTGATGTTTATTGGGTTTTTGATTAAACGATTGAAAATGTAAAAACTAGTTGATTGCGCTGATAACTGTTGTGAGAACGCTGCGGGAACGATTAGCGGACGTAGAGAAAGGTGAGAGCTAAATTTAAAGAATTTTTAGAGGTCTCGTTTTTAGGACTGGAGATATATATATATATATCCAGAGTAAATTGACTCGTTTTTTTTCTCTATTGGAGCCTAGTTTTACCATACTGTCAACTTTAAGTTAACGTACGTACATTTTACAACCTCTACCAACATTAATGTGTCTTAATGCACCCAGCTGAATAAATACAAATTAGTAAAATTGTTCTTCACAAGAATTAACTTACTTTACATTATACAAAATGCAAATTTTGTCTTATTTCTTTTAATTATTTTCCCTTATTTAGGTGTAGTGTTAGCTTTGAAAGTTCCTCAGCTTTGTTTACGTAAACAAAATCTGGAACTGGTTTTACATAGTCTTAATACCCTCTTTACACTTCATCAAACACAACCTACAATACAGGTGCAGTACAGTACAGTTTACATAGTCTTAATACCCTCTTTACACTTCATCAAACACAACCTACAATACAGGTGCAGTACAGTACAGTTTACATTGTCTTAATACCCTCTTTATACTTCATCAAACACAACCTACAATACAGGTGCAGTACAGTACAGTTTACATATTCTCAGCCCTATTTTTAATACATCAAACACAACCTACAAAACAGGTGCAGTACAGTACAGTTAACATAGTATCAATGGGTCTGTGCACGTACAGTACAGTACACATACCCAATAGTTAGTACCCTCTTTACAATACATCAAACATATCCCTCCATAAAGGTGCAGTATGCGTTATTGAAAACGGATGTACATTGTTTGAATGTTCAATGCTTATACAATACATTGTACAAATACAGTATTTAATTGGAGTTTGTAAAATTGTAACACAACAAAGCAATTCTTGCCTCACGGTCATCTTTAAGTGCTGAGATTGTGATATAGAAATTGGAGTATTTTGTATTGTATATGTTCAATTTGGAGAACAATCCCTTATTTAAGATTTGAACCTATCAAAGTCGCGCCCCTAGCTTCCCTCCCCCCAGTTTCTTGATTCGTTTTATTTCCCGCCATCTTTGGCCTTTCACCAGTACGCCCTTTGTGGAGGCTTCAAAATTAAATACCATTGATTGATTGACTGAAAAAACTAAGGATTCATGAGTTAAAAAAAATTATTGATAAATGTAAAATTTTCAAAGATTTTATAGTTTTAGCAACAAAGCATTAGGTGGCAGTAGTTTATCTAAGTTAATTCTTATTTTAATTTGGATCTGTTTTTCAGATTTTGCTTTCAAGGCAAGAGTTTGCTGGAGCACTCGACCTAATTGCAACTTCTCAAGATATCATCAAGGTACCAAGATTTGTCTTTCTCTTTATCTGAATGAGACACTAGACATAATTTCAAGTGACTGTCCATTGTTAAGTGATATGTACGATTCACAACAATATTGAATACCCAATACCCATAAAGGTTCGTTTGATCAGGAATGCATGAGTTATTAATTTTATTTTCAAAAATTGCCTATTTTCTCTGAAAAGCGACTTGCTTCAGAAACATGTGGGCTATCAGAATCAAACTCTCATGCTAGAAACTGGAGAGATTTTAAGGTTACCGTTATGAAAATAGCATGCCCCCTTTTAAAGGAAGGTCACTGGAAATTATAACAATTGTCTCTTTAATAAGTTTCACGATTTTTCTGATCATAATGATCTCTATTATCTCTATCGTAACTTTGATATATCTCTAATATATCTGATCTCTCCAATATCTCTTAATACTTATGATCTCTTCGATCTCTCCGATCTCTCTGATCTCTCTGATCTCTCTGACCCTATGACATCTCTGATCTCTCTTTTCTCCCTGATCTCTCTGATCTCTCTGATCTCTCTGGTCTCTCTGATTTCTCTGATCTCTCTGATAACTCTTATCTCTCAGATCTCTCTGATCTCTCTGATCTCTCTGGTCTCTCTGGTCTCTCTGATCTCTCTGATTTCTGTGATCCCTCTGATCTTGTGATATCTTTTTGACCCCACTTGATCTATTAAATTATTTCCAGGACGATATTGGGGATGTTGCGGCATTAAAGCATTTACCAAACCAACTGTCTGAACTAATGGAAATTATAGGTAGGAAGTTAAAAAAAAAGCCAGTCTAAAAAACTTTACCACACACCGAGAGCCTCCTTCAAAGTCGATTTGTGCAAAACAAATGTCTAGTCACATAGAACAAGATGTCAGTTTTCTTTAGGGAAAGAGTAGCTTCATTCAATCATGCTAAAAGAATTCAAATTATAATTGTGTCTAAATTTCAATCTGCAGATTAATTTAATCTTTATTCGATATCCTGCATGATAATCGTACCCAGTCAGGGGATACAGGGAGCTTTGATCCTTGGAGAAATAACTGAAACTAAGAGATTAAGCATAGCAAAAATTTATTTATAAAAAAATCATAAATGTCTATATTCATCTTAGAAGCTCGTATTGAGACACTATCCGTAAAACTATGTTTTCAAGTATTTTTAATTAGGTCGGATGCTTTTATCAGATTTTAAGAATATTGTCAGCACTGAGCTAAGCAGGTTAGAAATTTTAATTTATCCAATTTATTATTGTTATTGTGCCATTTTTAGCAAAAGTAATAATGAAATGGGTTGTTTAGCCTGCCCCCTGGTGGTACCTCATCTTCGGGTGGCCGGGGGGGGGGGGGTTGAGAGCGCTCACCTGATGGCGCTCTTGGTTCTCCATTAGGGGAGGGGGGGTTTTCAGATCTTTTTTTCCTGATATTCCTGAATACAGGGGTATATATTTTCTAGAATATCCTCCCTCCTCGGGGGTAGGGGGGATATTTGATGCTCTGGGGAAAAAATGAAGAAGAAAAATTAAACTGAGAAAAGTTTTGAAACAACACTAGACTTTTGAAAAAAAAAATTTTGGTGAATTATTTTAATTTTTTTCTTTGAACCATATTTATATTATATTTATACTTTATAAAAGGTTATTTTGAAGCTAAGTTGTGTTATTCAAGAGGAGAAATTAATTTTGAGGAATCCGAATTTCACTTTTTTACAAATTAGAGTCTTTTGATAGAAAACTAATATTTCTTTGCAATTTTGTTTTCTTACTTATCAATAATAAAACTCTTCAGGGAAACAATTTTAAAAAGTTTTTTTTATGTCTATTTTATTGAACATTCTTTATCTGAGAAACTAAAATAAATACATTTTATTAAGAGATATACCGTGCGTGAAAGGGAGTTCCCTCAGCGATATAGAAGAGTCTTTAGAATCTAATTTTGACGATTGTGCGCTGAGCAGTGTCATTTCAGGTAATCAAAGAGTGAAAGAAAAAATACAAAAAAAAACAACAATTAATTCACTGGTAGATGAACAATCTACATTAAAAGGGGCAGAAAAAGTATAAAATTTGGGAGGAAAGATTTTAAAACTGGACAAATTGTTGTATTAATATATTATTTTTTTAAAGGGGAGATTTTTGAAAAAGAAAAGGTGTATATATATATATTATTATCTCATACGTAGCCTTGAATGCCAATATACTATCATGCAACTTAACACTTGTGCAAAACTCATGCAGCTTTTTTATTGCGTTAAAGGTATATATTAGTAAGAAAAAGTAAAAGTAATAAATAATTGAAAAAAACATCAATGGATTGATTAATGGCGGAACAACGAATCACCTTTAACTGTTGAGTTCTTACAATATAATCATAGCAGTTTTATTTCTTTAATAGTTTAAAGAAAATTTTATTTTGAATCTGCAATATTGAAATTTGTTTCTATTTCTATGAAAAGAATCAAAGAGTTAAAATATGAAGGCTTTAACTTGAATATAAATTTTATGATCTATAAAAGAACTGTCTGAAGGGTTCAGCGTTGTCCGTGAAAAATAAAATAGATGTTTTTTAGCTTATAACACCCTCGTCCACCCATCAGTGTCCAAAAAAAAATTCAGCCGTTTGGCCGGCTATACACAATATATATATTGAATGTCTTATAATGTTTTATTATATAGATGATTAATTTAGTAACATTTTCCTTGTTTTGGAGCAAGAGAATGTACATGTTTTTAACAAAGCATAAGTATAATGCAAATAATCCTTCCTCCTTCAATGCAATTTAGACGATTTGTTCTAAAATCCTATCACTAGAAAGTTAAGGTTAAGATAATGTTTAGTTAGTTATAACTTGTGAGTAGTTTTTAAAGAACATGGATTTGTCGTTGCTTTGGTATTTAAGATAAGTTGAAATTTACGATAGTGCGAGGTATGAATAACAAATAAAAAATATTGACACTTCTGGCTTCATTGTTTTTATTATTAAATGTTATATATTCATTACTAAGCAATCCTGCGTTTCCTGACCTGTAAAGAATTTTGACAGCTCTACAGGGTTCCGTTTAATAAACCTTTTTTTCCAAATTACGGGAAGGGGAAGTCAACAAAAGAAGAAAATGAAGGAGGAAAAATAGATAATCTAGAATAATAAAAATTGAGTTTGTTTTGTATGATCTGTATCCATTACCCAAAATAAAAAATATTTTTTTTTTAAATCTTAAATATCTCTGGAAATATTTTTTTCTTCAATATAGCACACTAAAGCACTTTTTGTGAAGTAAGGTTGATTTTGTGTTGATTTTAGTGCAACTTAGTGCAGTTGTTTTCAAACTTGTTTTATTGCGTATCAAAATGTGTTTTTGTGTTTCTACATCCAGTTCAATCATAATATTCAAATCAAAGTAATTTCAATCTTTATAAAAGTTTTTGACAACACTGACTGCAGTGCTAGAGTCCTTTTTTATACGAATCCGGATCCGGGGAACTAAACTGTTACTGGATTTAATGGATACATATTTGATATCAAAAGTTTTGTTGTGTGTAATGAACAAAACAACAAAACTAAACAATAAATATGGTTAGAAAGATAGATAGATATTTTATTTTGTTTAAAGATATCTGCAATGGTTAGCTTTTAACATTTTCTTATTGCTAAAATTCTGGAAACATTTTATTGAAAAATAGCTTACAATTTAAGATTAGATTTATAATCCTGTGGTTATTTACCAAAAACATCAAAGTTTGCATTTAATTTTTAATTTACTTTAGGCTTAGTGCGGCAACGATCTTATTCCTTTCTTGAATACTTTGAAGAAACTGGGATATTCACCATTAAACAAGTTATCAAGGTATGTCCAACATTAAACAGATTTACAAGTTGACTTTTATTTATTACAAGCTTTTTGGGCACTTTGCACACCCCTTTTTCATATAATAATTTAGATTCGAATGTTGCTTATAAAAAATACAATTTTTCTCTGAATGCATTATATAAAAGAGTAAAACATCGCATGGAAGTCTGTTTCATTGTTGAATTTTTTAATCTTTGACTTTGATCGAAATTTTGCAGAGGAACATACCTTTAATTCTTAATTACGGGCCTGCTGGGTTTCATGCAGTAATTTTTACATAAAACTGTTCGAATATTCAAACAAACAAAAATCACGACTTTTCAAATAAATAAGTACTTGTTGATTTCAATATATTATAGATGTTTAAATTTAGGATGTTGTGCTTCGTATCCTTGATCTAGCAGAGGAACGAACTCTAACCAGCCTTGTCGCTGAGTTTGCCCTCATAGCAACACCAGAGGTTAGATTTATTATTTTAATCATATCAATTTTAATGTTCACCTATTATAAATCAATATTTTCTATGAGAACACAATCATTAACATTGTCGTAATCATCAATAACACAATCCACGACATTGTCATTTTCAGCAACCTCAGAGCTCAGATGTTATCAATATTAAAGTTTTCGTATTATTACCGTGATCATTGTCATTACTTTCACTATCACCATCCATATCAGTATTAAAATTACAATCACAATCACTATCCAATATCGATAACACAATCACAAGCACTGTCAAGGTCATATTCATATTAATTATCATCATCATTATTTTCGTATCATCATCATTATTTCTTTTAAAAACACCGATCAATAAACCACATTTTAGAAACAAGGGGAATATTCATTGATTTGAGTTTGATCAGATTTACGAATGAATGTCGCGTGGATCAAAGATAGTTTAAAAATCGTCACTAAAATCCCAGGTTTAGGAGAAAACCCTATTGTATTTATTAATTTTATATTATTAATATTATTAATATTTATTAACTCGATTATAACGTGTTCTTTATCTTCCCATACCTCTCTTCGGACTGATGGGTGACTGTTTTATTTATTTATTTATTTTATCTAGGGTTGGACTGATTTATTAGATCTCCTTGTCGGGTCTCTAATCATATCTCTCAGGAATATTTCAAAATAAACATGAGTAATGAAAATTTTAATTTAAATGAATGATTTGAACTTTTTCAAGACTGCTTTTGATTAAATTTGCAAATCTGTGCTTATCTCCTGCAAAATCTGTCTGTATCTTAAATTAGTTTTTTTATTTTAAAACTTGTTAGTTATTCATGCTACGGGGAAAACGGTTATATTATTCATGCTACGGGGAAAACGGGTATATTATTATTCATTCTACGGGGAAAACGGTTATATTATTCATGCTACGGGGAAAACGGGTATATTATTATTCATGCTACGGGGAAAATGGGTATATTATTATTCATGCTACGGGGAAAACGGGTTCATTTGAAATTTCCTTCCAAGTAGTGAAAGGGCTTGAACTTCTAATGGGATCTAAGGGCCTAAAAAAAGTTGCCAAGTCCAAAAATGACAGTTTTGTTTTGAGGCCGAAATTAAAGAGTTTGAGGCTCAAACATAGCTGGTTCCACTTGAAATTGTATTCGGCGTTTCGAGATTTTAGCCGGCGCATCGCTCAATTGGAACCGGTTTTTGGCAGTTGAGCGACGTGGTTTAAATTATTTAAATTCGGCCTCTTTTTTATTCATTTTGATTGGTTTTGATGATCAGACGAATGAATGCAATTTACCAAACCACATTGTCCGCCCTCAACCTCAAAACAGATGAATCTTTTGAGAGTGAGAATCTCCTCTCAGGATTACGGTTAGATCAGGTCAGATATTTATTTCGAGCCTTAAAAATTACTTTTGTTTCCCAGAATTTTTTTAAATTTTTTATCTCTGATCAGAGAAGTAAAATAGATTTTTAGTTTAAAAGTGAATAAAAAAGATAGCAACCTAATTGCTATTTGTAAAACCCTGCTGTTTAGTTGAAGTAAAATTTACATTTAAAAAATTCTACAAGCATTCACCACAACCCATGCAAGGGGGTGGCGGGTATTACATAAAATAAACACCCCTGGATTTAGACTTATATAAATTAGCATCTTGTTTGTTAAACCTTTTTAGATAAAATCTAAATTAATATTTGGATAACAAATTTGCCTTAAGCTAGAAAGATAATTTTCTTGATTGGTTCCGTTTTCGTTAGATCTGTGAAATTTATAAGAAATGGGTAGGGGGGGGAGTGGGGGTGAGTACTATTAATCACAGTTCTGAAATATTTATCTTAAAGCTGACTTTCTGAATATGCAGGAGGATGAATACCCACTTCAGAAGCTGAAATCAAGTGCTTGCGAGGTTATGGTTAATATCTGTGATCAGGTATATTTGATGTTTAAATTTTCACCAATTCTCTCTCCACCTCATCCTTGACATTGAACCTGCCGGGGTTAATTTTAAATTCTTCATCCGACATCATGTATATGTTTTAGCAAAAACAACCAGGGTGTATACTGTATACTGGAATTTGTCCATAATTGCTTAGTTTAACAATAACAACCAGGGTGTATACTGTATACAGGAATTTGTCCATAATTGCTTAGTTTAACAATAACAACCAGGGTGTATACTGTATACAGGAATTTGTCCATAATTGCTTAGTTTAGCAATAATAACCAGGGTGTATACTGTATACAGGAATTTTTCCACAATTGCTTAGTTTTTTTTTTTCTATCCAGGGCTGCCCTGAAAACCCTCCGGAAACCATAGCTATTTATCCAGGGGGGGGGGAGGCTCTGCATAAATATCCCCCATCCCCCGTCTCATACAAGATTGAACAATATAAATAATTTAAATAATATTTATAAAAAATAATAAGTTAATGTGTAGGTACATGAGAGGCTAGGTAAACTAGTAACAGTAAGGTCCCGACCTAATGCTATTAAACTGGTCACCCCTCAGGAACTCACCTCAATACAGAACCTAATAACCAAACTATCCACGGTAAGAACTCTTCTATCCTATTAAAGGGATTGTAGACCAAATTTTAATTGACGATCCATTTAAAGAGTAGCATGTAAATTCACAATGAAATATTGTTCTACATCTAAAAAGTTTTTTTTTTCCCTTCATCGTCTCTAGCTGAAGCATAAATGCACAAATCCCGGTTGAAATAAATGAAAATTTATAAATTTTTTTATCAAAATAAAATTTTTTTAAACGATATTATTTAAAATTAATCATCCCCCTCTTTAAATGGAGGGTCACTTAAAAAATATGCGAGTCAAGAGCCCTAATTTAATATGAAATCCTAAAATGTACCTAACATCTGGGGGGATATAGTTTTTTCAGGAATATTTCAAAATAAACATGAGTAATGAAAATTTTAATTTAAATGAATGATTTGAACTTTTTCAAGACTGCTTTTGATTAAATTTGCAAAACGACGAAAATTTGTAACCCTGCCTCTCTAACCATTGAGTAAATGTTTTGTCTTGAACTTTCTAGCAGTAGCGGTTATTTTGCCAATTATAAAGGATATTTTGTAATATTTATATTGTTCTAGGTTAGTCAAGGAATCTGTGGTAGAACCAGTGCTGGTCTTCAGCTCTCCGCCCAAGGACAAACTATCCTTTACATTCAGCACTTCCACGAGGCCGCTAGGTCACGTGTAGCTGCCATGTTGGAAGCTGAAAAATGGCGCAAATTTTCCTGTTCAAGATCATTGCTGGAAGATTTTTGTCCGCCCCTTGCTAGCTTGGTTCATCCGGGTATAGAGAACGGGGAGAGAAACGATAACTGTGATAAAACACGTGATATAATCCATGAAATTACATTACAAGGGGCACCAGACTCATTTAGTTTTGTTGAATCAATGGTAACGTTCCTCAGTATCTTGTCCTTGTACTGCGGCCTCCTTCAGGACCTTCCGGCCTCAGCCTGTGTAGAGGTTGCATTAAAGATCTCCGACCTTCTCAAATTATTTAATTCAAGGTTATAAAACAAAAATTTTGTTTAAATTTGATTATATCATAATCAACATAATATATGTAAATGCCTTTAGCAAACTTTATTTAATTATTAATATTTGTATATTTTTTTACATAAAAAAGCATTTCACATTTTACAAACGTCAAACTTTTTATTTGTATCTTGCGGTCGTTTAGTGTTTCAGTATTTGTATATTACTTTAAAAGGTTATTTTATAGTTATAAAATATCGTACGCCGTGGTCTGTATAATGCATAATATACTATACTAGCTGAAGGGCCTGGCGTTGCCCGTGGAAAAAAATTAGAACATTTTTTTTTTTAATTTAAAAAATAAAAATTTTGAAAAAAAACTTCGATTTTTTTTAAAGCCTAATACACCCCCCGGCCACCCATGAGTATCCACAAAAAATGTCAGCCCAATTGGTCTAGCGGTTTTGCCGGCTATAGGCAACATATGTATATATATATTCAAATGTCTTGTTTTATTATATAGAAGATATATGAAGAAGTGAAAGATAACTTTTTTTAAATTAACACTTTTTATATTTTTATATTCTCTTCTAGAACTTGTCAGTTGGTTCTGGGAGCTGGTGCAGTTAGTTTAGCAGGCCTTAAAACCATCACAATTAGGAACCAAAATATTCACATTTAGACTACTTATATTTAATGTCGTTAAACTAGGAATAACTGACGAAATTCTTTTTTCAAATAGAGATTGTAAGCCCATGAGTGTTAGTTGAACTAGTTCAATCCTCTCTTTATTCGTTCAGTTCCATTCCAAGCGTCAATGTTTTTAAAAGGCCATTCTCAGCGGATTTCAAAATCGGGGTTAGAGGCGATTTAGACATTACTGGTAAGACTTTGTTACCTTAAAGTTCCTTGAGTTTTGATTTTACGCACATGTATGAGAACAATTAATTTATTAGAAATCCAAAACATTTTTGTTATTCTCAATAGCTCTTCAATAAGAGGAAATATGATTAAAAACATCATTCATAATTCTTAGCATTAAGTTAACCGAAATAGTTGATGAATATTCATTTATTTTTCTTGAGTTTACTGAATATTTTGTTGTAAAGGAATCTGGCAGTTACTCTGAGAAGTCTTGCTTTTCTCTCACATATTATTCCATTTATTAGGAACATATCATATACCTTGAATATTATATATAATTCAATATTTCATAACTTCAATATTTGGGACCTGATACGATCGATCTCATGGAAGGTCTTTTTAAAAAATTTGCCATACAAATATTAAATTTTTCAAAATCCACGACAAAATCGATAAATATGTGATATTGTTCTTATATTATTGCTTGATAATATAAAATGAGAAAATGTCGCAAAGGGTACCCCAAAAAATACCAAGTTGGGATACTTGTATGATGGAGATCGGAATGGAGTGACATTTAGTCATACAAATTCAGGGAATTTTTATTTTGAGATCGGACCACTTTTACCGTCTGATATACTTATCAGAAACATGCACGTAGAGTCTACATGCTCAAAAAAATGTTCTTCATAATTGTCTGAAAAGACTAAATCTATTGAAATTTTTTTAAAATATCAAGAATTGACTGACTTCGGTTCAAAAATTCAATACTTTTAGACAATTACGAGAAAAAAAATTTGTGACATGATAAATTCTAGAAATATTTTTTTTCTTAAGCCTGTAGGTATGACTCTTCAGTCTACATGCATATTTCTGAAAAGTATATCAGACTGTATAAGTGGTCCGATCTCAAAATTTTTTTTCCTGAATTTGTTTTGTTTAATATCACTTCATTCCGGTTTGCATCATACTAATATTTCAACTTGGTCTTTTTTGGAGGTAGCCTCATGTCGCAGTTAGAGCAATAATTAAAAGATAAAATCAAAGATGGCCGCAAAGCTCCATTGAAGCCTAGTAATTTATTATTTCACGATGATTTAACTTTGGTAAAATATTTCAAAAAGAAAAACAGATCTAAAAAATTGTCTGGTTTGTAGTTGTACTAAATATACATTCTGCAGTAAAACAGTATTAATTTACCGTACAGTTTACAATGTACATATTTAACAAATATGTAGTAGACTTAAATATGAATGTTTAACAGAAATTTTATCTCTGAAAAGTTCACAAATCTCACCGAAAAACAAACCATTACAATAGGCAAGAGGAGAATTAAGTTTTCCCTGACAGTCCCTTTAAATATTTATCCCTGACAGTCCCTTTAAATATTTTCAATTTATTCTCTTTTCAATATTTCCTCCAGGAAATTCACAGAGATAGAAAGAATTTTTTAACAGATGGTTTTAATTCCTTTTTTAAATAAAATGGATTTTAAGGAACTATGGATTATAAATGAGGAAGAAAAACAAATTTTGAAATCTGTTAATTACTTTGATTGTCTCTGTAAATTCACTATAATTATAGTTCAATCATGATTGAGAATAACAATTTTTTTAGATTTGAAAGCATAGATATGTCATTCGTTCTTCACCGTTCATATAAATTGAATTGGTGGGTCACTTGATATTACGTCTGCACTCTACAGTTCACTAAAAACATTTTATTTCCCATTAAAATAAATCCTCCTCCGTGACTAGGGCGAAATTTTGAGCAAGCAGAGAAGGATTACAGTGATCATCTTGGAGAACTTGAACGTAAAATAGTTCAGATAGTTGATGCAGCTCTTCAGCAGCAGTTGACCGGTTGGGAGAGAAAACCTCCAGTACCCAGCAATACATTTAAAGCTATTGGGAAACAGCTCTTAAAACTTAACGAAGCTATCCAGGTTTAGATTTATAATATTACTGTTTTAACGCTGTCACAATAAGTAAATTTCCTCTCGGGACAATGGGAAGTTTGTATTGTATAATGTATATAGTTCAAAACAAATTCAAATAATAATTTGGCATTTTTCTTATAACAGCATGAAGCTTTTAAATAAGTAAATGTCAATATTATTTTATTGTCACTTCTAGTACTGTAGCCTAGTGGGGAAAAAGAATTATTAAATTTTTAAAGCGTTAATCTCACTTTGAAATGCAGAACGACAAAATACTTGAAATAATGCTTTTTCAAACTATTAAATGTTTTCCTCAAAAGTATCGTTTATAAATGTGTATCTTTACCAAATCAAGTAGAAGAGAGAAGGGGGTAAGGGGGTATAACTGTTCTAACAATCCTTAACCCCAGAATCAATCTATCTATCCGCCTAACAGGAATCAATTAATCTATCTATTTATTTATCTATCTATCCGGCTAAATCTATCTATATATCTAGGATATATTACCTGGACGCCAGGTTGTATCTCTATTCCGATCTATCCACTATCAGTTCCTACGACGTGTGGCGGATAAGCTTAAACAGGCCAAACTTAGACCAGATAACAGTCCTTCACATGGTCTTGTCGTCTCAGAACTTATTTTCTACAGGTAATTCATAAAAAAATAAAAAATAAAAAATTTCAAATTAATTTTAAAATTTAAATTTTAAAAAATTCCTGTAGAAAAAATTTAATTAGAGTAGGTGAAATGTGCTTTGTTCGGTGTTCTACTGAAAATTCTTTTCAAGCAAATTTTATCACAATCTTTCTATATTCCTTCTTTTCAATTAATTATCCTTCATTTTTTAGAATAAGGGGGCTTTCTTCGGATATTTAAGGAGAGGGGGGGGGGGTTTGTTCCATATATTTTAATACAAATTTATGTAAATAACCAGATTTTAACAATTAACCTTGTGCATGATTTTACTCGTAAACTAATTTTAAAAATTAACCTTGTACATGATTAAACTTCTACACAAATAAATTAACAATTAACCTTGTACATGATTTAGCTTTTACACGAATTTTAACAATTAACCTTGTATCTGCATGATTTTAATTGTACAAGAATTTTAACCATTAACCTTGTACATGATTTTGCTATTACACGAATTTTAACAATTAAACATGTATCTGATTTTAATCGTACAAGAATTTTAACAATTTACCTTGTACTCTGCTTTATCTTTACATTTTTTTAGGGAGAACCTTAAAAATATGCATGTTCTCAATCCAGAGGATTTAAACGATTCAACACTGCAATCCGTCTGGACTTTGTAGCGGTCCAAAATTAGAGATATTGGACTCCACACTGCAATCCGTATGGAGTTCGTTGAGGTCCTAGAGTCTTTAAGTTAATGGACTTCACCCTGAAATCCGTCTTTTACCGTGAAGAGTCCCTAGAGTCTAGAGATTATGGACTTTACATTCCACTCCGTCTGGTCTATGTAGAGGTCCAAGAGTTTGGAAATAATGGACTTCATTTTGAAATCCATCTGGAGGTCCCTTAGTCTGAAGATCAGTTTAAAACTTTGAACTGGATCACAAATTATTCTTATGTATATTGGTACTACAGAGTAGGAATCAAAATCAGAAAGAAAGAAATTTATTCACGATTTAGCGGTTACGACGAAAACCAAACAATAAAGTTTTGTTAGGCGAGGTAAAAAGATAAGTAAATTAAGTACACATTTACTGGTCAAATAATCAGGTTTGCCGATTTTCAAAATTTGTATTAAGAACAGTCGAATGATTTTCGTCTTCGCTCTTCATTTTGAATTTGAATAGGAAATTTCGTCAAGATTTTTGTATCTTAATTAACTGATAAATATTTAAAAAGTATCGGGAAGATTTTCAATTATAAATAAGATAAAATTTACATAACCTCAAGGGATTTTTCTTTTAAATAAAAGGTTTAAGATGATATCATTCTGGCTGAAAACTTTAGAATGGTGGATATCGAGATCAATGCTTGATCTCTTTTTCTTAATCTCCAGATTAGATATTGCTTGTTCTACTCTTTTAATTAATCTCTAGATTAATTAACCGATTGGGATTAAGGATATCCCATTTAAAAGTTTCCAGCTCTGTTGTATACTGATTTCTCCTTCGACATATTTTGGTTTTATAAAAAAAACTTATTTTAAAAGACGATAATAGATGCAAGAATGAAATGTAAATCATTTTCTTGATAATTACCAGCTTTAGTTTATCTACATGATTTCCTCTAATATTCTAGTCAAGAATAATTATTTACTCGTGAAAAGAGTAGATTTGGAAAATGCAAACGCAAAAATGATTTTAAAAAATTGCATTTTGTACACTGTTATACACTCTGTACAAGCTACATAGTAAATGTACTTGAATGAGGCCAACTTACCATAAATATACTGGATTTTTACGAATTTACAATTTACCACAATCATAACTGTAAAAGTTCACGTCTCTTTCTCAATATTTTTTAGCTTCCATAACATATAAATTTTCTATTTATATTTCTCATATTTTTCTACTATGCATAATCGAAGAATATTCAATACGGTTTTGGTTTTTCTTATATCAAGTTTTGAGCATTTTTTTTGGTTCGTTGTTTAAACTATTGATTTTGCCCTTTCTAAAGAATGAAATAGTTTTTATCATTAAATTTCGTTTCAATAAAAAAAGATTTGATTACACTATACAAAATTTAAAAAACTTAAAATTTGTCAACATTTAATGATTTATTTGTTTAAGAAACGAACTAAGTACTTCGCCCGAAACTACTCACATGCAAAACTTTTTATGCAAACATTCTCATTTCTCATAAATGTAATATTTAGGCAATCTATAATTAATTGTTAGAAATTTATATCTACTATAATATCTATTTATGTTTCATTGTTTTTTTTTTTATTTACAAGCCGGTGTTTTATTATTGTTGATTTAATTTTTATCTTTAATTTTTTTATTTTTATATTGAAATATTAAATTGTAGAATTATTGATGAAGAGTTGGATGAATACGAAACATTTTCTCATTTGAAATTTTTAAAAAATTTAATAATGAATTTAATCTGGTGTATGTAACATTCGTATTGTGCTTTTTCAATAGATTGGGATACCACGTTGATTCAAGCCTTGGAAACTTTTTAATTTTTATAATTGTTCGGGGGATTCATTCTGTCATTGTTTCAGAGAAAATGCAAGGATACGGCTGATTGATTGATTGACTATGCGTGTGTACATATACCTGGCAGGGTTGGGGGTCTGCCTGCTGCTAGCAGGCCGGCTAACCTACTGTGGCGCAATGGAACAGGAATACAGCTATACAGGTAGAAATTGTTCGAGACGTAAAATACGTTGGTTTGATTTTTATTTGAATTCATTGGTTCAAGAGGTGGGATTGCTAATCCCTTTTGGAAGCACCAATTCGAATATTAAGTAAATACCTTATAAATTATTCTTTAAGATCCAAGTGAAGTAACTAATTAGAAGCAGCTAAATCTCGGATCTTGACCAATGAGAGATTGTTTAAAACAAATCGGTGTTTGACTTTGATGTACATCCAAAGTTTCCGCTTTGGATGTACATCTAAGCTGTTGTAGATAAACTCTTTTTCGTTCAAAAAATTAGATCTCAGATTTCCATCGCTCTCTACACACCCTCAATCTTTATTTTAATTCCTATTTTAAAGAAATTTCTTACGGCGGTAGGCGATTATATCAATATAATGAAGACAACTTTTTTATTTAGGTTTTCATTGTTAAAAAGCTTTTTTCGAATTACAAGTTTGTAAATTAATTAATGAGAAGCTTTTTTGATTAACAGCTTCTCTTTATTTCCATGTTTTAGTGTGTCCACTGTCTCATGTTGTTTAAAAGCTTGAAATAAATCAAAATTAAATTCGAAAGTAGTTTTCATTATATTGATAAAAAAATGTACTTTCTTGGAAGTATTTTAGACACTTGTAGAAGCCTGACTTTTAGTTAAAAGAAAATATGATTTTGTCCTAAATGTTAAAATTAGAATTGAGTTTGCATAAATGCGCAAACAGTTTCACTGATATTTCGCAAACTTGTTCAATCTCGGATTTTACACTAGTCATTCTTAGTATGTTAAACGAGTAACATATGAATAAATAAACTTGTGAAAATATGTTATTATTCTGAGTTATTGAGACTTCCATACACTCTCAGTTTGAGCGGTTTTTGGATTATTTTTCAATCCTAAATTAAAAAAAGTTTAGATCGGTTGGAAAAAAATTAATAAAAACATAATTTAGAACAAGGATGTAATGCAAGGAAAGTTATTTCAGAAGTGTACGGATTTTTTATTACTGCAGTGTACTGTCTCTGTAAACACAAGACGGCTGTCACAGCCTGACATTGGATCCATCTTTCACATAAAAAATCAATGAAATATTCTGGTCAAAGGAAACTATTATGTGAATTATCAAAATTTTCAAAATTTAATGCTTTAAACCTCCTCGGATACTAAACGAACACTGATGCATCTATTCTTGTTTACAAATCCGCCCAAAGAGAACTGGTTTCAATATGTACGCAGAGTATACACGACCGCAATTAACTTTCCTTGCATTACATTTAGAAGAGGACACTAATCCGGAAGTAACAATACGACCTCCCTCTACCCTGGCTCCTCCTGTAGACGATCCTATACTGCCCCTGTGCCCCCCGAAACCGGTGTTTAAGGAGAACTCGCGGAAAAACCTTCTCCTAGTGAGCACTCTTGATGGGCAGATTTCAGCACTGGATTTAAACAAGGAAAAACAGCATTTTATCAAAATAATCAAGCTTGTTATTTAACTTTCTGTCGTTTTGATTTTAAATTATTATGTAAGACATTTACACATTTAGGATTTAAAGGACATACACATTTAGGATTTAAAGGACATACACATTTTATCATTTAAATTTTTGATAACCCTGAACCATTTTACAAATACCATTATTATTAGGGAACTTTATATTCTTCAGTAAAATATAAAAAAGTATAATCATTATTAAAATTTTTTAAAAATTTTTATGCTTTTTAATGGGAAAATCAACTGTTTTCTCAACTGTCGACTTAATTTTTTTAAGTAACTTTATTTTTAGAGATATATGTTCGAATCCCAACGGTATTCTTCAAACCTTTGAATGAGCAAAAAAAACTCTGATATCCCTGTGTTTCCATCTAAAAATTTATATTTAAAAAAAAAAATGATATCCCTATGTTTCCATTTAAAATTTACATTTTTCAATTACGGTTGCTTCAAAAAAAAACTCTGATATCCCTGTGTTTCCATCTAAAAATTCATATTTTTCAATTACGTTTGCTTCAAAAAATAAACTCTGATTTCCCTGTGTTTCCATCTAAAAATTGATATTTTTCAATTACGGTTGCTTCGTAAAAAAAACTCTGATATCTCCGTGTTTCCATCTAAAAATTGATAATTTTACTGTTGCTACGAATAAACTCTGATATCCATTCTGAAAATTTATAATTTTCAATTACGTTGCTACAAAAAAAAACTTAAGATTGTTGCTTTCAAGAAAAGGCAGCAGTTATTTTCAAGAAAAAAAGCTATTAATATTCGTTTTGAATAAGAAACATTTGCGAGCAGTCCCGTTAAGTTTGATTAAAATGCTGGGGTTGTTAGGAAGGTGAAATGTTCTGGAGTGTTTCAACCTTCCCTGGTTCCATGCTTTCATCAACCATCTCAAATATGGATCTTGACAATAGGGGACACTTTGTCAAGCTTATACCTTCCCTTACAGGTAGTTCCTTCCTTTCTTTATAGGCAGTTTCTTCCTTTCTTCGTAGCTAGTTCCTTCCTTTTTTTTGGAAGTTCCTTCCTCTCTTTATAGGCAGTTCCCCCCTTTCTTTCAGGTAGTTCCTTCCTTTCATTATAAATTGTTTCTTCCTTTCTTCATCGGTAGTTCCTTCCCTTCTTTGTAGCTAGTTCCTTCCTTTCTTTATAGGTAGGTCCTTCCATTCTTTATGAGTAGTCCCTTCTTTTTTGTATATGTAGCTCCTTGTTTGAATAGGTAGTTCCTTTCTTTCAGTATTGGTAGTTTCTTCCTTTCTGTATAGGTAGTTCCTTCCTTTCTTTGCAGGTAGTTCCTTCCTTCCCTAGCAGGTAGTATTTTCCTTTCCTTTGTCAAATGTTTATGCCCTTAAGAATTTCTCTAGGCGGTCTGGGTTGCCCAAAATGGGGCTTCTTGCAGATCTTATCTCACATATCACAAGTAGTAAGTCTATTTATTCCAGCTTAAATAATTTTAACTCTAATCCTATTTTTCTTAAGGTCGTCTCTATAAATTCAATGGCGATGTAGTAGAACCTATTCCTATGGATGTAGACAGTCTTCTTGGGTCTTCATTGAAGTAAGTTCTGTCTTCAAAAATTTCTAGCTTACCCCTTCCGATGATAAGTACGCAGTGATAACCTTATTGATAATAATTAATGATTTACATATGTATTTTCTAACATACCCTTAACGCTTGATAACAACTTTAAAGTGAAGCTTTAATGTGACCTTTTATTGTAGAATGCAGGAGAATATGGTGGTGACAGGTGGGAAGGAAAGTAGAACCTATGGGATACTTCTTGATACAGGTTGGATAACAAACATTTTTTATGTGAAAACTGAATTGATATCCATTGCATTTACTTTTAAATTCAGGGTTACTGCCTTTGATCGGAACTGGAAACTATTGTGTCGGATGCTCATAATCCCGATCGATCTCGATATCCACTTTTTGCAAATATATTTTTTGGGTCTATTAAAAACTATAACTTTCCAATTTCCATATCTTCATTTTAGTTATTCCTCCCCTTAACGCTCCCTATAAACCCTGACTGGGTACGATTACCATGTGGGATATTGTATGAAGATTGAAGTAATCTGCAGATTTACAAAAGATCGAGACCAAGCATTCAAAACTTTGAATATTTAGGAGAAATATTGTATGAATGTTCAATGAACGAGTGCACAAACTTCCAACAAACATCTAAGGTATGGAAGGGGACGGTCATTAGAAGGCCAAACACTGAATTCGTTTCTACTACTGTATTGACTGGGTTCCTAGCTTTCATTTGATATACATTAAGCCATAGCTGTAACATTTCCAATTAGAAGGTCATTTGAGGTCGGTAGAGGTCATTAGAAATTCAAACACTGAATTCGTTGATACTACTGTATTGCCTGGGTTGCTAGCTTTCATTTGATATACATAAAGCCATAGTTGTAACATTTTCAATTTGAAGGTCATTTGAGGTCGTTATAGGTCGGTAGAGGTCATTAGAAGGTCAAAGACTGAATTCGTTGCTACTACTGTATTTCCTGGGTTCCTAGCTTTCGCTTAATATGCATAAAGCCATAGTTATAGCATTTTGAATTTGAAGGTCATTAGAGGTCGTTATAGGTTGTTAGAGGTAATTAGAAGGTCAAACACTGAATTTGTTGCTGTAACTGTATTATTTGGGTACCTAGCTTTCGTTTGATATGCATAATAAATAAATAAAACAGTCACCCTTCAATCCAAGCCATAGTTATAACATTTTAAATTTGAAGGTCATTAGAGGTCGTTATAGGTCGTTAGAGGTCATTAGAAGGTCAAACACTGAATTCGTTGCTACGATTGTATTGCCTGGGTTCCTAACTTTCGTTTGATATATATAGATATATAGCCATAGTTATAACATTTTCAATTTTAAGGTCGTTATAGGTCGTTAGAGGTCATTAGAAGTTCAAACACTGAATTCGTTGATACTACTGTATTGCCTGGGTTGCTAGCTTTCATTTGATATACATAAAGCCATAGTTGTAACTTTTTTAATTTGAAGGTCATTTGAGGTCGTTATAGGTCGGTAGAGGTCATTAGAAGGTCAAACACTGAGTTCGTTGCTACTACTGTATTGCCTGGGTTCCTAGCTTTCGCTTGGCATGCATAAAGCCATTGTTATAACATTTTGAATTTGAAGGTCATTAGAGGTCGTTTTTGGTCGGTAGACGTCATTACAAGGTCAAAGCCATAGTTGTAACATTTTCAATTTGAAGGTCATTTGAGGTCGCTATAGGTCGGTAGAGTCATTAGAAGCTCAAACACTGGATTTGTTGCTACTACTATATTGCCTGGGTTCCTAGCTTTCGCTTGATACAAATAAAGCCATTGTTATAACATTTTGAATTTGAAGGTCATTAGAGGTCGTTATAGATCGTTAATGGTAATTAAAAGGTCTAACACTGAATTTGTTGCTGTAACTGTATTATTTGGGTACCTAGCTTTCGTTTGATATGTATAATAAATAAATTTAAAAAGTCACCCTTCAATCCAAGCCATGTTTTTAACATTATAGGTCGTTACAGGTCATTAGAAGGTCAAACACTGAATTCGTTTCTACTACTGTATTGCCTGGGTTCTTAGCTTTCATTTGATATACATAAAGCCATAGTTATAACATTTTCAATTTGAAGGTCATTTAAGGTCGTTATAGGTCAGTGGAGGTCATTAGAAAGTCGAACACTGAATTCGTTGCTGCTACTGTATTGCCTGGGTTTCATGCTTTCGTTTGATATGCATGAACCCATAGTTGAAACCATTTCTAATTGTCAAGGTCATTAAAGGTCATTCGATGTCATTCGAGGTCATTAGAGGTCATTAGTGTAAATTTATTTTTCATTTTAGGATAATAGATCATCAATTAGGCGCGCTGCCCAAAAATTGGAAGATTTGAACCAAATATGAAGGCAGGGACCCCTCCTCCCCCCCTACATCAAATAGGACATCTCCGCCATCTCCTTTCTATAAAGCGAACAACATTGTTAACAATGTGAACAATGTCTAGTATCATCTATTTTATAGATGAGAAGAAAAAATTTCAGTTCTTAATCTAAAATTAGTTATTTAAGGAGATCTTAGTAGTGCAGAGAAACACACAAACTGTCCGTGCACATACCCCAAGGTACCCTCTATATTCTAACATTTCTTTTCCTGTCTTTTCTTACCCTTTTAAGCTTTTCTTATCTTATCTGGCCTTTTCTCATATTTTCTGTCCTTTCTTTATCTTTCTTTACCCTTTATAGCTTTTCTAACCTTTTTTGGCCTTTATTGTTTACCTTTCCTCATCTTTTCTTAACATTTTCCTACCTTTTTTTTGATATATTTTGATCTGTGTATCTGACCTAAACAGACCTTTTCTAATCGTTTCCGACCTTTTCTATTTTGTATTAGACGAAAACTGACCTTATCTGACGTGAACTTTCAGGACAGGAGATCAGAAATGGAATTTCTCAGTGAGTCTTCACGATGTTTCCTACCATCCTTCAGATGATCCTTGTACAGAGGAAGACGACGATGGGGTGGATCTATTAGATATCCAGGTAAATTAATTAAAGGAATTGTTCATCGATTTGGTTGGATTTGTTAGATATCCAGGTAAGTTAAAGGGATTGTTCACCTATTTGGGTGGATCTATTAGATATCCAGGTAAATTAAAGGGATTGTTCATCTATTTGGTTGGATCTACTAGATATCCAGGTAAATTAATTAAAGGGATTGTTCATCTATTTGGTTGAATCTATTAGATATCCAGGTAAATTAATTAAAGGGATTGTTCATTTATTTGGTTGGATCTAATAGATATCCAGGTAAATTAATTAAAGGGATTGTTCATCTATTTGGGTGGATCTATTAGATATCGAGAGCTGAAAACTTTAGAATGGTGGATATCAAGATCAAAGCTTTTTCTTAAACTCAAGATTAAGTATTGCTTGTTCTTCTCTTGTTATTAATTTTCAGATTAATTAACAGATCGGGATTAAGGATATCCCATTCTAAAGTTTTCTGCTCAGGTAATTGCATTAAAGGGATTGTAAGTTTAGAACACGACTAAGCAAATCTTACCACCGTTCATAGATTTCCCTATGGGGGTGAGTATTAACAACTTTCCTTCAAAATAAGAATAATTTGGTTATGAATTATGACCCATTACGCCTCTTAACAACGGGCTGTGGAGTTGCTTAACATTACACTTACTTACAGTCATTCACTTTAAGTTTCTCTGTTTAGATTCATTATTTTATTTTATATCTAGGACGACTTTAGTTTGAAGACGGTAGTCCCTGACGGTATGATCTGTGCCACTAGGTCTGAGGACCAGAACCTTATCAAGTGGAAGAGAAAGTTTCAGGCTCCTATTGTAGATGTGTGGAGGTGATTTTCAAGATTTATTTAATTTAGCAATAAGTGTAAATGTTTTCGTTTTACTCATAGATTTTAAGAGATTAGAGGGAAAAGAGTGTTATGTTATTGTACAGATTTTAATGATTCACGTGGCATTCATTTTCGTAAATAACGACCAGATTTTCACATCTTGGAAGTATTATTGAAGGGAAGGAAAGGAAAGGGATGGGATGGAGAAAGGAAAGGAAAGGAAAGGAAAGGAAAGGAAAGGAAAGGAAAGGAAAGGAAAGGAAAGGAAAGGAAAGGAAAGGAAAGGAAAGGGGGTTTTACTCCTTTTTTTTTGCATACCATTAATTCTTACAATCTTAATATTTAGATTGAAGAATGGAGAACTGAGTAAGGTAAATCTGTTCTCTAAGAACCATATCCCTAAGCGGAATGTTCTCCTGGACGATGATGACGACGTTGACGACGATGAGAATCCGTCCCTGTACATTGGGAAGCACAACAACCAGCTGTACATACAGGAGTCTGTACAGTTACGTAGAGATGCAGATTCAGCTTTACATGAGTACAGTCTGAACCCGGCAGGTTCAGAACTCGCATATCCAAGGTAACAATGAAAGATATAAAGCGACATTTTCTAGAAATAAGTTTCTTCCTCACTTCTTTTATCGTGCACATGAATTTCAAAACATTTCAGAGAATAAAAAATAACAATAAAAATACTGAAAACTTACCAATAACTTATATCTTTGCAATCTGAAGGTGTAAAACTTTGATATTTCAAACTCAGATTATCTAAGGTGCACGACATTGAGTTGCAAGGATATTGGATTTAGAAGATCAGAGTTTGTGGCAAAGACTTAATTCATTTTTTATATTTTATGATTCTGTTTGACCAGTTTGTGTATTTTTAGAGTAACCTGGAAGCCCTATTTGGTGAGTCCGAGTCGAACCCCGGTGTTTAACCTTGGTACACCCAACCCGGACCTGGGGCTCATCACATTCGAACAAACCATACGACGGGGAGACTCTAAGAACACGGCGCTAGCGATCACGGCAAATAATGCAGAATATCCATATGACTCTGGACTCTATCTCTATCCTGGAATGAAATAAAACACAAATTTTCTTTAAAACAAATAACAAGCTTTACAGAAACCCATTAAGTTGGCTAAATTTTAACAGTTTAACGTGTTTATGTGATTCTTGACTTTGGGTACTTGGTTATTAGGTAATTAGGCAAATGGTAAAGGGTATCAAATATATCGTATGTTCAGGAGGATTATTAATTATTATTATTATTTTTATATTTATTATTTATTATTATCATTATCATTATCATTATCATTTTCATTTAACCTATAGTCAAAGTAGCATGTCCTGGTATGTTACCTTGAGCTCCAGGGTCGAGCGTTCGTCAGTTGTTGGTTATGCACTTTAAAATTACGCTGACCGTCCCTTTGTTGTTCATTTGAATAAAGCGAAAAGACTCTTCAATGATTTAAATTCATTTGTATCAGACACTACTTCACTAAATCCTGATGATACCATTACCAACATGACGACCATCCTCGGGGGTCAGGAGGTTGAGGAGGAGGAGGCTGAACCACAGAACACCATCGAGTACATCTCCAGAGGTCTATCTTACTACTGGATGGAAGTCATATTTATTTCGCTTGTTACGGCCGTTATGATGAACGTGCTGATCACTCGACCAATCATTCATCAGATGCGAGATAATTTCCAGGTAGAGATTATTTGAGATATTATTTATAAAAGCTTCCCTAAAAACGGTTGTAATGTTTGGTAATGTCAAAAAGCTTTTAAGTATAAAAATCTAATGAGGTAGTCAGATAATTATTCTAGAACAGCTGCATAAAGTAATTTTTAAAACCATTGCATTTCTTTCTCTGTTCTTAATGATATCATGGGATCACTTTTGATTTTTCAAGAAAAAGTATTTTTGGAATTTTAAAAGTTTTTAAGAAACTAATTTTGAAGAAGCTTTTTGACTGTTTTTCATAGACCGTGTATTTTAAATCAAATATGGGATGGAAAACATAAGCTCCAAATCAGTTTAAATTTGATTTTGTTGACACATTTTGTAGACCCTGCAGACTGAGAAGGCCAAGGAGGTGGTGAGAGAAGTTTTTGTCGAAGTCCCAGTTCCATCCTTCTCAGGGTTTCCGTCAACACCAAGTGTTGGAACAAACTCGAGTTCAGGACCTGATTTCTCCACCATAGACAGACAAAACTCCGAGTTCAGCTCCAGGTACCTCTCGGACTTCGAGCCAGTGCAGTGCTTGGGACGAGGAGGGTTCGGAGTTGTGTTTGAATCTAAGAATAAGTATGATGATATTCATTATGCGGTGAAACGAATAACGTTGCCAAGCTCAGAAGAGTCTAAAAAGAAGGTTATGAGGGAGGTAAAGCTTCATGCTAAACTGGATCATAAACACATAGGTATGACAACTTTTATATGAACGTTTCATAGAATTATTTATTGTAATTTACTTAATATTTTCCTATAAAATATGTATTGCTAAAGCAAAGTTTGATTTTTTCCGCGTTTAGTTCGTTACTTCAGCACGTGGTTGGAAAGTCCGCCGCCCGGGTGGCAGGAAACAGCTGATTCCTGGTTTCAAGACCAAGATGTCGGAACAGGACCAACACCATTTGATCCTACAGCGACAGGTATTCTATCAAAATAAGCATATCTTAGCTTTTTTACAGTTGTTTGAGGCAGGGTAGGGAGGATGACTCAATCACACTGGCTGAATTTCATTCTGTTAATGCTTTTTAAGTTTGTTGTGAAAATATAATTAGATCGAATTGTTTTTATTACTTTTTTGATGATATAATATGCTGAGAATTTTACGATGTCTTTAATAGAAATGAATCGTGTGAAATATTGATAAATATCTTATATTTTATTTTACAAAAGAAATCATTTATTTAAACCTGAAGAACAGTCCAACTAACACAAACGGAGCTGATTGAAAGTCGTCTTAATTGTAAGGCGTAGTTCGGTGACTCCAGTTCTTAAAGGGTCTGTAAACGTATTTTAAAGTGACCCTCCATTTATATGTTCGATCAAAGCTTTGTCTAATCAATCATGAACCTATGCTCAGGCTGATAACTTTTTATTTATATTATTTTCGATGGTGGTTTCTCTTATGTTGGTTGTGCATTTCGAATTTCAAAAAAACAATGTAGACATTTTTAGAAATAATTACTTATAAAGCTAAAATCGACGGCATTTCTGCATTATTGATTAGATAAAGGTGTCAAGGGTACCGTAGTGAATCAGACATGTTCATCTTTAAATGGAAAGTCACTTGAAGTTACAACGACAATCCCTTTTATGTTTGTTAATTGTTGAAATTAAGATTAAACGGTTTGGAAACCTGATCTTATGATGATATTAATATGCTGCACTTGTATAGTACATCTCAAACATGCAACATATCATTTAATTGGGGCCTTCAATAATTAACCTGTACATTTTGAATTCATACTTTTATTTGTGGAATTTTCCTACAACAAAAAAAAACGCTATTCCAGAACTTGCAGATTATTATTAATTATAATTTTAAAAATGAATGTGTTTTCTTTTTTAAAAATAAGGGAAGCAAAAAAGAAGAATGAATTCATCTGTTGAAAAAATCAGCTACTCCGAATATGGTTTTTTTTCACAGATTGGTTCCAGGATCCGGATCCGCATCAAAATTAAATTAATCTTCAGCACTGCTTTTAAGATTTCTTTTCTTAACACATAAAATATGATTATACATAGATGATTCTTATTTAAAGGGACTGTCAGCGTAATTTCAAGTTTCCTTCCATAGATATCAGTGCCCGCTTCACAACGGTACCCTTGAATCCTTTATCTTATCACTAATGTGGAAGATATTGTTTAGTTCTGATCATTTCTATACGTTTTCCTACAGTGGGAATGCGTAAGTCACTTTTGTAACAATTAAAACTAACTAATTAGTGTTCAGAATTATAAAAACATATATCTAGTTCATACTTGATCAGACAAATCTTTTACTGATACATCCGTCGTAAATGCGGACATTGCCATCTTTGCATGGAGGATCACTTTAAGTCTCTTTAAAAAAACTTTTCACGATGTTTAGATTACTCTATGTCGATTGTTGAGGGTGTAAAGAAGAATGATAATCCTCTTAAACCGTTTTCCATGTCCTCGACTCGATCAAGACAAGAGAACAGCTCTGGGAAATACCGGTGCAACGCCTTAGATAGAACTGGTGAACAGTCTTTTAGTATAACCTTTGAGGATTCTAGTAGTGAACTTTGGGATAAAAATGTATCACGGAACAGTGACTCTCGAAGTGATTCAAGTGATGATAGTGATTGTGATAGCATAGGCAGTCCACAGTTAGCTGAAGATACAACTGGAGGCATAGTTTTTGAAACGGATCCATTAGAGATTAAGGTTAGTTTTATCATGTTCTCTAGTTTTGAGTTAGTTTTTTAAAATGCCTTGCACAGAGCTAAGAGAGTAATAGAGATCAATTGAAACCTATAATATGCGATATTTTCCACAGCAGGTTCTATTGTGTGCAAGTATAGTACACAATCAATCAGCAAACATCTGTATTCAGGGATATTTAAGGACCCTTTAAATACGTTATACAAAATTTTCAAAAATAGACTAAATTCATAAATGTTATGTTTCATGTTATAAATGGAGTATTTCTGTAAAAGTGTAAAATCTATCCCTTGAATGGGTATTCTATGCAACAAGTGGCCGTTAGATGGCAGTCAAAAAAAACCTTTCTTGAAACTGTAGCATGGCGTGCCGGGACACTTTAGGCCTGTTTATAGCCTATCCAGGTAGAGCAAATGCGCAGTCTTGTCAGTCTGTGGCTTTACAACATCAATGCAATTGGTTAATCTTAATTGAGATTTTTTTTAAATTATTGAAGTGCATAAGAGGCAATCGCGATTTATAATTGATAGCATTATTTAAGCCATCCAATAATTTAGGGAAGTGTGGAAGCTATAGCTGTAGATATGGATAATACTAGCAGTGGTCCTTTTAAAAAATTCAAGCAATCAAAATCAGGATCTTCAGGTTATACCAATTCACATCGGACAGGGACAGAAATAGGTGTTTGAAACTTTACTGGAAATGGAATTGGGGGATTGGGACTTGGAATAGGACAGGGACTTGGAATAGGACAGGGACTTGGAATAGGACAAGGACTTGAAATAGGACAAGGACTTAAAATAGGAAAAGAACTTGGAATAGGACAAGGACTTGGAATAGAACAAGAACTTGGAATAGAACAAGGACTTGGAATAGAACAAGGACTTGGAATAGGACAAGGACTTGGAATAGGACAGAGACTTGGAATAGGAAAAAGACTTGTAACAGGATGATGACTTAGAATAGGACAATGACTTTGAATAGGACAGAGACTTGGAATAGGAAAAAGACTTGTGACAGGATGAGGACTTGTAATAGGACAATGAGTTTGAATAGGACAGAGACTTGGAATAGGAAAAAGACTTGTAACAGGATGACGACTTGGAATAGGACAAGGACTTGGAATAGGACAAGGACTTGAAATAGGATTGGAATAGAATAAGGACTTGAAATAGGACAAGGACTTGGAATAGGACAAGGACTTGGAATAAGATTGGAATAGAATAAGGACTTGTAATAGGACAAGGACTTGTAATAGGACAAGGACTTGTAATAGGACAAGGACTTGTAATAGGACAAATAGAGATAAAGAACGGACCCCATTTTTAGAACTTAAATCAGATGCAAAATGAGAGACAAAATTTAAAGAGAAGTACTAAAGTTATTAGAAGTCTGTACAGTGTACACTACTATGTATATTACAAATTTGATATATTTATATTTTAGAGAGTTTATCCTGTTATGATGCCTTGGATTGGGATATAAACCAAAATTCTGGAAGCTCAAAAGGAAACATTTTTATTTCTTATCTAATTCAAGATGTTTTGAAATCAATATTATATTTTTAAATAAATTTTTTTATATATATTGTCGAAAATTGCTTTTTGTGTAATCCATTGGCCTGTTCATTATTTATAAAGAGAAAATGTTAAGCTAAATTGACGTTTCTCCAAGAAACTTTGGAATAAAATAAAAAATGTGTAACTTTGTAGAAACTAGAAGCCGAGCCAAATCCTACCTTTATATAGTAATGCAGCTGTGTAGAAAGGATACGCTCCGAGATTGGCTAAGAAACAATAGGAACCCTACAATTCATTTTTTATTTTTGTTCTTTTCTGATTTTAGCTGATTTTTAGGGGCAATGATGAAACTTTGATTCCAAAGCTTTTTTTCCTTTTTTAAACGTTGTGTTTGAAGTAAAATTGAAGAAATGTTGTATAATTATTGATGTTTTAAGTATTGCTGATCACTGTTTGTTCATCGATTTTAACTTTATTTTTGTGAAACCCAGACTACTTTACGATCCATTCGGTTTAATACCTTACCTTTCAATCTACTGGTAAACTTATTTACGTTTTAACTAGATAACATTCACATGTAATAGCTTTAATATCGTCTTATTCCTCAATTAAGGTCACAGTGTACAGTGTACAGTGTACACTATTAATGAATGATTGATTGTGTCTAGTGTCAGATCAGAAAGTGAGATTTTATCTGTTTTTTCTCAAATCTGCGTTGGTGTACACTATGTACACAGGTAACTCAATACTTAAAAATCCATTAGAAGGATTTCAGTATCTTCCTTTACTTTACGTTAGAAAATTATTTAATGATTACCTTTCTTACGATTTTTTTCAAAATTTTCGGTTTTCCGATTTACTCATTTGAAAATTGCAATTTTAAAATGTTGTATGATTTGTCTTTTATTTGAATAAGCTGTATTTTATGAAGTAATTTGTTTTATTGACGAGGTTAAAACATGAAATTTAAATATCATTTCATATTTACTCACGAAATGTTTAGGAATGTTTAAGAAGCATTATGGCAGCGGTTTAAGAGAAAAATATTCTTTGTCACAAACTCGGACTTTTTTATTCCTATTTCTTTGCAACCCAATATAGGAGGTTTTTCAAACTGTAAATTATGTTTTATTAAATAATCTAAGTTCGAAATATTAGGTTGCAAAGATATAGGAATCCGAAAACTAGAATTTGTGGCAAACACTCAATTCCATTAAAATGGGGGATTTCTGAGTTTTAAATTTATAGAGATCGTGTTAATACTGCTCATAATTTTGAATAACATTTTCATGATATCGAAATGCGTTCTTTATTTGGATAGTTCGAACAAAATGTTACGGGTTATGGTTTAAAAGTGACAATGCATCAAAAAAGATATATAAATAAATTTTTTATTTTAGGCAAGGTCTGATTCATCGAGATTTAAAACCTTCAAATATATACTTTGCACCCGACGGAGCTATTAAAATCGGCGATTTCGGTCTAGTGACTGGCACTGTACTAGATACTGGCGGGTATGGTGATTCGACTAGAAATGAAGGGTAAGCTTTGTTTAAAATATATTTTCAATTCAATTCTTTCGTAATAGACCGGTTGTACTTGAGAGATGTGTTCAGTAAAACTAAGAATGTTAGCAAAATCAATGATAATATTTAGTTAGTGGAAGTAGGAAAATAGACCGGTTGTACTGGAGAGATGTGTTCAGTAAATCTAAGAATGTTAGCAAAATCAATGATAATATTTAGTTAGTGGAAGTAGGAAAATGATTTAAAAGCTCATATTTCACCCATAAAATTGCCTTTGATTAGCTTAAAGTCGCTAAAATACGTTTTGTAATTATAAACTGTAACAAATTTGGAAATAAGGCCAAAACAGGCACATTTTTAGAGATATATATATCAGTTGTTGTCGTAAATTTATGGTAAATTTATGGTAAATTTATGGTAAATTTATTTATAATCACAATTAAGGGGAGAAAAATTAGTAAAAGGTTAAACTGCATATGACACTACTGAACTGCACTGTACAGTACCTTGATTTGATGTGTACGGTATTTTATTGTACTTTATTGTATTGCACTGTAATGTATCGTACTGTACTGTACTGCACTGTATTGTACTGTACTGTACTGTACTGTACTGTACTGTACTAGGACTGGACTGGACTGGACTGGACTGGACTGGACTGGACTGGACTGGACTGGACTGTAATGCTCTGTAATGCTAGGTGTGAGGATGATCAGTTGACGGATCAGGTTGGTACACAGATGTACATGTCTCCAGAGCAGCTACAACAGAAACCGTACAACCACAAGGTACGTAGTACAGCTAGTGTTGGGCAACCTACTTGAACCTGTTCAACATTCAAAAGCTTGTTGTCTTTCAGTCTGCATGGTCTATTCAATAATATATTATATATTTCAAAAAGTAAGCATCTAAAAAATTACTTTTATGACATTGTTAGTTTAAGAACCCAATGTTAACCCACCGTTTTCCCCATAAAAGTTTATCCACTCAACTAATAACTAACATTTACATCCCCAAAACAAATAGTTAAAATATTGAAAATTTAATTGAGGGTGTAGGATGAACCAGAGAGAAAGTTACATCGATCCCACATTCTTTGTTTCTTTCCAATTTTTCTGTAAATAACAAGTTCTTGTAGATTTTAAAGTTTTCTGATAATTGTTTAATGGTTAAAGGGACTGAACGCGTAATTTCAAGTGACCCTCTATACAAAGATGGCATTGCCTCATTTCCAATTGTACCCTTGAAACCTTTTTCTGATCAATAATGGGAAAGATATTGTCGTGTTTCTAGGTTAAAATGTATTTAATTCAGATATTTTTTATGTTTTCCTGTAGAAAAACTATGCAAGTCACTTCTGTACAAACCACTATTGAAAACAATCAGTTTTCCAAATTATAAACATTGATATCTAATTCATACTTCCAGTGATATTCGGGCATTTTCGTCTTTGCACGGACGTTCACTTGAAAATGCGCTTACAGTCCCTTTCATCAATTTTATTTTCTCAGGTGGATATTTTTAGCCTAGGACTAATTTTTCTAGAACTTTTAGTCCCATTCTCTACTCAGGTTAGTTGTTAATAGAAAGAAAAGAATAAAATTATAATTTCTAAAAAAAATTTTAATTATTTTGTTTACGTTCTTTTTTGTAAAAAATTTGAATTATATTAATGTAATTCAAAGTATTTTAAGGGCTTCTGGTATTCCGTTTTCAGCAGCTTTTACATTTTTTAATATTTATCACATACAAAAGTATGAATTCAAAGCTTTCACTGTTGTTACATCTTTTTACAGATGTAAGTAAAATGTATAAACTATAAAGTACATTTGTAGAATTAAACAGCTGCGAGAAATAATTGCTATTTTAAATGTGAAATAAATTAATGATTAGTTTTGCTATTTTAAATGTGAAATTAATTAATGGAAAGTTTTTTAATTTTGAACTTTTTACTTATTCTCTGTAATTATTTTAAATATTCTTGACATTAATGACTTTTTAGAATTATTTTTATTTTTAATATTCTTGACATTAATGACTTTTTAGAATTATTTTTATTTTTAATATTCTTGACATTAATGACTTTTTAGAATTATTTTTATTTTAAATATTCTTGACATTAATGACTTTAGAATTATTTTTATTTTGAATATTCTTGACATTAATGACTTTTTAGAATTATTTTTATTTTAAATATTCTTGACATTAATGACTTTAGAATTATTTTTATTTTTAATATTCTTGACATTAATGACTTTTTAGAATTATTTTTATTTTGAATATTCTTGACATTAATGACTTTTTAGAATTATTTTTATTTTAAATATTCTTGACATTAATGACTTTAGAATTATTTTTATTTTGAATATTCTTGACATTAATGACTTTAGAATTATTTTTATTTTTAATATTCTTGACATTAATGACTTTTTAGAATTATTTTTATTTCATTCGTGATTCTAAGAATAATCAGATTTAGATTCTAAATTATTTACATCATATAGATAGAAACTTCTAAAATTGAATGGTTATGAAATAGTACTTGGGTATAGGCTCTAGGGTAATGCTAAAGTTTTGAAATTGTTAAAATGTTGAAAAATAAAATAAACACAGCACTCACTTTTCTATAACTAAAGCGCCACAAATTCAAATATAATTTTTGTTTTGGTCGAAACTATAATGGCACCAATTTTATTGTTATTCATAATTGTGTTTAGATGGAGAGACAGTATTCCCTTTCTCAAGTAAAGAAAGGAAATTTTCCAGAGCAAATACTTGGGAGCCCAGAGTATACACAACTTTTAGGTTTGTTTATCAATCAAGCAATATTCATTATACAAGGAACTGCCTAATTAATTACTAATAAAGTGCAGCTTAGAATTGTGAACTTTTGTGTTGGTTACTTATAATCTCGATCCCTTGATCTCGATATCCACAATAGGAACTTATAATTTGAGTATCTATAGATAACTATTAACTATATATTCCTCCCCTGATCAATGCTCCCTTCAACCCCTGTTTTGGTACGATTACCTTGCAGGATATAGAATAAAGATTAAATTAATCTGCAGATTTACAAAAGCTCAAAGATCAAGCATTTATATACACAATACAAGAGTTCCCAGCTCAAAGAAGTTATAAACAATTTTAAAGTTAGCTTAGTAGAAACAGCAATGATGTCCTTTCTTTCATTTTGATGTGTGCAGGTTGCTCTTGTGTGTCTACGTTTTCATTTATGCCTCATTTTTTGTTGTATACTACGTTTTGTTTTGTTCTTGTTGTGTAGTTTTAATGATGTTTTTCATGTGGTTGTCCTGTGTTGGATTATCAAATGATTTGTTGCGATCGATTAATTAATTGATTGATTGATTGAATAATTGATTAAATTGATTGAATCATCTGTAGATAATTTTATTACAAATGTGTCCTGTGTACCGTAGGTATGATGCTTCATCTGAAATCAGAGAACAGACCTGAAGCAGAAGAGATATTAAACTTGCCCTGGATACAGGTTTCATTAATTTTTCATTATGACATATTCAGACCTGAAGGACTGTAGAACCCGTAAATACCGTAAATAATTTCCATGTTTTTTACTTTTTCAAATATTTTTATATCTTTGTTAGAGGGGTGTGGCATTTTTTTATCATTTAACAGAAGCATAATTGTATTCCATTTTTGATTTTTGTGCAAAATTCTTCCTAAAAACACACCAGCTGGATTACAATTGTGTAAAATCAAACTAGAAAAAATGTTCGTTCCTAATTTATATGCTCTCTTCAAGGGACTGTCATCTAAATTTCAAGTAGGATTCAATTTTAAGTGAACTTCCATTTCAAGAGTTGCATGCCTTAAAATAATGGTGGTCTTTTAAGTCGTCTCCTTAACAAAGATTAGAGAACGCACAAATGCAAATTATACATTTTTTGGTTAAAATCGAAAGAATATCTTTGGCCTTTTGGCTTAAACAAAAGGTTGAAAAAGGATCCATTGTTTTAGATTGTGCAGCTCTTTAAATGGAGGGTGTCTCGATATTACGTTTACAGTCTCTTTATAAGTTTTTTTTTCCAGGGTCATGCAGATACAAGTCCTAGAAACCGATTGTCAACTTCAGGATCAGAGTCAAGCATTATTCCTCCCTTTTCTCAAACCTGTTCTTGAATAATATACAAAAGAAAATATTTTCCTCTCTTGTGTCCAATTTCATGAACATAATGATGGATTTTGCATTCTCTAATCTTCATAATTAAAAACATTGAAATAAGATCAATCTAAGATTCGGTGATGGTGATGGATCAAACCTTTTATTGAAAATATATTTCGGTCTGGGTTGACCCTCGCCAGTTCTTGAGATTGTTTAAAATCTTTATGATCGATAAACAGAACTGGGCATCGTAGAATGAGGCATGAAATATGACGATCTTAACTTTGGATATTTTCTATTCCTTGTATTTAATTTAGTTTCGAAAAAAATAGTATGTCATTGCTGAAAACCACCAATTGAAGTAAAAACTATCATTTTTGTGGAAACCCCTGTGCATTTCTCTTGCGAAAGATCACTGCTGTACCAAAATTCACCAAAAATCACGAGATAAAATCACAAGATGTTTAATCTTACTACTTGTCATTGCTGATACTGTAGAACAAACAGTATTGTACTTATAATGAATTGTATGTTATCTAAAATTACATTATCCAACTGTAAATTTTATTTTTTGCTACTTGTAAAGTAATAAATCGAAATTCACTTGAAGTTTCAATTTTCTGCAATGTGTTTATTGAATGAGCGTAATATTAAAAAACTTTTTTATTTCACACAAATAATATGTGTTTATCAAAATTGTTATATAAAACATAATATATATCCAATTATAAAATAATTATAAAATATAAGCATTTTTATCCCCTCCACCAGCGCTGATGTAAGATTTGAATTAGCCATGAACTCTCAAGGTTTACATGTCCCATTGTAGGCAACCTTAGAACCAAAGCAGTTGGCACTGCAGAAACTTCTATACGTTACTCCATCTTGTCCACAAACAAAACCGCTTAGATCTCTGTCACAGTCACAGCCCTCAGAATAACATGGACATTGTCCATTGCAGGCAACTCCAGTATTATAACATCGGGCTTTGCAATCATTGTCATATGTGTATCCATCATCTCCGCATACACTTTTATCATAGTCGTATCCTGAGCAGGAGCAAACGTTATTTGTGCACGGACATATACCCTCACATTGGACTGCAATATTATTACAATTTGCTTGGCAGTAGTTAGTGTATGTTTGTCCATTGGTCCCGCAAACAGGATCATAATAGGTTGTACAACCAGCACAACCAGTCACCGTGCCGGTACCTGTACCAGAACACGGGCATTGACCATTGCAGGCCACTCCTGTGTTATAGCATCGGGCCTTACAGTCATTATCATATGTGTACCCATCATCCCCGCATACACTTTTGCTATTGTCATAGCCAGTACAAGAACATACGGTGTTAGTACAGGGGCAAGTACCTTCACACTGCACCGGAACATTTTTGCAGTTTGCTTGGCAATAGTTTGAGTATGTTTGCCCGTCTGCACCACAAACAGGATCATAATAGGATGTACATGCTGAACATCCAGTGACCACACCTGTACCAGTGCCTGTACATGGACATTGGCCATTGCAAGCAACTCCCGTACTATAACATCGGGCCTTGCAATCATTGTCATATGTGTATCCATCATCCCCGCATACGCTTTTGTCAAAGTCATAACCTGTACATGAACAAACAGTATTTGTACAGGGGCAAGTTCCTTCGCATTTAACTGTTACATTCTTACAATTTGCCTGGCAGTAATTGGTATAAGTTTGTCCATTAGTTCCACAAACCGGTTCATTATAATTTGTACAGAGCTCGCATCCTACGACTGTGACTCCCGTGCCGGTACCTGAACATGGGCATTGTCCCAGGCAGTCTATTCCAACGTTATAGCACCGTGCTTTGCAATCGCTGTCATAGTAATATCCATCATCTCCGCAAACTCCACTTTTAGAAGAATATCCCGTACATGAACATACGGAATTTGTACAAGGACAATTGCCTTCACAGGAAACGCTGACATTTTGGCAATTTGCTTGGCAATAGTTGTTGTATGTCTGTCCATTGGCTCCACACACTGGATAGGTTACATTAGTGCAAGCCGAACACCCAGTAGCAAAATTTGTTCCGGGATTACCTAAAAAAAATAAAAATAACTAAGGAGTAATTAATTAAGCAGATTAAAGAATTTTTTTATTAATTGTTTAATATTTTTCAATGTTTACCTCATTTAAACCTTAAGAAATTATTTTAGTACAGGATATGTCTTATTAAACATGGGGATAGAGTAACGAACAAGATAAAGACTACAGTTGTATGAGTTAAAAATCATCCTTAAGATTTTCTAGTAGACATCACCTGCAATGTTGTTGCTTTATTCCCATGTTTTTGTATAAGAATTAAAGTGCATTAGAATTAAAAATGTGCTGGGAAATGACAACAAAACAAACCAAAATAAAAACAAAAAGAAACGTAAAGAACTCTACAGTTCTACAAAAAATAACACTTTTTGTCTCTCTCACTAAAAGTAATAATACTAAAACGTCTTATAACTATGTTATTATTTCATAAAGACCATTTTGTTCTAGAATTAAATATTTTAGGTTCTAGATCTTGTGTTTTCTTTAATTGAAATTGATGCTTAATTTACAGGGTGTCCCATGAAACATGATAGTTGGTAAATAGTTTTGAATATACTGTATTAGACATTACAGTCTTTTTGCAGTTCATTTCGTTAAATAAATGTTAATGTGCCTAGAGATACGCATAGGTACTTGATTGAAAGTATTTCACAATGTTTACATGTAAAAACTATGTTAGCTAGCAGATGTGTGTCTTTCTATGAGACTATTGAAGCAAGTTCTAAGCTTTGCATTAGATTTCTTTCTAATTTATGTAAAAATGACCTCAACACAGTTCTTGGCAGAAATTTATATTTTATTGCAAATGATTGTTCTGTAAATCCTTTTGATCTGAGTAAAATGTTAGTTAAGAAACAAATGAAATATTTTGATGTCCCATTGGAACATGAATGGAAAGTTCCGGTTTTACAAGAACTTTTAAATACAAGAATGAATAATTTATATGTTGAAGGATTCGATGATTACGTATTAACTGAAATGATAAATATGTTATCTAGTGAGTAAAAATCAATGTTTTCTATTTGTGCATAATTTTGCATATTTTTTTCTCTTTTCTTTTGGAAACCTGTATTTAAAAAAAAATTTATTTAAACAAATTTTAACTATACACCATTTATATATGTATTTATATCTGTGTGTGAATAAATCTTTATAATAATTAAAATATTTGACCCAAATATAGTTTGCTTTGAAATCAATTTTAACATAATATGGTTTTTATATAATATTTTAACATAATATGGTTGTTATATAATATTTTAACATAATATGGTTGTTATATAATATTTCAACATAATATGGTTGTTATATAATATTTTAACATAATATGGTTGTTATATACTATTTGAACATAATATGGTTGTTATATACTATTTTAACATAATATGGTTGTTGTATAATATTTTAACATAATATGGTTGTTATATAATATTTTAACATAATATGGTTGTTATATAATATTTTTTATTGTGCTCTTTGGTATCAACCACTTAACAAAAGAAGACATTTTAAACTGTTTAATGGGACACCTTTTTAGTGGAGAGATTGTTGACTAATTAGTTTTTAAATGCCTAAAGAATGGAATACAAATGCATAAAGCGAAAGGAAGAGTTTTTTCATTAGAAATGTATTTTCTTAAGAACTAGTCTCCTACTTTCTTGACTTTTTTATACAGGGTGTCCCAGGAATCATGACAGTTGGTTAATAGTTTTAAATGTTTTTATACAGGGTGTCCCAGGAATCATGCCAGTTGGTTAATAGTTTTAAATGTTTTATACAGGGTGTCCCAGCAATCCTGACAGTTGGTTAATAGTTTTAAATGTTTTTATACAGGGTGTCCCAGGAATCCTGACAAGTTGGTTAATAGTTTTAAATGTTTTTATACAGGGTGCAAGTTGGTTAATAGTTTTAAATGTTTTTATACAGGGTGTCCCAGGAATCATGACAGTTGGTTAATAGTTTTAAATGTTTTTATACAGGGTGTCCCAGGAATCATGACAGTTGGTTAATAGTTTAAAATGTCTTTGTAACCTCTAATTCATTGTATGGAAGAAGAAATTCAAAACCATTCACCAAACGTCATGTTTCGTGTAACAAAAAACTAGAAAGGAAGAAAATAGTATGATCAGTGAACAATTTTGAGATTCATAAATATTTTATAGATAACTATCAAAATTAGTTTAACAGGAAGAATATGAAATGTTGCTTCTTAAAGTAATATTTGTGAACTGAACTATACTGTTTGGTCTCAAGCATAAGTATCTTTTAAACGCAAAGTACTCAATTATAAATAGGGTTTTTAACAAAGTTCGTGATAATCGAAAAACTTTCGACAACATTTTTTGCACGATTATTAAAATTTTTAATTTTTTGTTGTAAAACTCGAAAAATTCTATTGTGCTTTTTTGACAAAAAAAATGATAATTCCGACAAAAATATTTTGGGGTTAAAAAATGCTTTGAACTTTAACAAAATTTGGAAATTTTCAAATACCCGAAGAGTCACGAATTGATATCTCGAACATTTGAAACCCTAATACAAAAGTAAGAGAACACGAAGCAGTTGTAGCATTATGAAAAACACAGATTTTATAAATAATTAGATTTTTTAACGAAAATATTTTATTAAAGTACAGATAGTACTTTCAGATGTATCTATATAAATATATCTTGCTTGTCTTTATGTCTGCTTTGTTGAGCCAATTTGACACAAATTGAGAAAATGTTGCATGGAAAAAATGTCATTTTTTGAAGTACAGAAAAATTAGATTTATTTAAAGAATCGAGAAAAATTTGTGATTAGAAGAGCAACAGCTTGAAGTTAAAAATACTAAGTAAAACAAGGGCGAAGCCAGTAGTAACTTAAAGTACAAAACATATGTGAAATGTAAATCATTACTATTTTTATCAATACAAAATAAGATATTAAAATAGTTAAAAGTTCACTTATCGAACAATAAACTAATTCTTTAAGCAACTCAGCAAATTACTGCATTAGGTCTTTGTACCAAATTAAAGCTTGTTAAATAAAAAATAAATGCATGTTCGATGTTCGTATAAGTTTAGTTTTTATTCATGTTTTTCAGAAAACATTTCATAAATGTTTTAAATGTTTTCATTCCCATAAATATGCACTCGGTCATAAAGTTTTAAACTTTAAAGAGAATAAGGATTAAAATGCAATTCTAACAGTGCGTCCAAAAATGAAACCAAGTTTTCAAAAATATTATTAAAAGATTATGAAACAAAATATGAGTATTATTTCTTATGGATTATTCATATAGAAAGAGATTAATTCAGATTGTGCTATACAAATTATGCATAAACATTATACCTTGCTGATTTTTGAAGTGTCCTTATTCCTAATTCTATTCCTGTTAAGTGCTACTGCATAAAAAATGTTTAATACTGACTTCAAAAAATCATTAAAAATTCATATTTTAAACTGTAAAGGGATTGTCTTTGTGATTTCAAGTGACCCTCCACGAAAAGAGGGACCATGCCCGATTTACAATTGTATTTAGGTACCCTTTAAACCTTTGATCTTGTTAATAAAGTGGAAGATATAGTCGCTTTATCTTCATTAAAAAGTGTTTAATATTGATAATTTCCTCCATTGTTTCTGCAAGTCACCTTTGGAGTGAAACCACAATTAAAAACAATTAATTTTTAAAGTGAAAAGCATTCGTTCTTTAAAAAACCAACTTTTAATGCTACCCTTTTAAATTGGATGGAGAGTCAGATGATATACTTTTCTGTACATTCCCTTTATATTCACAATAATCTCGGTCCAGTGCAGCATAATTATAGTTAAAATGATCAATTCTTTGAAAATTCCACCTGAAAAGTGAAAACATGTGAATAATTAATTAAAATATATTTATGTTCTCTATGGAATATCTGGTTTGTTAAAAACCATACTTCAACTGAGATAGATTAATAGAGCTGAATAGAAGGTAGGGTTTTTTTAAATAATTATTTAATGATGTATTTTTAGTGTGATACGAGACAGCAAAAATTGGTCGATATCCAAAAAAAATAATTTAAAAATAACTGAACAGTTGACTTTTTGATCTAGCAGAATTGATGCCGTACATTTATTTTCCGTAGTGGTGACATATGCTGTACATTTATTTTTCGTAGTGGTGACAAAAATTCAGCCCAATCGGTCTAGCCGTTTGGCCGGCTATACGCAGCATATATTTGAATGTCTTGTTTCATTTTATAGACTAGATAGACTAGCTTAGAATCCCAGCATGGCCCAAGGGAGTCAAATTACGACATTAGCTACAGGGTGTCCCAATAAACATGGGAATTCAGTGACGAATTCAATATCATCTTTTTAAATAATTCTTTGATTTAGTATGGTGATACCTACTGAGAAAGCTGTAATCTGTAAGAGTTTCGTCTGCTATGTTTACATTTTGTTTGTTTATGTTTTGACTGCATACGATTGTACTTAGTAAACAAGAAAATTGCAGTATACAAACAGAGTAAACTTGTCCTTCTTCACTGTTCATCTTGCGGAGACATAATAGTCTTTACAGTCTTTTACCCTTTTCATAAAATAAACTCTAGCAGACATAATAATATTATGCCTTTTGAAATTAGGTATTACAATGCTAATTCATTACAAAGACGATATCGAATTCGTCACTGAATTCCCATGTTTTTGGGGTCACCCTGTATTTTCCCCGTTAAAATTGAGCCTACTCAACTTAGAATCTCAAAACCATGCTAAGAACATTCCCGTGGGTCTACAGAGTTCTCCAATAAAAATTTGAGGCAAATCGGTCCAGGGATTCCTGAGTTATGATCGGAAAATCAAACAAACAGACAAACAACTTTTTATATATAGAAATATGTTTATATATATATTTATCCTAATCAGTCTAGAACATGTTCTATTGTTTATTAAGATAGGTTATTGCTGGATGTATATATTGAGAATTACAGCTTAAATGTATTTAAGCTCTTCTGCTTTAAAAGTCGTACAAATATTTATTTTAAACTTATTTTTTGTAAATATCTCTTATAATTATTACTTCAGAAAAATATATGATTTGATTATTTTGATAGATTTATTTTTTATTTTTGCAGGAATAACAATCTAAGAAAGATAAAATGCTGAGTAATGTGAGATTCGTCTGCATCATTGCTTTAAGCATTTCAATCATGTAAGTTTTTTAAAACTCTGTAAATGACGGATTTCTTGTTTTTACAAGTGAAATTTGTCACTTACAGTTACAAAATTAAAACCCTTCCAGATACAACCTTGGTCATATCGAAAATAAATTTTGGGCCCTATTTGACGTTTTTGAGTTGGACAGACAAAATTGAAATGTATTTTTAGATCTACAAATATTCAAGCCGTCCCAACCGATGTTTACTTCATGAATAAATATTCTGATTTGAGGTAATTCCATATTGATACAATGTCTCAGTAGAAAGATTTAGTAGGCTAGGAAGATATCAATTTCAAATTGTCGATTTTTTTTTTTTTCGGGGCTGAAACTAAAGTATTTTCAAAATTCGCGGGAGATATATTAGAATTTAACAATTATGATTTAATTTAAATAATTGGAGTTTGGTATAAAATGCGTAATATGAGGTGTGTGTTAAAAGTTAGCTGTGTGTGTTGAAAGTTTTGTGAATTTCTTTAGAGGTACCAGACGTCTCAACTCTCAGCCATGTAACATTTTTTAGGTGTAGTATGTTTATCACGACAAAAAAATCTCTGACCATTTAACGTCGATCAGTTTTATGTCCCGGAACTATATTTTGTAAGCATCCCTGTAATTTTATCCTCTTTCCTTAATTGAATGATTATTGTCCGTTTTGAGAAATCAACGAGATGGATATAGTGAACTTAAAAACCAAACAAAAATGCTGGGCTCTGACGATTAGAAGTTACTCTAAAAAATATCGCTTAACTTAATTAACACACTTTGTATCTTCGTCAATTTTAGGTGTCAACATGAGAGACCACATTTACGGTCTGACTGATCAATATGATACAATCGATCTTTAACAATTTTAAATCGATAGTTTTGAAAAACAAAGTACAATCGATTTTAATTTCTCTAAGTGATCAAATTTATTCGTATCATCGTTTGAAAATTTAAACAACATTTTTTATGAAAAAAGAATATCATATTTAGGACGGAGAGTTGCTATAGTTGTAAAGATCAAGAGTGTGTAGTTACTCAGGCAGATTTTAAATACTCTTCAAAGATGACTGTTTGCTTCAGGTTTGAATATAGAGTAATGTATTTTACCACCTTTCTACCAACATTACTGACATATGGTTCAACCAATAGCGTGATGTTAAGTTACTTAGCTGTCCCAATTGGGGTGAAAGGTTTCCCGTTTTCATCTCTTAAAGGACGATAAAATTCTGTACAAATGCTTTTTGGGGAAATTAAAAATGTTACTACACCACGGTTTCCAGTAATTTTAAGTAAATCTTAATGCTATTCTGTTCAGGTAATATACTGCTCCATTACTATGGTACAATTAGGTTTCATTGCCAAGAACGGATATCTTCAAATTTTCAAGAGCAACAAATGAGTTCGTTTTTACTTAACATGTACATTTTACATTTAAGAAATAACCCCACTTCATCTGTTGTATTTCGTATAATTTAACCCTGTTATTTTGATGTACTGCAGACAGTTTCCATTTGTTTACAAATACCCTCAAGCACTCTGGTCTGTCATAGCATCCATTGGAACTCTTAATGAAGATGAAACCTTTTTCAAAGTAAGTATTCATATATTGTTAATCCGGATAAATTCAAATATTTGAAAATAATATATCACTAAACTCTGGTTTATTTGAAATTTAACCATACTAACTTTGTGTAATGGCATGTAGAGAGGAGCAACTAAAGAGCAACCATTACTAAATAAATTATATTACTTGGCTGCGCCATCGTAACTATTTCAAATGTGAACCTTTTCTCTTTGTATACATTGTAAAACAAAAACCAAATAGTTTGCGGATTTTATTAAAACAAATCGTGAATTTTCAAAATTTTGTGAAAATCGAATGTTTGTTGAGGCAAATTTTTTAATTTTGATCATTCATCCCCGGGGTCCTGTGAGGTCCCACAAAAATGTTGGCCGGATCGGTAAGCCGTTTTGACGTTTATTGGATACAAACAAAGAGACAGACACACCATGACAAGAAAAGTATTCATATAGATAAAACCAGAGTTTTCAGCTTAAAAACTGGAGAAAATTATTAGAATAACATGATTTTGTCCAAAAAAAATTCATAATTCAAGGATTTCATTCTAACAGTTGCGCTAACTTTGTAACAGGATGGTATACAATTATGATATTTTAAACTTAGATCATTTTATCTAACATAATTTATAGTTTGACATATCAAAGGTTTTCAACATTGGGGTGCAAAGATATTTAATTCAAAAATATTTTAATTTGATTTTCAGGAAGGTATTGCGTATGGCGTTTGGAAGACAGGTCCCTGGCTTGGATTTAAATATGGGTAAACTTAACACGTGTTTCATCTTTCTTTTTAGACTTCAGAATATAATAAAGATTGCTCAATTGAAAAGGAATAATTGATGATTGGCGATTAATCAATTTAGAAAAGTTAGTTCAGATATATTTTTAATGGTAATAATTGGCCAACAGATTTTGAAAGCATTTTGAATTCATACTTTATATCAATTTACCATGGTATCCAGTAGATCTAGTGTAAATCTGATATACAATACTTGGTACTAATAAATCTATTATAATTGTAATTTGTAATATATACATTACCTGGTACTGGTAAATCTAGTGTATTGTAATATATATATATACTGGTACTGGTAAATCTAGTGTAATTGTAATATATTTATATACTGGTCCTAGTAGATCTGGTGTAATTGTTATATATATATACTGGTACTAGTATATCTAGTGTAATTGTAATATATTTATATACTGGTACTAGTAGATCTAGTGTAATTGTTATATATATATATATACTGGTGCTAGTAGATCTAGTGTAATTGTAATATATGTATACTGGTACTAGTAGATCTAGTGTAATTGTAATATATATATACTGGTACTAGTATATCTAGTGTAATTGTAATGTATATATACTGGTACTAGTAGATCTAGTGTAATTGTAATATATGTATACTGGTACTAGTAGATCTAGTGTAATTGTAATATATATATATATACTGGTACTAGTATATCTAGTGTAATTGTAATGTATATCTACTAGTACTAGTAGATCTAGTGATACTGGTACTAGTAGATCTAGTGTGATTGTAATATATATATATACTGGTACTAGTAGATCTAGTGTGATTGTAATATATACATCTAATGGTACCATATTTAGATCTAGTGTAATCGATATATATATCTACATTAATGAGTACCTATAAATCTAGTATGATTGTAATATATACATTACCTGGTACTGGTAGATATAGTGATATTGTAACTACACCTACTATTTGGACACAGCATATATTTTTTTTACAAAATACAGGCCAACTGAATCTTTGTGGCACAAATTATTTTGACTGACAAATTTGTAGAGATAATGAGGAATGGATTGGGCTTGGAACCAAAGTATATGAACTTCAGACCTGGCAACATACATGTTTTACTTTAAATATGGAAACAGGAAATATTCAGGTGGGATTAATACAAATACAAATACAAATACCTGACTAGATCTGGACACGTTCATCGTTCATTTCCCATATATTTTTTTTAAACTACCCGTTCTTCGATCTAGGCACTATCTGATTGCAAGTAGGTATGGGGATTTTTGATTTTTTTTTAACGTTTGTTTCGCAAACAATGAAAAAAAAATCTAAAAAGAAACGATCGCTTAGATAACAATCGTTTTTTAAAACCATTGTTTTTGATAGTGATGAAACTAAATTATGATAGTTTTTAAGAAGAAAGAAACGAAACGATTGTTCCGAGAAAATTTGGGTAGATAAAATTTGAACAAAAACGATCAATTTTGCCTTAATATTATAGTTTTGTATTTTCGTTTTTCGTTTTCAAACGCTTAAAACTTGCGCATCGTTAGTTTTAACTATTCGTTTAACTAAAAAAGAATGTTAGTTAGTTTTGATAGTTCCGATAGTCTTTGAAAGATTTTAATTTTTTAGCTTTTTGAAAATGGAAAGAAATCTTTCGATGTGAACTGGGATATTTTGGTAACATTCTGGAAAAATGTGAGTGAAACCTTCACAGTGGCCTCTCCAAGTTGTTGGTGGAGAGAAATAGAAGAACAGTTTATGTCAACATATGGAAAGGTTACTTACCCATCTATTTTACACTTAAAAGGACTGTAAGCGTAATTTTATTTGCCCCTAAATACAAAGATGGCAATGCCCGATTTACAATAGTATCTTTACAAGCTTAATTAAGTTTAACTTTTAAAAATATATGCTCAGAGCCCAAGATTTAAAATAATAAAATACGCTGAATCCAGAGCCCTCGATTTAAAAGCTTCGGCTAGGGTCGTAATTTCTTAAACCCAGCTTTAACACCTAACTCTGACGGCAACTTGTGGGACGTGATTTACAGCTTCGAGATCTTAGACTGAGGTTGTTAGGCCCAATTAAAATAAAACCAACCTTGGTTGGTTTTAGTGGAGAATAAGGCTCAATGTCTCATCAACACCTGGAATGCGTCAATTCCAAACACGAAAATGTGCCAAAATTAAACCTGTTTTGGAACTCTTGGTAAATTAGATGCAACTTAAACCTATAAGCCCCATGCAGCCGTAAATAAGGCCCAACGACAGCTTAGACCTGAGTCGTATTTTCTTGAATTTGAAAATTTTAATTTTCTTAAAATCACGGGCTTTAGCCAATTACAATTATAATGTACACATATACTGCAAACTAACCAAGAGGAGAAGGTAAAATTAAATTGACATTTCTATATGACTTTGTGATCTCGTTGCTCCTTTAGTATTGCAATGAATGTTTCCTGAAAATATTTTTCATGATTAAAAATCTGTCTATATATTACTTTCTAACATTCTAGTACTAAAATGAATATTAAGAATTATTTTGTCTGACTTATTTAACATTTTTTTCAAAGTATCCCGCACCATATCATTAAATTTTTGTTTGTGTGTGAAAATAAATCAAAAATCTTAATATTAATAATAAAATAACTCCCCAGAGTCCGTTTTCTCCATAGAAAGTGGTCGTGTATTTCACGTACTTTGGGGGACGATATGTTGGGCGCTAGATGTCTCATGCTAAATTCTTATCTGATAGATAGATATTTCTCCGTACATTTCACGACAAATATAGGAGACGTCAAGTTGTCGACCAACGTAGTTTATGGAAGGAACGGCCTCTGTACAAAATTTCGTTCAAAACTCTCTGATAACATCTAATTTTTCTAGGTTACAGACATGCAAGTGTTCAGTAAAATATTATCTGAGGATGAATTAAGAAATATAACAGGCAGTATAGCTTAATCAATTCTGTATAATAAAAATATTTTTCATAGATTTCTTATTTTTAAATGTCCATTTTCAAACGCTAAAAACTCCATCATTATAAAAGATATCTAAGTTTTCTAAAAAGCTAATGAAAATTATATTGGACCATTTGATAATCTGTTGTGAAGATCCTCAAAAAATAAAAAGAGAAATCTACAAATTCATGAAAAGCGTAACATACATTTTTGACTTGAACTCATTAAAATTTTACTACTGGGGCCGAAGTCAATCAGAGGAAACCTATAACAATTCCTGAGCTAAAGATGAATGTTGATAAATATGCATCCCAGATTCCAAGGATATCCTGCTTTATGTCGCTGAAAATTTTTATTGACAAAGTCAAAATTTGCTATTAAGAAGATGGTGGGCATTTCGAAAATCTTTAATTTGTTTTTATGTTGCATTTTTTCAATTAATTATCGAAAGTGTCAATCTCATCTTTCATTAGATCTTAGATCCCAAATATAGGGGTTAACCTCATGTGTACATATGTAGTATACATAATATATGTTCACTTATATAGGCTGTATAGTTTCAATGGAAGGGGACATTGTAAGCTGGAAATACTCGAATTGGAAATTGATTGGTGCTAAGAAAACTTCTTCAGTAGAGGTAAATTTGAAAATTTAAACAGATGCTTAGTAAAAATCATGCATGTCAATTTTAGATATTGGATTGGACAAATGATGTTTGTAAGTCTGCTAATTACAGCATTCATTTAATACCTATAAAGCGTTCAAACCAACCTTGGGGAGCACACACTTGTAGGTAATAGTTTTTTTTAACAAAACATGTATTCAGTACTAGCTGAAGGGCCCGGCGCGCGTTGCCCGTGGAAAAAAATAGAAAAAAATTTCAGCCTATGTCACCCCCAGGCTGCCCTTGAGTGTCCACAAAAAATGTTAGCCCATTCGGTCTAGCCATTTGGCCGTCCATACGGATCATATATATATATGAATGTCGTGTTTTATTAGGAGCACATACAAAACGTATCATCACTAAACATATCAAAACAAACATATTAAAACCACATTATAGCACACAAAACATATCAACAACAAACATATCAACAACAAAACAAATCAACAACAAAACATATCAACAACAAACATATCAACAACAAAACGTATCAACAACAAAACATATCAACAACAAAACATATCAACAGCAAAACATATCAACAACACAACATATCAACAACAAAACATATCAACAACAAAACATATCAACAACAAAACATATCAACAACAAAACATATCAATAACAAAACATATCAACAACAAAAAATATCAACAACAAAACATATCAACAACAAAACATATCAACAACAAAACATATCAACAACAAAACATATCAACAACAAAACATATCAACAACAAAACAAATCAACAACAAAACATATCAACAACAAACATATCAAAAACAAAACATATCAACAACAAAACATATCAACAACAAAACATATCAAAAACAAAACTAATTAATATATATCAATCTGTATACAAAACATATCAAAAACAAGACTTATTAATATATATCAATTTGTATACAAAACATATCAAAAACAAGACTTATTAATATATATCAATTTGTATACAAAACATATCAAAAACAAGACTTATTAATATATATCAATTTGTATACAAAACATATCAATAACAAGATTTATTAATATATATCAATTTGTATACAAAACATATCNTTATCTTTGGAATCTAATGTCGTAAACCTTTTACATTTCAAACTATGACTTCTGTTAGATCAAATAATATAAGTTTGAAATATTAAAGGTTTACGACATAGGGTTCAAAAGATATAGGGATTAGAAAATCAGAATTTGTGGCAAGGACTCAATTCCTTTCCATATCATTCTTATAAATGTTCGACTTCGTGAATAGAAAATCCGGAATTTCAAAAAAAAACTTTTCAAAACAGTTTCATCAGGAGTGCGAAGGAAGCATGGAAGTATCTTTACTTTACTCCTAATTTTTGCAGAGTTTATTTTGTTAAGAAGGGTCTTTTGCAGGTTCATAAGTGAAGAAAAAATTAGTTTTTGATAAGCTTTTCTTTTAGTGTATTTTGTCTCTGATATGTTTTGTATTCAAATATGTTTTGTTTATATAAGGTTTGTTTTGAAGTTTTGTGTGTTGATTGAAATGTTATGCGCTGATATGTTTTGATTTGATATGTTTTGTTTTGATATGTTTCGTTGGGATATGTTTAGTGATGATATGTTTTGTATGTTCTCCTTTTATTATATAGATGTACTGTAATTTCTATTCTATAATTGAATTTATAAAATAATACTAATTAATAATATCTTGATATCTTTTACAGCAAGTTATCTGGTCGTCAGCTGACCTATGATACAAAGGAAGATTTTGATGATATTGTTAAGTATCTTTCATCCTCAAGATTTCAGAATTCTAGCTGTTCCGCTCAAGATAAAAATGGTTACAATACTGGGTAAAATTATTAAATTTACAGTATTAAACATATAAAAAAATAGGGTTTGAAGTCATTATCAATTTGAAATTTAGTTGCGAATGATTATAAAGTGATCATTTTTTCAGGGTTTGGTTTGGAACTAATGATGAAGATGAAGAGGGAGTATGGAGACATTTTCATAACAAGAAACAAGTAAAGTTGTAATTTCATTTTTACAAGTTTTAGAAGATAAAACTTTAACCTTTTCAGATAACTTATCTAAACTGGTTGCCCGGGAGACCCTATCTAGGTTCCCATGAATATAATTGCATTAGACTGCATGCTTCCTATACTGCCACCAACTCAACCTATTCTCAAGTTATTGATGCAAGGATACTGGATTCAGAGTGTAATGGATATGACATGTGCACTGCGTGCATTGTGGATTATCCTGTTAGGTTTTTATTTATAAACATATTTTTAGAAAACTTAAAAGGGGCTGGCGTTTAAAAATAACACCCCCACTTCAAAACACCTAATGTGTCAGTCAAACCACTTTAAATCATAACACCTAAAGTGTCAAAGGTATAAAACACCTAAATTTCATTTTATAAAAAAAAACTTTTCATTTTTGGAAAAGAAACATCACGGAAATAAGAGAGTGTACCATGAGAATGTCGAAGCAAAGATGTGAATCATTGCCACAGCCATTATAACTCTTAATGTGGAAAATACTTAATTAAAATATTCATGTTGAGATAAAAAACAATCCCAGTAATATATTATGTTATTCTGCAGATTGAAGTAAATAGAATAAAATCTAATCATATACAGCTAATCAACAGTTTGATGCTTTTCTAAATGTGCAACTTTTCGGAAAAAATTGATTTTTTTTCACCCTGAAATTAGATTTAAATAATGGTTTCAAATTGTTTCAATTAAGTTTTAAAAATGTTTGCGTTTTTACCTTTAAATGGAATTTAGTTGTCTTGTACATTTGGGGGGTTTTAAAAAGTAAGGTGTTTAGAAAATTAGACATTACGTTTGTAGATATTCTGTACCCGCCCTGTCTTTCAGTGTGAAACTGCCAGTATTAAAACTTTTTTTGTAATTATTTGGGCCTCATAGGCCAGACTTAAACAAAATTATTTTTCAACTGTAGTTCTTCATCAAACCCTTTCAATAAATGTAAACACTGCTTAAAGGGACTGTACGCGTAATTAATCAAGTAAATCTCCATGTAAAGAAGGCAATTTCCAATTTAACCCATAAATGTGTTGAGTTCGTGGTGCACGTTGCGCAAATTACACTTAAAATTACGCTTAAAGTCCCTTTAAAAATGTTTGAATTGAAAATTATTTAGACCGCTGATAAAATTAAAATTGTCTTTTTTTTTGTAGAAAACTGTTTGTCCGAGGATTGTGCCAAGCGTCTATATTTGACAGAGAATATTTTTACAATATTGATTTGGATGGGTCTATCTTATACATGGGGACATCATCTTCTATTATCATATTTGATAAGGTGTGGGTATTAAAATGTTTGATTTTATAAAACTCTAACCTACAGTATGATTTTTAGGAAATGTAACAAAGTAAAGGTATAATAATCTGTTTAGAAATCATTAGAAGTCTTTAAAAATTGAATTAGTTTATTATTAGATCGGGACATTTTGATTACTGCAATGAATTTTGAACTTTATTTTAAATGTACCTAGTTAAGGGTCTCATCAAAACCGTAGAAAACCACCAAAACTCTTAACTATGGTACAGTAATATTTTGAAAACAATTCAATGTGGAGCAAGGAGAATTGAATAGAAGGAGGGGGCGATAGGGTTTCCGCACACTTTGCTGTGACGTTTTTGGGCTGCTGAAGAACTAGTTTTTGCGTAACAACAATAATAAAGATTGTAAACAATAACACAAATGATAAACAAACATCTGACATTTCTGGCGTTAGATAAAGATTCACCGTATACTAACTCATGTTTGTTTACATTAGATCGGCTGCCATTGTTATTGTTGTTACGCAAAAACTAGTTCTTCAGCAGTCCAAAAACGTCACAGAAAAGTGTACGGAAACCCTATTGCCCCCTCCTTCTATTTAATTCTCCTTGATGTGGAGAAAGTAAGAAAAAAGATCAGAAAAAAATCACCGCTGTTTCGGACAACATGAAAATTATTGTCTTTTTGAAAATGGTTTTGTTCATCCAGAATAATAAACACATAAAATTCCAAAAATCTAAATTTTGTAGATTCAAAATATAATCACGTCAAACTAAAGTAAAATGCAAGTAAGATTGACAACTTATATGTTTTGATCATAACTTCTGTTATTGAAGAGCTATTGAAAAGAACAAAAAAATTTTGAATTTATAATATGTAACCGAATAAAGTAGCTTTTCTTACACTTGTGCGTAAAATCAGAACTAGAGGAGCAATGGAGTCACAAAGCTGTGACAGTAATGTCAATTGAAATTGACCTTCTCCTCCTGGATAGTTTGCAGTGTAATAGTCCGGATATAATATATATATTTTGCACAGCATGTTTTTACTTTGTTACATTTATTAAAAATGACCATAATATTTCCAGAAAAATCTTGAATGGCTTTGGTATGACAGGAAAGTAAATTCTAGTGTTGCTTTTTCAACATCTAATGAAGACTCACTTCTTCTGGGTGTAAATAAATTTGAGTTTAGGTATAAATTAAACCATGAAGAACTTTCAAGATTCTATAAAATTTATGAATTAAATTTTCTTGTTACAAATATAATGAAATTCAATTTTTGTACTATCTAAAGTTAAAAAACTGATCACATGAAAATTAATCAAATAAACAAACTGTATAAATATAAAAGATTGTTATAATTCAGTGGAGTGAATTCAGATCCATGTAAGAAGGTTGGAGAATCTACGCTAAAAATAATCAAGTTTACTACTTGCTCCCAGAACCAGTTCACTTGTGATGATGGACAATGTATTGATATGGATGAAAGGTGGCGTTGAGTAAAAATTAATTTTTTTTTATTTCCAACCCCGAGTTTTTCTATCAGCACGAGTGATAATCTTTTTTGCCAGTATGGATACTCTTCAATTTTTTAGCCTTAGAATTTTTATCATTTTATCTTGGTCTCACTCTTTTTTATTTCATTGTTCTGAATTTCGCTTGTTTTATTTTGCCGTAATAACATTTAATTCTAGGAAAAAAGGAATTGAGTCTTTGCCACAAACTCTGATTTCCTAACTTCTATATCTTTGCAACCGAATGTTGTAGACCTTTGATATTTCAAACTAGTAATTCTGCTAGAGTTTATAATCTAAGTTTGAAATATTTAAGATCTACACCATCAGGTTCGATAGATATTGGGATTGGAAAATTTGAGTTTGTTTCAAAGACTCAAATCCTTTACACATAAAATATACAACCTTTTTAATCAGAAAACTATTTTTTCATAGTTTTTTATTATTTGATAATTGTTTCAATGCAAATTTTCTAAAACTTAAGACGAAAACTTTAAATTAAAATAAGAATGAATTGTTGTTCATAAAAATAACTCACGTGGATGGAAAAACAGGAAAGGAATTAATTTAGTTAAATTATAAAATAAATTGCACCACAAAAAATAATAAATGCTTGCTTATTTAACTCATTTGCGATCTCTCAATAAAGAAATTGAGTTTTTGTCACAAACTCTGATTTTCTTATCCCTATATCTTTGCATTTGATTGTCGGAGACCTCAGATATTTCAAACAATAAATCATTTTAGATCAAATATCAAAGGTTTACACCATCAGGTTGAAAAGATATGGCGATTGTAAAATCATAATTTGTAGTAAAAACTCAGTTCCTTTGCCACATAAGAAAAATCTATCATATGCAAGCATGCATTATTGCCACAAACTCTATTTTGCTGATCCCTACTTCTTTGACACCTGATATTGTAGACCTTTGATATTGCAAACTAAGAAAATTTGATGAAACCGATTTCACAGTTAGAAATATCTAAGGTCTACGACATTGAGTTGCAAAGAAAGTGGCAAAGACCCAATTACTCTGATGTTAAATTGAATGCCTTCGAAAGTTTAGATGTGACCAAACTACCAACTGTTTGGATGAGTCAGATGAAGACGGATGCCAGATCATTTTCCAGAAAGAAAATTACAAAAGAATAATTGTACCCTTCAGGACCTAATTTAGTTACATATTATTCAATTACTAATATAATTTCAGTAAACGCTTTTGTATTGATTTTCTGAGGTTTTAAAAAAAACCTTTTTTATGCTTGAATAAAACCCCTGGTTCCTGACTTCTGGGGTATTTAATGATAATAAAAGGGCCTTTGATTAAAATCTGAGGATCTCCAATGAAAATGAGCAAAAAGATGGCAGAGAGAACATTCGATAAGAAAACATTCTTTCATGATTGACCTGCAATTCATGCTGATTACATCTTTTTTAATGGTAGGGGTAGAATACTTCTTTATTGTTAAACAAGGATAACATAAATTAAATTAAACTCTTAAAAGTTATGATGTGAAAGCTAAGGAACCAATTCCTGTTAATGTGAATATCTCCCTAATTCTTAAGGATGTTCTGAAGATTGAAGAAATTCATCATCAATTTGAATTAAAGGAACAAATATTGTAATATTGTTTAACATGAATATTTATGTAATTTCATAAATAAAAGCTCTTTATAATAATTTTGCGGGTGTTTAATCATGAATATGACAATAATTGTAAACTAGTTCCTAATGATAATGCAATGGCATGACTACCGATTAAGATACTACAACTTGAAATCTACCAAATCCTCCAATGCATTGTCAAAGGATGAAATCCAAAAAATTTGGATTCCTTTGATTGTATTCATAAACACAGATAGCAATGAAGCTACAAAGTAAGCTTTAGTTTCATCTTAAAGGGAGTGTTAACCAACATTTTTTGCCGTGATGTCATTTTTTAAAAAGTTTTTTTTTCTGATTTTCGTCAAATATTATTCAGTTTGGGTAAAGACACTGAGGTTACAGTGTCCAGGGAAGGAAATTTTACAAGAAGTGCAGATAACGTTGCTGAAGAAATTAACATATTCAAAGGTAAACTGCTCTTTTTACCGGGAAAAAAGTTCTGAATTTTTTTTCGGAAATAAAGATCTAAATCTTAACGCTATGTAACGCTATGTAAAACAGTTTTGTGGTAAAAAAAAATCTCTGGAAATAAAGTCATTCCATTTTGAGAGTTTTTTTATGATTTTTTCCCCATGGTTCCAATATGATTTTATACAATAAAAAGTCCTTTTACAGTGGAAACTGCATGGAAACAAAAGATGTTTACAACCATGGAAAAAAAGGGGCTTGATATTAAAAACACCCCTGACTATGTTCAATATGCAGATGCACAGAAGAAAAGTCCGTTTTATGAAAACGTCTAAGACTTGACCTTATTTTCCCAAGACAAAGGATTTTTTTAGAACTTTAATTTCTGTGATCTTATTTCATGAGACTTTACTGGCAGTCCCCATATTACTTTAGGGAAAAAAAATCCAAGGAATCTAAAACTCAGAACTTTATTTCCAATGACATTTGTCCTAAGACTTAAGAAAATTGGGACTTTTTTACCAAAAATTTTATTTCCAAGTTTTTTTTCCCAAAAAACTTTTTTGCTGTGACTTTCGATCATAGATTCCTCTTTTAAAGAGGCTGTAAACGTAATTTTAAGTTTTCCTCCATTTTTAAAGTGGCATGTCCGATTTACAACTGTCAGTGGGGCAACTAGAAGGGGGGGGCGAACCGAGTTTCGCCCCCCCCCAGCATATTTCGTTGTAGATTTTAATAAGTGACTTTATATACATAGTAAATATGACTAAACCAGGGAATAACAGACACTAAGAAATACATGAAAAGACACTAGAAGAACAGAAATTTTTTGCCGCTTCGCGCACATGTTAAATTAATTTACTCAAGTCGTTCATTTGAAAGCTGTTGGAAGTATATTTTTTAAACACAAGAACAAGTCATGGATGTTATATGAATTTGGTAAATATTATTGAGCACAGAGCCAACCACATGTTCAATTAATTTACTCATGTCGTTCATTTTAAAGCTGTCGGAACTATATCTTTTTAAACACAGGACCAAACCATGGATATTCAAAGAATTTGGTATACATTATTGAGCACAGAGCTAACCCTTAATTTAACAATAAAAAATGCGTTTTTTACTTTAAGTCCTAAAAACCACGTTTATTCTGAAAATTTGTTCGTATCCCCCCTCCCCCCATCCCAGCCCCTTAAATTTCAAATTTTGCCCCCCTCCTCCCTCACAAAAGTGCTAGTTGCACCACTGACAACTGTTTCCTTTCAAACCTTTGTTTTATCAAGGATTACATAGATATTCTTATACAATGTGTTCCAATAAACATGGGATTTCAGATTGTCAGAGGCCGAATTTAAAGAATTTGAGCCGCGGCTTAAATATGGTTGGTTCCACTTCAAATTGTACCAAATGTTTCAAGATTTAAGCCGGCGCTTCATTTATACCGGGTTTTGGCGGATTTAAGCCACGGCTCAAATTCTTTAAATTCGGCCTCAGATCTTCTTACTCTTTACATGATATATACTCTGGAGTCTGGAACTCAATGTTTAGCTATAAGTATAAGGATTTATGTCATCCTTGCTGGGAGAAAGCTTTGAAGTGAAAAGACCGTTGTAAATCTGACATATCAGTTTACAAAGTTTATCTCTACTTGTATTGGTTCATTGAATTTGTCATATATCTTTTGATTTATTTTAAGGAAATGAAAATATTCTTGAGTTTCAAGAGATTTATACAAAAACCTTTAAGTGTGAATATGAGCTGCAGATGTATCCTTTCGACACACAGGTATCTGCAGTACATGATAAAATTCGTTATTTATAGTCTTTTACAAAAACTATCCGAAATACATGTTCTAATAAGAATTATATATACTTTGGAGAAAAAAAAACTCAGCGGGAGCGGTTGAACCAGCGGTTGGGATCTAGCCTAGACTCTACGCAGTTCAGAATAAGAAATGCAACTTTTTTTTCTCAAATTTGAAATTCGTTCAATCAATAAATTCGTACTTTTTGCATTCATATTTTTATTCACTTTTTTAGTAGTTAAACACAATTTTTTGCTTTCGGTAATTATTAGTTTCTTTTTAGAAATGCGAAGTTGTAATGATGGTTAGAGATTTAGAAAAGAGAGTTTTGATAATAACTCCAGATAGAATAGTAATGGAAGGAAAAACTGTTCTTACACAGTACATTATTCTTTCATGGACATTGGGCTATAGCAATCAAAGTAAGTAATAACAAATACTAATTGATTTTTACATGTCATGTCCTTGTAAAATAACTGAATATCTTAATTTAAAAACATTCTAAAGATATCAATCAATAAATCTGTTTTGGGCAATGTTAAAAAAGCCCCCACCTTTGTCTCTAGAAAAGGCTTAATTACCAATGAAATTAATATCAATATGTCTCTAGTCAAAAAATTATAATTGATTTTATCTGGCTTCAATAAAGGAACTGAGTTTTTGCCACAAACTAAAAAAGTTTAATCCCTATATTTATCCTATCTAAAGATGTTAACCTTTGATATTTCAAACTATGATTATTTGGTCTAACATAATTCATAGTTTGAAATATTAAAGGTATACAGCATCCGGTTCCAAAGATATAGTGATTAGAAAAAACTCAATTCCTTTGTCTGAATTAAAGGAACTATAAACACTTGCCTACTTACCTCAAATTCTGATTTTTGATTCTTATATTTTTAAACTGATGGTATGGTACCTAATGGTATTTCAAACTTTGACTTTAGGAGTCATCTGACCGTCGCGTTGTATGCGGCTAACTAACTCACATAATTTCCAAACCCCTAGGGTATAAAGATTTCAAAGCTGCAACGTAATTGTTTCTCTTTGCAAAATCCTCATGTATTAATTTCGTGACAGCCATGTTTATATTTGAGTTAACTGCAGTGTTTGTAAATTTGATTTTATTTTTCTAGCCTCACCAACGGATGGAATTCGTCTTGTGATTTTACTGAAGAGAAGAATAATCAATGAAATACTGACAACCTATCTTCCTTCTTTCCTCCTTATTGTTATTGTTTACACAACAAACTTCTTCAAACCCTTCTTCTTTGAAGCTGTAGTTACGGTCAACCTGACAGCTCTGCTAGTACTCACAACACTTTTTATCAGTGTCTCAGGTATTTTGTATACACTATAGTACAGTTTCTTAAGAAAATATCGTTGAACAAAACTTCAGAGTTTCCTTCTTGATTGCGTTGATTTTCATTTAAGAAATTCGAAAAAAAATGTAAAGAAAACAAATAAAATAATATTTTTAACACAAATATTAGCTTCCGATACTGGGTTTCATTACGATACTCTGTCTTATAAGTTTCGGGCTCAATGTTATACAATATACATGTGTCCATAGAGCTTTTTGTTAATTGTCAATCTAAGACAGGATATCAGTAGGAATGGATAATTTTCACGTTTCTGAATTCTAAAAAACAAACTGATTTTTAAAATTTGAAAAAATAAATTAGTCTTTTTTGAACTTAAACCTAAACATTATATTTTAAAAACTTTTCAGGAGCCCTTCCACCTACAGCCTATGTGAAAATGATTGATATTTGGCTCATTTTTGCACAAATGATTCCTTTCTTTGAGGTGACATTCCATATTTAATGTTCAATTTCCCCTTTCACTTTTGTCGCTTAAGATGGGTATCGCTTTCGGTAACAATTTTAAAATGCGAAGAAATGTTTTTAAGTCATTATGTCGACGAGCGTTTTTAAATAGTTTGTTAATGGATAATTTATAAATCGTTCTATACCTAATTTACAGGTTTCTGGTGTAAAAAGGTAAAAAAAGTTTAACATTTTCTTAGTTTGATCATGATCATTATCATGATGATGATTATGATCATGGGGATGATGATGATTATGATCACGGGGATGATGATGATGGTGATGATCAATCAATATTGATGGTGATGGTGATGATGATGATGATGATGATCATGCTGATGAGGCTCATGATGATGATGATTATGATGATGATGATGATGATGATGATGATGATGATGATGATGATGATGATTATGATCATGATGATCATGATCATGATGATGATGATGATGATGAGTATGATCATGATGATTATGATCATGGTGATGATGATGATGATCATCATCATGATCATGATGATAATGATCATAATGATAATGATCATGATGATAATGATCATAATGATAATGATCATAATAATAATGATCATGATAATTATGATCATGAGTATGATGATGATGATGGTGATTTTGATGATGATTATGATGATGATCATAAACAAGATCATGATGATTATGATGATTATGATTATCATGCTGAACATAATGATCATGATGATATAGATGATAATGATAATCAAGATGATGATCATGATGCACTTAACTATTCTTTTACAGGTACTGCTGCATACCTATATGGACAGTAAACGGCAAGAAAATGAAATAAACCACCATGGAACAAGTCGCCAAATTAAACCTAAATCACCAAAGAAGGTCATTTACCAAAATCACTCAACAATTTTCAAGACGACATTATTCAATCTTTTTAATTCATTGTATTCTTTAATTTGAAATACACCCTCAAACGTAAGTGTATGCATAGTTAAAAAAGTGGAGTATTTCTTGCATTTTTAAATAGTTTAAAAATCCCTTTAAAAGATTCTGATTGAAAGAATTATTTGATTAGACTAACCTGATGTATGATGGTAGCCTAGTAGCAAGAAATGAAGAGGAAGAGTTGAATGCCCGAAGAAAGTTCTATGATTTATTACATGAAGATGAATTTTATATTAGGCTTGGAGATATTGCAGGTAGGATATAAAGAATAACATAAATTTCAGGTAGTGTACAATTTTTATAGTTTTATTTAGCCAGGACCTCTCTAACCATTTCTGGTTGTTTCGAATAAGAGTAGTAGATAGATAGATATATATTTATCATTAAAGTACATAATTTTACTTAGATATATTCTTTAAACTAACACTTTAATGAATCATAATACTCATGATCATGATTATGATCATCATCATAATCATAAAACTCGTAAGTACTTCTTAAAGGACTGTCACGCCATGAAATTTCAAGTAAGCATCTATTTAAAAAGAGAATGATGCCTGATTCACAACGGTACCCTACAATATAAATGTAGGGTCACTTAAAACTGCCTCTGCAGTCCCAAACAGATTTAAAATTATGTGTTTCATTTTTCCGTTATTAAAATGTTAGACATAATGCATATTTACTGTTTACATACACATTTAGTTTAGAAATTAAAATATTATTTATTATTTTTATAATTTAGTTTTTTGTTTAGCTAAGATCATTTTGCCAGTGATCATTTTCCTATTCTCTCTGGCGTACTGGACATATGGACTGTTCTATTATTTTGTAGGTGGAAATTATATCTAGAATTTATTGAAATAAAATATATGTTTGAAATAATTTTAAGGGTGTTATAGTAACTAGAGCTGTAAAAACGAGTTAAACCTAATTTCTCTTCTCTTATAAGTTTTCAAAAGCTCTGAGAACCTTAATTAAAGTTTGTGGCTCAGCTCTGATGGAAAATATTTTTTTAATAAGACATATTTAATTCTTTTTGTTAAATAATTGTAAACAAATGTTTTTTGTGAGCATGAATTAGTTTTTCTTCTCGATGTGCAGAGTACAGGGTTTTCATGAAAATGTTATTTTTATTTCGTTAAGAGATAGATAGAAATCCACCAAGAAAAGATATAAAATCTTTGTAATACTTCTTCAAAACTATAATTTTGGGAAACTTAAAAAAAATTTCGTAAGCTTTAACTTAAATTTCCGGAATTTTCCTATAACTTTCTACACAAAACTGATTTATCAATAAAGTAAGAAATATTATTATTTTATATTTGAAAAATACATAAAATTCAGTATACATACAATATGCATGTTTTAACCTATTAGCATAAGTGACGTATAGTAATGCAAGTGATGAAATAATCAAATGAATTAAAACAAAAAGTTGGAATTTTTTCTTCTGTTTCGGTCATGAAAATATTGTGTTTTATTAGTTTTCGATTAAAGAATAGAGGAAACCTTTTATAATGACGTTTTTTAGTGGGCTTATCTTTATTGTTATTCGCAACTTCCTAGATGTTGAGTTCAATGCGGAAAGAAAGGACAGAAAGGATATAAAGGACAGATAGGATAGAACGGACAGAAAGGATAGAACGGACAGAAAGAATAGAAAGGAGAAGGACAGAAAGGACAAAAAGAATAGAAAGGATAGAGAGAACAGAAAGGATAGAAAGGATAGAAAGAATAGAAAGGATAGAAAGGATAGAAAAGACAAATCAAGGATAGAAAAATATAACGGATAGAAAAAATATAACGGATAGAAAGAATATAACGGATAGAAAGGTCAGAAAGAATAGAAAAGATAAAAAGGCTAATAAAAATACAAAGGATAGAAAAGAAACAAAGGATAAAAAATAGACAGGATACAGAGGATGGAAAAGAAAGAAAAGTTAGACTAAATAGAAAGGATAGAAAAGATAGAAAGGATAGAAAAAATACAAAGGATAGAAAGGACAGAAAGGATAACAAAATAGTAAGGATAGAGAGGATAGAAAAGATAGGAAGGATAGAAAGGATAGAAAGGATAGAAAATACATAAAGGATAGATTGGACAGAACTCTTCTCTGCTTGTTGAACCGGATAATTAAAAGATTGAAAAAAACAGATTAGAGGAGTTCATAGACAAATAGAAAGACGAGCGACTGATAGATAGATAGATAGATAGATAGATAGATAGATAGATTAATGGATAGATGGATCGATAGATATATAGATAGATAAACAGATAGCTAGATATATGCATAGAAAGATAGAATGGATAGCTATTAGCTAGACAGATAGATGGGTCGATAGATAAACAGAAAGATAGATACATAGATAAATAGATAATTAGACAGATATATTATAGATAGATAGATTTATAGTCAGACAGATAGATGAATATATAGATAATTAGACAGATAGAAGGTGATTTCCCGCGTGGGAAAAAGTTAGAATCTAGGTGGTTTCCCGCAGTATGCGCTCCCCTTCAAACCTGTGAACAATTCAACTTAACGCGCGTATAGATATAAAGAACCGCGCACCACGGGAGTGAAGTCTTCTTTCATTGTGTGTAATTCATTCATGGGAAACCAGATGTTTGAATGTAATGTAATATTTTCATACATATTCCCATATATATTTCTTCCTTTATGTATACTCCTTTCCATATACTTCTTTCCTTATCCTTACATACACACTTTTTCCCATTATTTCTTATCTCATACAAACTTCCCATATACTTCTCATCCGTAGCACTACTTCTCATATACTTTTTATCATCCTTACATACTCCTTCCCTACACTTCGTATCTTTTTATTCTTTCCCATATACGTATTATCCTGATATTTACTTCCCATAAACTTTTTATCCCCTTTACTTTTTATTCCATATACATTTCCCACGATATTCTTACCATGATATATAATTCTTACCTTGTACACGTGCACTACTTCCCATATACTTTGTATCCTTATATACACTTAACATATACTTTTTCTTTATATACATTTCCCACATACTTCTTTATCCATAAATACAATTCCCATATACGTTTTTCTTTATATACACTTTCCATATACTTTCTTCTTTACATACACTTCCCATATACTTTCTTCTGTATATACACTTCCCATATACTTTTTATCCTGATAAACACTTCCCATATACTTCTTATCCTTATACACTTCTTCCCATATATACTTCTTGACTGTAGCACTCCTACCCATTTACTTTTTTATTCTTATATATTCCTTTCCATTTACTTCTTGTCCTTATACTCCCTATCATATACTTTTTATCCTTATTTACTCCAATCCATTTTCTTCTTATCCATTCCTTCCCATATACTTGTATCCATATATGTCCATGTATCCATATCCTTTCCCTCTAATGAGTATTTAAAAATAAAATTTCTTCCCCCTAAATAGTATATTTTGTAAAGCCGGGGTAATGTAAAATTTTAAAGTTAAAAAATATCTCTAGGTGGCTGGTCGGTGTTATATTTAAAACATCAGCCAACCATGAAGGTACATAATTTCACAAACTTTTTAAAATTTCATTTTCATATAATAAAATTTAGACGTTCATGATAGGATTAAAGGGCAATTTTAAATTAGGCTGTGCAACTGCGCGGTTTCAATCAAAGGGTTTGTATAAAAAATGTTACTATTTATTTTCTATTCTTCGTTCGAAAAAATGTTGTGTCTAATTGAGTTAAGATTAATGTTTTCTAGGTGGCATTTTGGAATTTAGAAAGTTAAAATATGTTCAATAAAGAATTATAATTTAATTACTTAATTACACAATAAAATCTCAAGAATTAAATTCTAAACAACGTGAACAATAGAAATATTGAATTAGATTTTACTTTTGTTTACAGAGCCAGCTTCTGGTACCCTACAAAACATTAAAAAAGGGAGAAATACCTGTTTTTAAAATTGGGGAACCAAAATATTTAGAATATACATATTACGGGACTGTTACGAAAGAGAACTTCTAAAAATTCGATTTCACTAAAAATAAAGACGCAGTTGAAGTCACACCCATTGCGTGACACTTTTAGAGAACATATGAATGATTATAATCTAAATTTAGGACTTTACAAAAGTGGCCTCGCTGGCCCCCTCTCCCCTACCGAAAAATCGGAATCAATATATTTTATATCATATTTTTGAAAATCCTTCTAATTTTTTTTCTAATCAAATAATTTAATTTAAAATTTAAACTTGCAATGTTCTGAATATATTTTATTTCACTTTTAAAAGTATTTTATAATAAAAATTAATTGCTTATGAAGGGGGGGGGGGGCTATCCATAAAACTAATTCTAAAGTTGATATGCTACCCGCGCATTTTTCGGAGTTAATTTTCTTTCTTAGATATCTTTAGCAAATTTAAACATTTTTTGCACATTACAAATGTTTAACGTTATTTTTTCAAAACTGCCCTATAAGAATGGGAAACGACCGAGGAAGTCTAAAATTGACTTACAAGACACGGGATTGAGTCCTGACTGGGCCTTCACAAGCTGTCAAGTCGGAGTGTACAAAGGGTCCCCCCCCCGAAATTGCCCCCTCTAAAAAATNCCCAAATCTGTTTGGTTTTAAAACTTTAAATGTGATATTTAACTGAATATTAATTAATAAATACAATTAATGAATGACTGAGTTACATGTTTACAGCTCTTATCAAAAACCTTCTTGTATGTATTTTCTAAGTTAAACATGTATCAACTGTTGCAAAATTCTGCAGGGTCTTGTCATTAAATGCAAAATTCTGGTGGGGTTATTTTTGCCTAATAAAGATGGAGGGGGCCTTGTGATTTTGTTTTTCGAGTTGTTATTGGGGAATGTAAAACAAGTTTATATTTTTTTTGGCCTTTAACATTAATTTAGTAAAGGAATTGGAGGGAGGTTATTTTTCTTTCTTTCTTATACATCCTAGAGATTTGCTACTTTTTATTTTGTGTTTACAGTTTTTTTTTGAGTTTTGAGTTTTGTTTCTTCGAATCCCCCCCCCCTTCTTACATTTGTCTATTTTTTACAAGTTACGCAATTTTGTACCTTTATAAGAGATACTAATCACATTATTGTTATATGTTATTTTGAACATTTAAAGTAAAGTTTATTATAAGTTGAGTAAACTATTATCCTTGAATTTGGTTTGTTCAATTATTTTCTGTAGGATTTACCAGTAATGAGAAGTTTTAAAACCAACTGAATAATTTCTACGGTTAATTATGCCTACATTACATAATATGCCTTGAACTTAAGTAACAGAATAATGACAAATGAGATTAACAGTTCTTTGTACTTATCTTAGAAAAAAGATGGAATTGATAACTCTTACGCAAAAATCGATGAAAATTTGGCTAACTAGTTCTTATCATTGAAGCTATAAAACTAGTGCTTTATGGTTCAGTTCCAAAAAGATCTCTGGGGCTACAAAAGAAAGATAAGTGAGTAAGTGACGAGAAGCCAAATGCGTTTAGACACTTGTAAGTCAACCCAGTCTTGAAAATTCTATAGCTTTCCATGAATATGTATAATATTTCCTACGTTTCTGATCCCGCATATATAATAAACGTTACTTTTTTCACAACCTCCATATCCGATAGTAATAAAAATCTAATAAAGATATTTCAGAAAAACTCGAATACAATGCCTGCAAGACATGCAAAGTGACATTATCTACAATTCCTGGAATCTGCGCCAAATAATATAATTGCTGCATTCACGCGTTCAACAACCTTTATGTTAAACGAGTGAAGAAAACTTGGAGATTTCAATTTAACTATTGAACGGTAACTATATGGTGGGAATCATAAACTAGGGGGGGGGGGATGACGACTGTTAGAATCAAGTTATGTTTTTTAATAGTTCTATAAATATTAAACACAATAATTGTGTAGTGTACTCAGACACATTTCACTCAACAAGTTGTTTTCAATCGACATGTATATAACTATGGTTTCTCACTACAAAATAGACATAAGATTACTTGAATGTCGTCTTCATATTCCTCAGTTTTACGCATCCATCATTTATAAATCATTATACACTGTGAAAATAAATATAAATATTTCTTAATTTTATATATATAAAATATGCATTTTTTATCCACATTATGATTTTATATACTTTCTTCAGCTCTGAAAATGTTCAGGGTATAACTGAGGATTAAAAAACAAAAAACATTTAATTTACATAAATAAATGTCATCATACGAAATAAACAAAAAAGAAATAGAACAATGAAAGGATATTTTGTAATGTTGATTTTGTAATAAAGATATGAAAATTTTATTAACAACCCCATTGAATAGATTATCAAAACAGATAATCTTGATTTTAAACATGATCATGCTTATTAAGCAACAGAGTTTAGATACTCTACATACCCCTGGCTCTTATACATTCGTAAATTGGTATAGCTTGTTGTTGCCGGTTAAAGAAAACTTTGAATAAAAATACGGTTCTTAAAATGGAAATATTTCTAATGAATTGCTCGCAAAGAGGAAACTCAAAATTAAAATTGACTTAAAGATTTAAATATATGCACTTATATGTTTATATTCATATTGGGAAAATCCACATGTCCCAATAAACACGGGGAAACAAAGACGACTTTAAGATTAAGACTTTATTAAGTGATTACAGTTTGACGAATAACAAAGATTCTTTCAAAATATGTTTTCTTCATGAACTTTCTAAATTTGGTTCTAATTACAATGTAAAAAACTTTGGGTCAGAATTTTAAAAAATTAGGAACCGCGCTTTGAAATTAACTTGGAGTTTTTGCTATTTACTGGTTAAAATAAATCTACTTATTGAGTTGGAGCAGTAGGATACCATGACGAGATTATACACCTAAATACAGTAAATAGTAGACAGTGTTTAGATGTTTCCAGGAATTATTTTGCATTTTTGTCAAATGTTTAATATTCAGACAAACATCGTTTTTAATGGAAATTAATTATTATTTAAGCCCGCCATTTTTAATCGTATTCTATAATCTCCCATCTTAAATGATTTGTTTAAAGGGAGTGACTAGCTAGATATTGTAGTTAAGCTGAAAGTGCAACTGTAGGAGTCATTTGATACCAATGAGACATTTTTACGGTGTACAATTTTTAAATAAGAGCGTATAAAGTCTTTTGTTATATTTGTTTAAGTCAGCAGAAGAAACGTTTAACACTTTCAGCTCAACTGCTATGCCTAGCAAATCACTCTCTTTAAAGAGTACAGCTAGATTAGTTGGGTTTGATCATAGCAAATTAACAATCGTAAAAATTTTCATTTTTTAAAAATTCATTTTAATCCAGTTTATAGTTTTACAATTGGTATTAAAAACGTAAATTGGCCGTCAGTTCAAAGGGACTGTAAGCGTAATTTCAAGTGACACTGCATGCAAAGATCTCAATTGCGAATTTACAACGGTACCATTGAAAGCTTTGGTATAACCAAGTATGATTTAGATATAAATGTTGTTGTTTTTAAAATTTTTTTTTTTTCATTTGCGAAAGTGATTTGCGCATTTCTTACTTACCAAAATAAACGCCAGAAAAACGACGGTATCTTTCAAATGTTTGATCAGATTAAGGTTTCAAGGGAATAGTTGAAAATCAGGCATTGTCATTTTTGCATGAAGGGTCAATAAAAGTTACGTTAACAGTCCCTTCAGGAAGTAAGAAAATACTGTAAAATGCGTCAACATGTTACAAATTTATTGAAAGTATTTATTCTAAGCATATATCTATTTAAATATAGCTTGAATATTGTCTACATTGCACCGTATTGAGTAATTGTGGGAATATGGTCAAAGAAAAAAATCTAGAAATCTAATATTGGGAAATACAATATTTTATAACAGGTTATATCATATCATTAAACAATTAGAAAAAAACATCGTAAAACATTTTTTCCCCTGAAACTATTATTTAACTAACTGCAAAGTATCGACACCTAAGCAATGTGTAATTTAATTACAAAGAATTCGTCGAAGAAAAAAAAGATTTTTTTTCAGTCTTTCACTGAAAATGTCAGGTTCACTGTAATTTGTATTTTTCTTAACCTATAATTTTTACAATCACAATCTATACAACTAAAATTAAATAAAAAATTATGAAATATAATTTTTGTTAAATTCTTGTTTTTCAGGACTATTTGTTAAATGTAAGGAGAACATGCTTTACTAGAAATTAAAGGTTAGATTTTGTAAACATTTTAATGATAAAATTATGATATTAAACTTAAAAAATTTAAATTTAAATCAAAAAAATAACCACTGACAAACAAGATTTGCAAAAATCTAGATAAAATGACAGCAAAAATAGACAACATGAAAAATATGAAGCGCACAAAAACAATTTATATCATTTGATAAAAAATTATTAAGTAGGCAAAACGAATTCCATTATTCGGAATTATCTAATGAATATTCAGATTTGCAAAATGGTTGTGAGATGTCTGTTTGTGTGCTTATGTGTGTGTGTGTCTGTTCCATCAGGATCTGGTAATGTGGAGGGAAGCCTAGGGGGTGGATGGCACTACAAAGGCAGAATATATTTCCATATTTTTCTTATTAAGCTTTCATTTTTCTTTGGCAGGGTATCTCAAGTAAAAACATGGAACTTTCTTGTGGAAATTTGAAGGTGTACCAAAAAAAGCAACATTTTTTCTGATCTTTATATTTTTATCATTGTGTGAACCCAGATTTGCTTGGAATTATGAATATTACTTTGTAAATATAAATATTCTGATCTAGACCTTCAATATGTATTTTGTTAAATCGAATGGTCAAGGTTTGAAATATCACATGGACATCAGGTTGTACAGTTATCAGGATATCGCCGTTTGTTTCTCGAAATACAACGTAAATTAACTCAATAAGTAAAATTATTAAACTAGCGGTTCGCCGGGGGATGGAGAGACTTGTTAAACTGCCTAAAAGTTGGCCCTGTAATGAAAATAAGTTTTCAGTTGGTTGCCAATACCATTGTGTTCTAAGAATTCGTCCCATGTCTTATGAAAATATGAATTTTGGAATCAGTGATAGGATTAAGCCTTGATGATGTGCGTCCTAAACCTACTAAGCTAGATGATGTGCATCCTAAACCAACTAGGCTAGATGATGTGCGTTCAAAACCAACTAAGCTAGATGATGTGCGTCCTAAACCAACTAGGCAACCTAAACAAATATTAGGTTCAAGGTAGAAATAATTCTTCCTAAAACTATTCCTTCTATAGAAAAAGAACTCAAACAAGAATCTATTCTAACCTTCCATCACCTCCCCCCTCTCCCCTCTTCAAAACCTACCATCTACCCCCCCCCCTTCCCAAGTTCATAACCTACCATCCTTCAAATTCAATCCAATAAATTCCCACACACCTATTTACCACTCCCCTGTCCCCTTCTACATCACCAACCCCAACCCCTTCTACTTCCCCCCCCTTCCTTGAGACCCTATGTAAAGCCCTGAGTATTCTACTATACTGTTTAGTGTTGTGACCAGTGTAACTATAATAGAGAGTGGAGATAGTGAACTCAGAAAACGATATGAGGAAGAATATCTGAAGGAAATCAATCAATTATTTAAAATCTAATTGTACTTTAATTGAGAAAACACTGGTTTTAAAATTATTTAAAATCTAATTGTTTCCTGGATGATGTATAAAGTTTTCTGGGATGTTTTAGGTTTGATTCCAGCATTATGTTCAAGGGTTTTGGCCTTTGGGTAACATATTTGTTGTCCTGAGCTGAAAACTTTAGAATGGGATATCCTTAACCTGATCTGTTAATTAATCCAGAGATTAATAACATGAGGAGAACAAGCAATATTTAATCTGGAGATTAAGAAAAAGAGGAGAAAAGCATTGATCTCGAGATCCACCTTTCTAAAGTTTTCAGCTCTGGTCATATTCAAAGTTTCCTAGATGATATCCAAGTTATCCTGGGTACTTTTACACATGGAATTTTAGTTTTTTCTTGTGTGAAATTGAAGATAGGTAATATTCAAGGTCTCCTGGGTGATATTCAAGGTTTCCAAGGTGATCTGTAAGGTTTCTTGGGTTTTTGGGTGATATTTAAGGTTTCCTGGGTGATATCTTTCCTAGGTTTCCTAGGATTTCATTCTGGATGATTTTGAATGTATCTTTTTTTGCATTTAATGTATATGGGTGTATTTAAGGTAGGACCAAATTTAATGAATATGACTGCATACTGTCGGTTCAAATTTGAATCACTGATTAAAATCCTTCCTTTATCTTTAACAATTTGAATCATGCGTTGGATCAAATTTTAACCGGCAGCTATACGTAATGGTATTAGCTTTACTTTAAGAAATGTTTGTGACCGGCAGCTATACTTTAAGAAATGTTTGTGACCGGCAGCTGGACGAAATAATTGATTATTTGATTGTACACAGGCTAGAGAGGAGCAGATAAAGAAAGTTTTTCAACCAAAATTTGAATTTTATCTTTACAACGATGAAGGTAGATTTTAAAGCGATCGTGTCTGTCTCAGAATGCATTTTTCCCCAGAATTGTGAAATTCAAATACTTTTTCCGAAAATATTTAGATACAGTGTGTTTCATCAAGTAAGATTAAGATGAAATACAAATCGCCCTTGATGTGTGAAAGTAGTTTCATGACAAATTAAAAATGGTTTTAAATGTGGTCTAACTTAGTGGTATTTTAAATATGGTATATTTAGCAGAAGTTAAGGCGATTTACGCTTATTTGATAAAGCTAAATTTTTCGTTAATTTTAAGAGCAGAAAAAAACTGGACCACAATTTAAAATCTGTATAATAACATTAAATACACTTCACAAAAGATTAGTTAAATGTCGTCTTCCTAATCTAAAGTTTTATGGTTCTCAGCGTATGTACAGAAGACGATAATTCATTTTGTTGAATTTTCAAGAAATGATGATGTTTTGTGAGATACCGTATTTTATTGTAATATTTATGGTTCTAGGAAGAATTATAAAACAGAAACTCTCAATTCATGAGATTCAACAAATTCTACTCCAGCAGAGTCAACATTTAGGTAGGATA